ATTGCTTGTTTCCTTCCATACCACAACCTTCTCAGTAAGCCCCGGTTAATTTTGTGGCTTGGGCCCACTTAGGCTTGTAGCGTGGTTAGGTGTGAGATAACGATTTTGTGCTTGGCATGGCATGTTGCTTGGCATGTTTTAATTTTATCGTCCTTGGGAAGCACTGCAATGTTTAAGTTTGGCATGGGCTTGTAGAGCCGGTATATTTTATCTCAACCCCTAGCATGGCTAATTTATTTAGCATGGCACGTGAACTACAACTCGCATGTGGTGGGTTTTCGTGTACTCCGCTTTATGCTTTTCCTTAGTAGAGTGTCGTTTTGGGCTGATAATTTATTCGGGCCCAACCATGGATTTTTTGGGCCTCAACAAATTTCGATTTTGAGGTGTGATTCCAAAAAGCTTGATGCCCTAACTTCCTAATCTGTGTTGCAGATGTTTCGATTTTGAGAAACGACCTTGAGGTTAATGAGATCCTATTCTCGAAATCATACCAATTTTATTTGTTTTGTGGGCTGAATTTGTTCCTTAAAATTAGTACTTGAGATAATTACTATCATAAGGGAGTTTCGGTATTTAGTTGATGTTGATGCCTAACTATTGGAATATTCAAGATCAGGGTACTTTTTCTAATGCAGGGGAACTACCAAAGGAAGAATCTAACGGTATGTCCTCTGAAGACGAAATGGTTTATAAAGAGCCATCCATGTATGATAAATTGTTAATGACGCTAGGGTCATCTAGTAAATCTGTTGCTGCTGCATATAAACAAAGGTAACACTCTTCTCAAAGTCTTGAATTCAATTTCAGTCTGTTAGTGTGTACTTATTTTATGTAATTAAAAGAAATTTCGTGGCCCCAGTATTAAGTGTGCATAAGGCAGTGACTTTTGGTTGTTCAAGTATGTTTTGGCTCTTGTATTCACTTATTAGCTGTGTCATGCTCTATTCAGCCAGATCTAAGCTTAGGATCTGAATTATGGTTTATAAGGTTCCTAGGCGCCTCTAGGAGTCAAGTACTCCTTTTGAGGGTGTACTCTAGGAATCAGCTACTCCGCATGTTGTCGACTTCTTTACTAAAGCTCAATCCAACCCTACACTGTTCTTAAGCACAGTGTAATGACGGATATGCCCCTCTTTTTACTTTTGTTTTCAGTTTTGTTTTCTTTTCAGCATAGTGAATTGCCGAAAATGCCCTCCACTAAACCTTTTTTGCTCTTCCCTTTTTGCCCCTTCTCCTTTTCTGATTCACATTAAAAGAAAAAAAAATCTTATCGGTTCTTACACAAAAGGAAAACTCTTCCCTCTCACCATTTTATTCTCCTTTAAACTCTCCTCTCTCCCCATGATTGGATTTCTTAAAAGGCAAACTTGAAAACCATTAGGTGGTTTGTATGTGCTGCCTCCCCGATTGGATCTTCATTGGAGCTCTCTCACGGCTTAATCATTCTTTACTTCATGAATTCACACATATGATTTGGCCCATCCAAATTTCATTAACAGATCTTATAATTTGACTTGGATTTATTTCACTTGCTCAAAGAAAATCATGGGTTTCAATAAAATTTTGGAAGTCATATGGAGAGAGGGAGAGTAGGGGGAGAGAAAAAATAGTGGAAGAGGGTGGGGTGTTGCGAGTGGGGTTCGGGATGCAGCTGTGGCGTGGGTTATGGGTGGGGATGGGGGTGGTGGGGCGAGAAAAATAGCAGGGGGAGAGTAGAGAGAGAAGGGCAGATGGGGGATGGGAAAGAACAAAAAGAATTTTCAACTTTTTTCTTAATTTTTTATTATTAAAAATTTAATGATTTTTTATATTTTAAAATGTTTTAAATATATATATATATATATATATTTCACCTTATCCATGTGTCACGACAGTATTGGAGATGTGGAGCCCACTTACCTTCCACGTCAGCAATTTAACAGAGTTTCTAACAACACAGACTATTTTATTGTGTCATTCGTGGTCCTCAAAGTTAGTATGTGCAATCACAAATAGTCTCTGCTGTTAGGTTCCGTAAAAAACTCCGTTAGGCACAGTACAATCTTCTTCATCTTTGCCACACCGGCCAGATTGTCACAGAGTCTCCGGCAATTAGACAAGTTCATCGAACCAATCATATGAGAGTCACAAAGTTGCAACACCCCAGCTGGGAGCACTATCAAGGATGATGACATGGCTATGGATGTGTTTTGAAATTTAACGTCTCAAAGGGATTTGGACCGTTTGGTTCCAAATGAAGGCCCTTTACATCTAGAAAATTCGAAGCTCAGCGACGCTGTTTCTGAATTCTGATGAGTAAACATCAGCCATCAGCAAGCATGCAATTAGCAAAAGGGCATTGAGTATGGTGTTTCTGACCATTACTTTTGTACTCATCAAAAATGTTTTTTTCTTGCCTTTAGGTTTAGACATAATAACAGGTCGAGGCATGCTCTGGTCCCAAGTCCCCCAAGCACCACTGCAGCAATAAGAAAAGACTCAAAATTGTTTCCAAAATACCAAACCTGTGAACCAATTGGGAACTCAACATATTAAAAACTTCAGAAGATTCGAATAAAGAAAGTGGAAATTAGTGCTAAGACCCCAACAAACAGAATCTCATCTACTGAGGCAATGCTATCCACGACATATTCACCTTGAGAGAGTTAAATTCGATTCATTCTTCCTCCTCTGCATGATTTCATTGCCAATCTGGCTGACCAATGCCATCTGCATTAAAAACATCATTACCTTTCATGAACGAGATTAGAATTATCCTCAAATGAGTCCATAAGAAGTGATCAAGTACGTAATGTGAATAAACTTTTATAAATTGATGGATCAATTAACTTATGCAAAATGGTTATTAGGAAAAATTATCTTGAGCTCGCCCTACAATAGCGTACCAAAAATGAAACAGAACTGTACTTTGGTAGCTTGTTGGAGCAACGATAAAATATTCAAAATTAGCTACCAATGGCCTTGACAGTTATATATCATCACAGGAAATTCAGGGGCAAACAGAGAAGAAAGAGCTGACCATTATCTCCTGTGTGTGTTGGGCTATCTGGAAGGCCATTCTGAAAGTGTATTCTGAGGTCTGCAAGTGAATCCAATGCCTGTCATAACACAAGCCTCAACTGGAGCTGCAAAGTTTTTCGGAAGTACAAGAATCAGTGGTTAAATCAAAGCCGGAAGAAGACTTGAGGAAACCCATAAATAAATGCACTTTGCTCCTACCAGAGGAATCAGTGAAAAATATCGACTTGGATGGTGCTTGTCATGCGGGGGCAGGAATAATCACACTAGGGATTGTCTCGCCTGTGTGGTAGGGGGCCAAGACCGGAGCTTTACTGCCTCATTAGCAGTAGTTGCATCTGTGAAAGCCCCTCTTAAACTTGCGAAAACAACTCTTGAACTTGGACATCATTGTTGGGGTTGATGACTGCACCCCCTTTCTTTAAGTCCACTAGTATCTGCATCGAATGAAGGACGAGCTTTCAATTTCTTCTGGAACAACAGCTTCATTAATTTCCGTCGTTCTCTCCCCAACATGAGGCAACATGCAAAGACCTAACCAACAACAAATAGGAGAACTAATGCAGCAACACCAAGGAGAAAATAAGGCTGAGCCAAACAGCAATCTGTTCTACTATAAAACACACAACGCAGCCGCAGGAAGAACATGGTCTACAGCCAGCAACACACATTAATAATACAGCAAGGCAGCACTAACCGTAAAAGCAGGTCAAAAGACAGGAACTGTGAAGAGCAACTAGCCAAAAACAGTGGCGCACCAAGGGGAGACCAACCCATAGGGACTGCAATACTAGCAACCCCAAACTGAAGGAAGGACAGTAGAATCACCACACCAGTAACAAATCATTTACAAAACCAAACAGCAAGAAGTTAAGACAGCCAGGAAACCATTAGAGCAGCTGCACGAAAAGAAAAGCAAGACCATGTAAGCCACCAGGAATAGCAGCACCAGAACACTAAGGGATCACAAACTCGGAGTTCCATGTGGCACAATTGCTAAGCTGTAAACAATAGTGCTCTCATCTCATCTTGCATAGAGCAAGACTGCACCATTCCAACATCCACCATTCAAAACTCAATTGAAGTCTAAGAAACCAATCATGTGGAATTAACACAAACAATCACAAATATAGATCACTGAATTCTACCCACGGGCTTGAGAATGTCAGCTTGTAAGAAGGATGCAAATCCTTATCATCCCAATCACATTTGAATGCTACTGTGCTTTCCCTTTGGAGGATTGATCGATTGGTGTCTTCCTGGACATACCCATGCCTCTATACTGAGGTCTTCATCCTGGTGGCATTACTAGGTGGACTCCGAAGCTTTTCACAGCCTTGCTAATACGCACAAGATGAACTCGGACTGTAGGCAAATAAGGCGGCATCACCCATGTTTCTTTCACATTTCTTTTCGTGGGTGCCATTCTCGACATCAAATCATGGAAAGGGAAATATGACAGCCACACTGAACTCGAGTCTTTCCCTATTCGATGAATTTCATTTACGGATATTTCATCGATGTAAATATCAATAGCAAACTCCCTGATGCTGGGTTTAATTTTAAAAAGGAACCTTTTTTTGGTCTTTTCGAGAAAAGCACAAAAACAAATTCCTTTGTTCTCCCAATTGAAATTTTGAAGGGTTTTAATAGAGAATTGACATTCGCGAAGATCCTTCAAATCCTTACGATAACTGAACCACTTTGGAATTCCCCTTCCTGGAAATTCAACCACGACATAAGATGTGAGAGAGAGGAGAAAGAGTGAGAAGATATTGACTTGATTTATGAACATATTTTTCTTCTTTGCAATTCGAACCAGATTGTTACGCAGTCTCCAACAATTACTCAATCTCATTGCAAGGAACATTTGAGACTCTTTACGTTCCAAAATGTTGGACAATTTTGAAACTCTTTCCAATGATAAGCAATCACTCACATTTAAATATTTCAATGCACGTGGAAGATCTGGAATTTCTCTAAGTCTCTTGCAACTAACCAACCGAAGATCACGCAAGTTGACAAAGTTATTAATGCATACGGGAAGACTAACGAAATTGCTTCCTGATAGATCAAGTGTAGTTAATTTGGTCATGCAATCAAGAGTCAGAAGGTCGGCAATGTCTGAAAGATTGGATCGGCCCACATAGAATCTAGATAGCTTGGGAAACGCTAAATTGCCTCCTTGAAGAGTCACAAGTGATTCTGCACTCCTTGAATCTTCAGACTTCTCCATTTTAGGAAATGAAACCAATTTTGAGCATTTCATGACAGAAATTGACACTAGGTGCTTCAACTCATAAATGCTGAATGGCAGATTTGTAAGGTTTTCACATCCGGTTAAATTCATTTCCTCGAGACGAGTGAAATGTCGAATTGACGATGAAGGCAATTCTTTGATGGAAGTGTATGCTAGATACAGGTATTTCAAAGATTCCATCTTCCCCTTAATTTCAGGAAACAGAGTAAGACTACGGCATCCCATAAGCCTCAACTTAACAAGCTTATGAAGGAATCCAGCAGAAGGATGAAGCTCAACTAAACTTGTACAATCGTCTAGATTCAACGTCTCCAAGTTTGGGACTCCAGAGAAGTCAGGGGTTTTTCTTAGGAATTTGCTGCGCTCCAAATTTAGAAATTTCAAACTCTGTCCCACAAAACAGGGAGAAAAAGAATAAACTCCCAATATGCGGAAAAAAAAATAAAAATAAAAATAAACTCTTGAAAAAGGCTGTAATTTAAATACCTTGAATTCCAAATCCAGTCGTAAAATGCGGCTACGAGGCATAGTAAGAGCAACAAGTTTCTTTGGATTAAAATTGGGTGGCAAAGATTGTGACGGATATTCAGGCCAGCTAAGGAGCCTCAACTCATTGGGAAGATAATCAACTTCTCCAGACAAGCGCGCATTATGATTTATAAAAAGTCGAAGATTTTTCATCTTTGAGAAGCTTTCAGCATTCAAACATACCTCGTCTAACTCAAGCCCAGCAGGCAACTTCACCATAATACCTTTGATCATATCCGTTCCCTAGTATGAAAAAGCAATACTATTAGCAAAGGACAAGTTTTTTGTGAAATAAAAATAAAATGTTTTAAATTATATATTCTACTTACTGTGTTTTCTGTTAAAACATGGTAAACATCCTCGTGAAACCACAACCTACTACGTTTTCCAGGCTCAGTTGGTGACTCTTGGCGAACTACTTCTTTACCCATTTTTTGTATCAAGTCATGCATCCAAATGCAGCCATCATACGTAATATTTATAAGAGCCTTTTCCACGAGTACTTCAAGATCATACTTAGGGTTGAGGTCACAACCTTCCAGTATTTGTATCACATAATCCTTGTCTCGACCTTTAAAGAAACATGCAATATCAAGGAAAACTTCCTTCACCCCATCTTCTAGTGCATTATAACTTATTTTGAGAATTTCTTGAATCTCTCGGTTAGGAACTCTTCTGTAACCATCTAATGCATATTTCCATTGATCAATACTTCTACCACATAGATGTGAACCCAAAACCATCAGAGCTAATGGAAGACCCTCAGCATAGTCTACTACATCGTTTGCAAGTTTCGCATAATCATCTTCTAAGTGTCCATTTCTTGAAAATGAATTCCAACTGGCGAAGAGCTTTAAGGACTCATAATGATCTAACTTCTCAACCTCATATATTAGATTGACTTGATGAGCAATTAGCAAATGCTTATCTCTTGTCGTTAGAACAATTCTGCTGCCTGAACCAAACCAATCAGACCTTCCAACTAATTTGTTTAATTGGTCCAATTGATTCACATCGTCAAGAATTAGGAGAAGCTTCTTACCATTCAACATTTTCTTTATCACATTGATTCCTTTGTCAACATTGGTCACCTTTACTTCTTTCACCCCTAGAATCTCAGAAAGAAGAATACTTTGTAGTTTGACTAAGCCTTCATACGGCATTGATCTTTCTCTAACATCATCTAGAAAACAGCTACCTTCAAACATATGGGCGATGGAATTATAAACAGCTTTAGCAATTGTTGTCTTACCTATTCCACCAGTGCCCCATATCCCTACCATGCGAATATCGTTTCCTCCAACACCCAAAAGCTTAACTATCGCGCGCACACGAGACTCTATTCCAACTGGGTACTTTGCTACATTCAAATACACATGGTTTAATACTTGTAATGAAATAGCTTCAACGATGTTGTCAATAAATTTTGATTCATGCCTGCAAGGTTATACAATATACGAAAGATTAATGATGAATAACATTTTGTAATATTATATATATATGCGCTTTTTATCACAAATGGTCCCTGAGGTTTGCCAAATTATCAAATTTCGTCCCTAACATTTTTTTTTACACTAATGGTCCTTAAGGTTAGCCTCCACCCATCAAAATGGTCCCTGCCGTTAGCTTCCGTCAAATTTTCTGTTAAATTAATGATGTGGCACATATGTGGAACCCACACATCCAATGGTACATCTTTTTAATATATTTTTAAATATCTTTCTCTCTCTCCCTCTCCTTGTGTTCTCTTTCCCCTTCCTCCTTGCAAACCCACTCCTCTCTTCCTCCCTTCACTTTCTCTCTCCCTCTCCCTGTGTTAACTTTCTGTCCCCCTCCTCGCATACCCACTTCTCTCTCTATCTCTCTCTCTCTCTCTCTCTCTCAAAACAGAGCATGAAATATATTTAAAAATATATAAAAAGATTTAAGTTGCTTTTAATTTTTATTATTTATGAATTATAAGTTTTAAAAAATTAAAATTATATTATATTACATTTAAAACTACGTGGCTCTATACCATTGGATGTGTGGACTCCACACATGTGCCACATTAACAATTTAATAGAATATTTGACGGAAGCTAACGGTATGGACCATTTTGATGTGTCGCTTCTAGCCCTTGAATTCTTATTCACGAATGAATTGGGAAAGCCAACAGAAGGGTTCGATTCTGACTTCGTAGCGCCGGTGCTGCTGTTGCCTGCGCGTAGTTCGGCTAACTCTTCCCTTTAGAGTGAGTTTTGAGCAGCATTTGGTGATTTCATTATCCGAGAGTGGGACGAAGTCTTTCTTTTCCTTTTAAATTCTTAAAAAAAAATCCGCATTCAGTCTCTCAACTGAGATCTACGACATTTCCTCTAACCTTTGGTAATGTAAGCTAATCCAATAATGGAACTACGGAACCTTAAAGACCATTAGTGTCACAAAAAAAATTAGGGACGAAAGGTGATAATTTCGTAAACCTCAGGGACCATTTGTGATAATAAATAAATAAAAAGCCTAGTGTGTGTGTGTGTACAACTCCCTTTTAAAAGGAATCCCCTTTTGACTATTTACAAAAATGGATCTTAGGTTCGGATAACATGAACCGTTTATTTTTAAGGACATTATTCAAGGATCACCAAAAATCAGTTCATCAAAAAATCACCAAAATCAGTTCATCAAAAAATCACCAAAATCCGAAATATTTATTCATCTAAAAATGCGGCGACAAATAGATTAATTCAACTTTTCCTCTACAAGATGTTCATGGTGATAATCAAATGGTACGATTTCGGATTTTGCTAATTTTTTGCAGGGTTAATTCTTAATTTGGGGATCGAAAAACTAGACAGTTTGTATGTATAAGGATCAGGTTCAAAGGACACACAAAAGCCACATCTTTAAAACCTTGGATGTTCAAAAGCATTTGACATTAAAAACAATGCCTTTGTATATGGGTCCTGATCCTATTCTAACAGTTTCAAAAGATCAGAAATAAACAAGTTTAGTAAGCAGCTAAGGTGCGTGGTTGAAAATAAATATATACCCGTTCATGAAACACCATCCGGACAGATTGGCTGCTTTCGTAAGACTTCTCCTCCATCTTTGCACCTTCTCCATGTCATCTTTGAACTCGCATTCATAGTCAGCAAGTGCCTGACCGAAACTGCCCCTTTGATGCCGTACATCCGACGGATCCACCTTGTAAAAAACAGGCCAAACTATTTGCTCCCTTGTTTCTTTACTCTCAAGGATCTTGACGAGTTCATCCAAGCACCACTTCGAAGATGCATAGTTTTTGGAGAACACGATTATGGAAATCTTCGACTCTTCGATCGCTCTGAGAAGGGCCGGTGATATTTCTTCCCCTCTCTTAAGACCATCATCTATGAAGGTTCTAATTCCCTTAAGAGTCAAATTACTGTGCAGATGATCAGTAAAGTTGAATCGCGTGTCCTTGCCTCTGAAACTCAGGAAGACGTCGTATGTCATTGAATGACTGACGTTTGATTGGGTGCCGGAGAAGTAAACAGGCTGATCAAAGAGCTGGGAAGGGGATGGCCTCTGGGTTTCTTTTCTTTTAATAAGAAAGCATCTTATGAGCGAGGGAAGCTGCGAGGAAGTTAGCTGTGAGCTTCAACCTCCTTTGTGAGAACACTGCGAGGTCGATGAAGGTGAAGGGAAGACAAGGAAAGAAAGGAAACAAAGAAAGAGGAAGGGCCAGTGTTCTTCCGTTGAAACTTCAAACGTCTTTTCCAGTCCAATTATGGGTAGTTGAAAAATCCAAAACGACAAAAGTTCATACGCGTAGTAGTTGGTGTGTTTCTGTTTTGTCCTTTAATTCTACTTTAAACAAGCGATAATCTATTTTAATACAAGCGATAATCTAAGCTACAAGGAGAGTGGAGTTTTTCCCCACACACTAGCAAAGTACCAGGCCAGTTCAAACCTGACCCTGTTGGCAACTTTTTCTTTTTCTTTTTGGGTGGATTTGTTGGTGATAAAGACAACTAAGAAATCCACGAAGATTATTTTACATTGCATAGACCAAGATCTATTGAGAATCAGTTCATCATTGATTTTGGGGTTATAGCAATGTAGACAAGCAATTGGTACCTGAGAGATCAGAAGTAAAGTAGCCATTAATTCTTTATGGTCTTTAACTTCCATACAAATGGTTTGGGAAGCAAATCGTTTCTTGTCAAATATGATATCTGACATTCATACTGAAAGAGTGAATGAATATAGCAATTCTGTGTGTATTTGCAAGCACAAATAACTGACATTGGGACAAATACATATATGGTTCTCAAACCAGAACTTTTCATATTATCTTTATTTAATATTTATACACAAACTAACTTAGACGGACTCACAGGGATCCGAATCCAGAGTCTTTGTGGGTAGCACCTGCCCACTGTCAGCAATCACATCTTTGGGAAATTGTGGTAAAAAGATTTTCTCCAGTAGCTTCTGACTTTCGACATTGCTGTCATACCCTTGCTTCCTTTGCTTCACTGTACAGTTTATCTGTTAGTTTAAGAGAGAGGAGGTTTGGGAAATGGTTGATAGTGTTTAGGACAATAACTTAACTTAGAAAGGAAGACTTTTAAAAGAGTAACAAAATATTTTATTTTATTTGAATGAAGGGAGAAAGTTACAAAGCTTTTAGAGTTTACTAGTGGGAGAATTAGACAAGCTTTTGTTTTCCAACACACACATTGGCATAGGCATCAAGCCTATATATAGAAGACTTGACCGACATTGCTAAAGTCGGTGGGATTAGCACTTTGAATATTTTATATTATAACACACTTTGATTTCTAAGATTTTTTGTATTCACCGACTTTGTCAAGTCGGTTTGCACATTCTTTTAAACTCTAGTTTTTTCTATATCATTCAAGATCTTTCTAGATTATTTCAAGTACAAGTGTGCATTATTTTTTTAACATTATCAATACGGTCCTGCAGATGATATTCCAAAAAATATAAACTTAACATTCACTTGACGAAGTCAGCTTTTACTATTTGTGAGAGAGAGAGAGAGAGAGAGAGAGAGATTTATGGCATAAATCTGCACTTGATCATTAACAATAGAAATTCATTTCTTTTAAGAAATAATCCAAGGCTGCAAGGGTGGGGAAAGGATATTAAGTGAGTGGCAAACTGAAGGCCTACCAGGTGCTTGAAAAGGAAGTCGCACAGTTACAGTGAGGAGATTTAAGACAATATATAGAAAGAGAGAGCAGAAGGCATACCTTGTAATATTTAAGTAGGTGTGGTCTCTTCAGTTTGAATGTTGGAGTTATAAGATCCCTCTCCATGTCCAAGGGATTTGGTTCCTAGTGAACTGCTTTTAACAGCTCAAAACCTCGAAGCTGCAGGAAGGTCACCCAAGTCAGATTGAGTAGACATTAACAAAGCATCGAATTAGAGACAGGGAGTTGAGGAGACAATTATCTACATACTTGCTGCTTCTGACCAACACTATTGAGCTCATCCAAAATGTACTTTCTTGCCTTCAGGTTTTGACATAATGATTTAAAATCATCGGTCAAATGATGCTCCGCTGCCCAATCCTCCAATGCCTTTCTGTCAGGGACCACCACAGCAACAAGAAACGACTCAAAGCTGTTCCCATAAACCCAAATCTGCAAACCAGAGGAAAGTGCAGATATCCATAACTTTAGAAAACAGGAAAACAACCAAAAGGAAATTTTCACAAATTAAACCAAAAATACAAACTCGTCAATGGAGGAAAACAGAGGCGAGTCCTAATGTATGGAAATAGTTCTACTTCTATTGGATGTAGTAACAAGCAACGTACCGATGTGATAAGAGGGCATTGCAGGTATTTGCTTTCAATGTTTTCCACAGCAACATATTCACCTTGAGACAGTTCAAATATATTCTTTTTCCTATCCATAATTTTCATTGCTCCATTAGGCTGCAATTCTCCAATGTCACCTGCAATCCACTCGAAGTCAAGAAATACCACCTTTTAATGCAACAATTAACCATCAACAAAACATTCTAACATGCACAGTGGTGACTTTTGGACAAGCCAGAAGACTAACCATCAAGCAAGTAAATTATTTCATTCAACTGTATGGCTAACTATTGTAAGAATTTTTACCAGCATGAAACCACCCATCAATAAGGACTTCCTCTGTCAGATCTTGTTGCTTGTGGTAACCAGAAAACAAGGATTTTCCTCTCAGGCGAATCTCTCCACGTGACACACTGGAAAGTGCATCATATCCCATTTCTAGCACTGACTCAAGCCCTGTTTCAATAGTTGTCATGGGGACACCCACAGTTCCCATCATAGGAAAAACATTGCCAATAGACGTAAGACATCCACCACAGCTTTCAGTGGGCACCATTGCTGGGAGAGTAGCAGGTTGAGGCTTGAAGCTTTAAATAATATTACTCGGGAGGTATAACTTTATTCCCTAGCGGGCACCATCTACTCTGAAACAATAAGGTGCAGACCAGTCTTCTCCCTCTTATCTCATCTTTAATAAGAGCAAAACTGCACCATTCCAACAATACATTCAAAACTTGATTGAAAAGAAACCAAAATCCTCATGTTGAATTAACACAAAAACAATAACAAATAATAATCATTGAATTGTACCCGCAGGCTTGAGAATGTCATCTTGTAAGAAGGATGCAAATCCTTAGCATCCCAATCACATTTCAAGGCTACTGGTCTTACGCTTTGGAGGATTGATCAGTTGGTATGCTGGTATCTTCAAGGACGCACCCATGCCTCCATACTGACGTTTTCATCCTGGTGGCATTACTAGGTGGACTCCGCAGCTTTTCACAGCTTTGCTAATGCGCACAAAATGAACTCGAAGTGTAGGCAAATAAGGTGGCATCACCCATGAGCTTTTCGCTCTTCCTTTCATGCATTCGTACTCCCATAAGGATTCCCTGACCGACATTATTACAAAGAATGGAATATACCACAGCCATACTACAGTTGACCCTTTCCCTGTAGAATGTGTATTATCAGTGCGTCGTTCATCTAAGTAAATATCAATAGAAAAATCCCTGATGTTAAGTTTGGGCTTAGTATCAAAATGGAACCTATTTTTGGTTTTTTCAAGAAAAGCACAGACAGCCAATCCTTTGTTCTCAAATTTGAAGTTTTGAGGGATTTTAATGGAGAATGCACATTCGCGAAGATCCTTCAAATCCCGACAACAACTGAACCACTTTGGAATTCCACTTCCTGGAAATACAACCTCGACATAAGATTGCTGAGACGAGAGAAAGAGGGAGAAGAGATTGACCTGATTTATGAACATATTTTTCTTCTTTGCAAAGCGAACCAGATTGTTACGCAGTCTCCAACATTTAGTCAAGTTCATTTCAGAGATCATTTGAGACTCTTTACGTTCCAAAATGTTGGACAAATTTGAAACTCTTTCCAATGATACACAATCACTCACATCTAAAACTTCCATTTCTTGGGGAAGTTCCGGAATTTCTCTAAGTCTCTTGCAACCAACCAACCGAAGTTCATGCAAGTTGACAAAGTTGATAATGCATGCGGGCAGACTAATGAAATTGCTTCCTGATAGATCAAGTCTTGTTAATGTGGCCATGCAATCAAGAGTCAAAAGAAAATTGGTAATTTCTGAAAGATTAGATCCCCCCACATTGAATTTAGATAGCTTGGGAAACACTAAATTGCCTCTGTGAAGAGTCACAAGTGATTCTGCAGTCCTTGAATCTTCAGACTTCACCATTTTAGGAAATGTAACCAATTTTGAGCATTTACTCAAAGAAATTTCCACTACATGCTGCAATTCATAAATGCTGCATGGAAGATTCGTAAGCTTTTCACATCCGGTTAGATACAACTTCTTGAGACTAGTAAAATGTCGAATTGATGATGAAGGCAATTCTTTGATGGAAGTCTTTGATAGATCCAGGTATGTCAAAGATTCCATCTTTCCCATAATTTCAGGGAAATTCTCAAGACTTATGCAGCCTTCAAGATTCAACTTCAGCAGAGATTTCAAGTTGACAATTCTTGGAAACAGAGTAAGACTACGGCATCCGGTAAGACTCAACTTAACAAGCTTATGAAGGAATCCAACAGAAGGATGAAGCTCAACTAAACTTGTACAATAGTTTAGATTCAACTTCTCTAAATTTGGGACTCCAGAGAAGTTAGGGGTTTTTGTCAGGAATTTGCTGTTCTCCACATTTATAAATTTCAAATTCTGCCCCACAAAACAGAGAGAAAAAGAGAGAGGATCGCATCATAAGCTCTTAATAAACTCCCAATATGCTGAGAAAGAAAAAGAAAAAAATAAACTCTTTAAAAAAGCTTTAATTTTAAATACCTTCAATTCCAAATCCAGTCGTAAAATGCGGCTACGAGGCATAGTAAGACCAACAAGTTTCTTTGGATGAAAATTTGCTGGCAAAGATTGTAATGGATATTCAGGCCACCTGAGGAGCCGCAACTCATTGGGAAGATAATCAACTTCTCCAGATAAGCGTGCATTACGATTTAAAAGAATTCGAAGATTTTTCATCTTTGAGAAGCTTTTAGCATTCAAGCATATCTCATCTGACTCAAGGCCAGCAGGCAACTTCACCATGATACCTTTGATCTTATCTGTTCCCTAGTATGAAAAAGCAATAGTATTAGAAAAGGATAATTTTTTGTGAAATAATTATAGAAGTGTTTCAAATTATATTATACTTACTGTATTTTCAGTTAAAACATGGTTAACATCCTCGTGAAACCACAACCTACTACGCTTTCCAGGCTCAGTTGGCGACTCTTGGCAAACTACTTCTTACCCATTTCTTCTATCAAGTCATGCATCCAAATCCTGCCTTCTTCCGTAATATTTATAAGAGCCTTTTCCACGAGTACTTCAAGATCATACTTAGGGTTTAGGTCACAACCTTCTAGTATTTCAATCACATAGTCCTTGCCTACGCCTTTAAAGAAACATGCAATGTCAAGGAAAACTTCCTTCACCGCATTGTCTAGTGCACTATAACTTATTTTGAGAATGTCTTGAATCTCCTGGTTAGGCACTCTTCTGTAACCATCTAATGCACATTTCCATTGATCAATACTTCTACCACATAGATGTGAACCTAAAACCATAAGAGCTAATGGAAGACCTTGAGCATAGTCTACTACATTGTTTGCAAGTTTCACATAATCACCATCTAAGTGTCCATTTCTTGAAAATGAATTCCAGCTGGTGAAAAGCTTTAAAGATTCATAATGGTCTAATTTCTCAACCTCATACATTAGATTGACTTGATGTGCAATTAGTAAATGCTTATCTCTTGTCGTTAGTACAATTCTGCTGCCTGCACCAAACCAATCAGACCCTCCAACTAACTTGTTTAATTGGTCCAATTGATTCACATCATCAAGAACTAAGAGAAGCTTCCTACCATTCAACATTTTCTTTATCACATTGACTCCTTTGTCAACATTGGTCACCTTTACTTCTTTCACCCCTAGAATCTCAGAAAGAATAATATTTTGTAGTTCTACTAAGCCTCCATATGGCATTGATCTTTCTCTAACATCTTCTAGAAAACAGCTACCTTCAAACATATGGACAGTGGAATTATAAACAGCTTTAGCAATTGTTGTCTTACCTATTCCACCAGTTCCCCATATCCCTACCATGCGAACATCGTTTCCCCCAACACCCAAAAGCTTACTTATCTCGTGTACACGAGACTCTATTCCAACTGGGTATTTCGCTACATTCAAATAATTATGGTTTAATACTTGTATTGAAATCTCTTCAACAATGTTGTGGATAAATTTTGCTTCATGCCTGCAAGGTTAATAAATGTGAAAGTTAATGATGAAATAGCATTTTGTAAGATATATATATATATATATATATATATATATATATATATATGAATGCTGAATTGCTAATCAGTAAGTAAGTTAATAAGGTGCTAACCACTCATTTGACGCACTCCACAATGTCATATAATGATCCAAAATATTTATCTTTCAGGTTTATAATTCAAGGAACATCTCTACACAAAAAAACAAAAAACAAAAACAAAAAAAAAGAAGAAAAAAAAATAGACAAATCGAAAATTGTTTAACCATTTGATTATTATTGCGAACATTTTCATTGTTTATAGGAAATATTGTGTTCGTCTATTTGTCTAATTAAAGATAGATTACTAAGTGTTGTCTAATTTCACTAATTTGTTTTTCAAGAGTGATCATTGAATGAAAACCTGAAAAAAACGAACGGTATGCATAAATGAGATGAGAGTGGGTACAAACAAGTGGTTAGTCGTATTAACTTACTTAGCGCTTCCTCCCTCAACGCATCATCTGCCACCTCCCCCACCTACCCTAGAGGGGTGGAGATGGGGAGAGGAGAGGAGGGGAGGAGCTACTTTAAGAGATGAAGAGCTTATTTCAACATTGAAGTAAGAAATGAAGGGTTTAGGGTTCAGGGTTCAGGGTTCAGGGTTCAGGGTTCAGGGTTCAGGGTTCAGGGCTGGTGGGACCCAGCCATTGCCCGAGCTCTTTTCTGCGCGCTGGAGGGGAGTTGGGCTGCCAGGGGGGCCTTTTGCCCAGGTTTGGGTGAGCGCTGGACTTGCTCTAACAGTTGCAATTTCTATTAAAAGATAAAGAATAAACAAGTTCAGTAAGCAGCTATGGTGCGTGGTTGAAAATATGTACCCGTTGGAGAAACACCACCCGGACAGATTGGCCGCTTTCGTAAGAGCTCTCCTCCATCTTTGCACCTTCTCCATGTCATCTTTGAACTCACATTCATAGTCAGCAAATGCCTGACCGAAACTTCCCTTTTGATTCCGTACATCCGACGGATTCACCTTGTAAAAAATAGGCCAAACTATTTGTTCCCTTGATTCTTTACTTTCAAGGATCTTGACGAGTTCATCCAAACACCACTTTGAAGACGCATAGTTTTCGGAGAATATGATGACAGAACTCTTCGAATCTTTGATTGCTCTGAGAAGCGCCGGCGATATTTCTTCCCCTCTCTTAAGAGCATCATCTCTGAAGGTTCTAATTCCCTTCTGAGTCAAATTGATGTGCAGATGATCAGTAAAGTTGAACCGCGTGTCCTCGCCTCTGAAACTCAGAAACACATCGTACGTCATTGAATGCAGGTTATTTGATTGCATACATGAGAACGAAACAGGCTGATCAAAGAGCTGGGAAGGGAATGGCCTCTTGGTTTCTTTTATTTTAATAAGAAAAGCATCTTATGAGAGAGGAAAGCTGCGAGAAAGTTTGCTGAAACTTCAACCTCCTTAATGAGAAGAACACTGCGAAGAAAGGAAGAAAGAATGCAAGAAAAAAAGGAAAGGACAGTGTGCTTACGTTGGAACTTCAAACGTCTTTTCAGTCGAATTACGGGAGCAATAATTGATTAGTTTGGTGTGTTTTTATGAGCGAGGGAAGCTGCGAGGAAGTTTGCTGCGAGCTTCAACCTCTTTAGTGAGAACACTGCGAAGTCAAAGAAGGGAAGACAATGATGGGAAGAAAGAAACAAAAGAAAAAGGAAAGGCCAGTGTGATTCCGTTGAAACGTCAAACATCTTATCCAGTTCAATTATGGGAGCAATAGTTGACTAGCTGGGTAGTGGAAATGTCCAAAACGACACAGGTTCATCCTATATAATAATTTTTCTTTTCTGATGAACTGTGAGTAAATCCTTTTGACCAAACAAAGACAGGATCATGTAGTGAAATAACAGAGGAGCTTGATCAAGGAATTTATTAACTCGTTATCTATGCTTTAATTTCATTCTAAACCAAATTGTTGTACTGCGTCACAAATGGTCTTTGAGATTGGTGGATTTTCTCTTTCAATTGTATTCCGGAATATGTTCTTGGATCTAGATGTTTATCTGTTCGTGTTTCTGTGATGTGTTACAAATCGTCTTCGAAATTGGACGGGTATCCTCATCTCTAAAGCTTAGAAAGACATCATATGTCCATGAACGGGTGAAAGAAGAAGAGGAATAGGCTCCTAATTGTTGGTTGTCATTGATTATTTTACATTGCATAACCCAAGATCTATTGAAAATCAGTTATCACTGGTTTTGGGGCTATGGCAATGTAGATGCAATTGGTACTTGAGAGATCAGAAGTAAAGTAGCCATTAATTCTTTATCGTCTTTAACTTCCATACACATGGTTTGGTAAGCAAGCATTTCTTGGTAAGCAAACATTTGTACTGAAAGAGTGAATGAATATAGCATTTCTGTGTGTATTTGCAAGCACAAATGACTGACATTGGGGCAATATATATATATATATATATATATATGGTTTCTCAAACCAGAACTTTCATATTATCTTTATTTATACACAAACTAACTTAGACGGACTCACAGGGATCCAAATCCAGTGTCTTTGTGGATAGCACCTGCCTGCTATCAGCAATCACATCTTTTGGGAATTGTGGTAAAAAGGTCTTATCCAGTAGCTTCCGGCTTTTGACATTGCTGTCATACCCTTGCTTCCTTTGCTTCACTGTACAGTTTATCAATGCGGTCCTGCAGATGATATTCCAACAAATATAAAATTAACATACTTGATAAACTTCAGCTTTTACTATTTAAGAGAGAGAGAGAGAGAGAGAGAGAGAGAGAGAGAGAGAGAGAGAGAGAGAAATTCTTGCTATTTAAGAAACAATTCAAGGGTATAGCCGTATGGGGTTGTGTTTGGTTACTAGGTTGGCCCTTAAAAAGTACATAGTTTTAGGTGTCATCGGTCGTGGGATATTGATCAGGGTGGAGGCAGGGTATTTAGTGGGTGGCAAACTGAAGACTTACCAGGTGCTTGAAAAAGGAAGGCACAGAGTTACAGTGAGGAGATTTAAGAAAATACTAGAAAGAGAGAGCAGGAGGCCTACCTTGTAATATTTAAGTAGCTGTGGTCTCTTCAGTTTGAATGTTGGAGTTATGAGATCCCTCTCCATGTCAAAGGGATTTGGTTCCAAGTGAACTGCTTTTAACAGCTCAAAACCTCGAAGCTGCAGGAAGGTCACCCAAGTCAGATTGAGTAGACATTAACAAAGCATCAAACAGGGAGTGGAGACAATTATCTACATACTTGCTGCTTCTGACCAACACTATTGAGCTCATCCAAAATGTACTTTCTTGCCTTCAGGTTTTGACATAATGATTTGAAATCATCGGTCAAATTATACTCTGCTGCCCAATCCTCCAATGCCTTTCTGTCAGGGACCACCACAGCAACAAGAAACGACTCAAAGCTGTTCCCATAAACCCAAATCTGCCAACCAGAGGAAAGTTAAGACATCCAGAACTTTAGAAAAGAAAAATAAATAAATAAAGAGAGAACAAACAATAAAAAAATTTCACAAATTAAAATGTAGTACAAAGACAAAAAATACAAACTCATCAATGGAGGAAAACAGAGGTGAGTCCTAATGTATGGAAATTGTTCTACTTGTATTGGACGTAGTAAGTTAGTAAGTAGCAACATACCGATGTGATAAGAGGGCATTGCAGGTATTTGCTTTCAATGTTTTCCACAGCAACATATTCACCTTGCGACAGTTTAAATATATTCTTTTTCCTATCTATGATTTTCATTGCTCCATTAGGCTGAAATTCTCCAATGTCACCTGTAATCCACTCAAAGTTAAGAAATACCACCTTTCAATGCAACAATTAACCATCAACAAAACATTCTAACATGCACAGTGGTGACATCTTGAAAAGCCAAAAGTTTGAGCATCAAGCAAGTAAAGTATTCCATACAACTTTATGGCTGACTATTGTAAGAATTTTTACCAGTATGAAACCACCCATCAACAAGGACTTCCTCTGTCAGATCTTGTTGCTTGTGGTAACCAGAAAACAAGGATTTTCCTCTCAGGCAAATCTCTCCGCGTGGCACACTGGAAAGTGCATCATATCCCATTTCTGGCACTGACTCAAGCCTTGTTTCAATAGTTGTCATGGGAACACCCACAGTTCCCATCATAGGAAAAACATTGCCAATAGACGTAAGACATCCACCACAGCTTTCAGTGAGGCCTACATGTCAAAGAGTTTAGCAAGCTGATAGATAGCTCTTTTTTTAAGGAAAACTTTTATAAACTACTGTGGATGTGTTGTACATCAAAATTTAAAAAGCTCACGTCACTGACTAGAAAATCTTAAATACATGATACATCCTATATCATGCATAATGTAGTTGTAATGATAAGTAATTATCTTAACCTTATAAATTTTCCTGTATTTTCAAAATTATGCTTTAGATTTCATCGATTAAACAATTAATACTAGCTTCTTCAAAGATGACAATGAATTCATACTAGGTCAATGTCTTTTCTTTTTTCTTGGCCAAATATAAAGGTAACTGAAAAACCTATGATGATTACCTAATGCTAGCATCACCATTCATATGATTCTATATATTTCCTAGATGACTTAGCAAATATTCATCCAACCATACCATATCCTTGTGATAAAGTACTGCAGGCGGTGACCCTAAAAATTCCTCCACATGCCTAGGCAAAGGTGCAGCACCAGACAACAGTATACGAACTCGTCCCCCTAATGCTTGCTTTATCTGCCACAAGTAACACTTTGTTAGAATGTAAAACAGCTATTTCAAGAATGGAATGGTGAAGGATGGGATGACTGACCTTATCAAAGACAAGCTTGTCCAAGAGAGGTGCTGCTTTTTCTTGTGGCAGACCCTTCTCCAGATTTGCCAACTTGCTGTCAATTAAACCTTCATTAGTTTTATTGTAGAGATGCAAATGCAAACAAAAATATTTCCATTTTATCAACATTCATACTAGTTATAAGCATATTGGAACAGTGTCTTCCTCAATGCACCACCCGATGAAACTTTATTGACAACACCTGCACACAGAAAATTTAAGCCAAATATTCAGAATAACAAAAATCAAGGACATATATCTATATAGTTCAGTATAATGCATGCTTTACCAGTGTATATGCGATCATACACTCTAGGGACCCCACAAAACATAGTAGGCCTTAGTTCCTGAAGGTCCTCCAATAGAAATCTGATATCCTTCAAGTTCGAAGTAAAAATCACATTGGGAACAAGTTATAGTTGTTAACACAACGAAAGAACGTTTGATTGAAACATATAAGTGTAAGAAAAAAGAAATCACTGCAATAAATGACTCTGTTATTACTTACTCCTCGCCAGAAGCCTATAGAGGAACCCTTGTAGATGCAATAGCTCTCCATTATTTGATCATATATATGGGCCAAAGGAAGAAAGGAAAAATACGAATCTTCTTCCGTACACTGAAATAATCAGGTGATCAATTTCAGTGTCAATGTCATATGATTAGCACGAGGAAATAATCATTGAGTTCAATTGATAAACTTAACAACAAATCATGTTCTCAACTTTCTAGTGGTAATACTTCCTTGTAATCACAGAACTTGAAAAGAGAAACCAAAAGTTAAAATAAATAAAAAGTGCAAATAAGAGGCAGCATAATCATTAATTTGGAAACTCCAAGGATATATATCGTAAAAAGGCTAGGAAACTCATTTATTATGGAAATAGTAATCTATGTTCAGTTGTTTACCACTTTATCTGTTAGAAAAAGTATTTGCTCCACAGACAATACTTCTGCCATAATTGCTCCATTAGTAATAATAACACCTTTTGGTTCTCCAGTTGTTCCACTTGTGTACATTATAGTGCAAATGTCAGTCCTCTGTTTTGGAGGTAGTTCACAATCTAAATTTCCCTGAAAAAAATGAGGAAAGGTGGTTTTACATTATTGAAAACCATTTGACCAATCTTTTACCAAAAAAGAGAATTTATATGAGAAAAACAGTGTTAACAAATTACCAACTGAGAGAATTCCTCCCAAGAAAAACAAGATACCCCCAGTCCTTCAGCTTCCTCCTTTTGCGTGCTAGAAATATTTGCAAAGCTGACAATTGCTGAACAAAGCAAATGCATAACTGAGATACCATCCTTAGAAGTTTCACCTTAAATTCCAAGTCTTTAAGGAAATAGCATATGACCTACTTTTTAAATGCGTAGAGCAATTTGGAAGGCATGACAGAATCTGCACAAAGCATTTCGATATGAGCAGGACATTATGAGACAAGAGAAAGAGAGCCAGAAACAACTAAAATACCATATATTTATTAAACTAATGAGGGTCAAAATACATAAACTAATGAAGATTTTAGTACAACAATATCAGAAATCAGTAGCCTTAAACATTTAAGTAATCATGATGATCCTATAAAGAAAAGGTACTCATGATCATGAGGAAATGGATGGAAGATAACTTACAGCAGGGATCTTGTTCTCTTGAACAAAAGCTATGGAAACTTCAGCATGATTGATGATGAATTCAACTGCATTAGCACCTGTTATATGTAAAACCATGAAAAGTTAATGAGATATATTTAATCGAACTCAACCACCATCATTGAAGTCCAATTGCTAGTGGAAATTCTATTGAGGAAGAAAATTTATAGAAACTCTAAAACTTGTGGTGATATAAGTACTGACGATCATTGACAAAGAGAAAGAAATCATACCAAGGGTGTCATACAGCGGAACATACGTTATGGCATGGCTATTACAGGCCTGTAAAACATCAACGAAACATAGATTCATTACAGTTATTCAACCTGTCAAAAATTTGCTCCCAACATAAACAAACTTTTCCATTCAAGTGAGCACGGCATGCATAAATATGAAGCCAATCGTGATTCATGAAAATAGGAAACACAGTATTTACCTCCATTGCAGTAAGCCACTGGGGGCAGTTTGATCCGAATATACCACAACGATCTCCCTGTATACATTTAAAAGATACAAAAACATGAAACACCAAAGTTAGTTTCTTTCTGTTTTTTCCCTTTTGCTATGATAAACACCAACCATTCGCAGTTACTCCTTTTCATTACCAACTTACATCAACTCTAAAGAACATCACAATACAATTATGAATCTTTTTCATTTCTTCATCCACAACATAACATATTGCATGTCAAACTTTAACAAAAATTACAGTAACACATTAATTTATGCATTCATACACACACATATTCTCAATAGGCACGTGACTTACAGGATTGACACCGCGGCTCCTGATGGCTGAACCCATTCGAAGGGCTGCATCATGAACCTCTTGATATGTAAGCCATATATAGGGACCCACCTGCAATTTCCATTAAACAAATTCAAAATTGGCATTTCATAAACTTATTTGGAAAGAAAAAAAAAGAGCTCATGGGTTTCAATGGGTTTGTGCTGTTGCTCAAAAAGAAGGTACCTTTGTTTCCGTGACTTGACGCCGACCAAGCATTGGATTGTTCGGATACTTTTTCGCAGAGTCGCTGCCAGTAAAAGCAGAGTTTCAGCCATGAACTCACGCTAGGAATTTGAATTACAATATGTTTTGAATTGATTGCAATTTTCCAGTGATTTTAAGCTTTATAGAAAACTAAGAACAGGGTTTGTGCTATTCGAGTTGCAGAGAGTGGGTTGGTAGAAAAGCAAGCTTCTTTTTCTTTGTTTTCTGCTTCAGCTTCTCTAACCTTTCTTTTGGCTGACCACAGCCAGAAAAACCTTTCTACGACATGCCGTTTTCGATCACATTTTAGTATAGTACTAAAAAGTACGGGGATATTATCAAATGGCCTATTAGCTCAGCTGGTTAGAGCGTCGTGCTAATAACGCGAAGGTCGCAGGTTCGAGACCTGCATGGGCCATTCTCTTTTACTTTTCCGGTTAATTTTTATCCCGGAACAAACTGTCAAGCTAGATCGATCTGCTTAAACACAATCACCTCCTTTTGGTTCTACCTTCTCTTTTTCTCCCCAGTATCGAAGTGAGAAAATTTAAAACAAGACAAAATGCAATTTGTTTCTACATCATATCCAATATAAATACGCCAAATTTTCAGGGAAAGTTTTTGTCCATTTACTCAGGATCCAAACAAACATTCAAGCTTTCAATCTACATGCCTTCACAACAAAAATGTGACACTCAAATTAACGTAAATTATTAACCCCATTACACATATAACGCACAACACATGCAACAACAGCAAGTAATTCCAAAATGGGATGAGAGATATACCTGAGAAACTGCCATGGAGACTCCAACCCCTCCGGCAACTCCATGAGCCCATCTTTAGCATAAATGCTCCTGTACACAGGCCCCGCAGATGGCCTCCCGTCGGCGGCCGGCCTCGATTCTTCAACCTTCACTATAAAATCCATCCCAACTCAGCTAAGTAAGCAAGCTAGCTAAAATGAAAGAACGTACAAGATGAAGAGATAGCTTGCTAGAACAATTTGGATAACTATGGTAATATTATAGTGTTGAAAGCTTTTGGTGAATGTTATAATTAATAACTAGAACCAGAAATGGAGGTGGGACGGTTTGGTACAGCTGAAAGCAATAAATTTTGGTTTTTTGCTTTAGAACAAAATATTCATATCTTCGCCAATTTATAGCGGCGTTTATGAGGGGAAAGTCTTGAAGCTACCAGCTAGCGGCATTTATAATGGTAGATGAAGTTCGGTGGAGTACTTTAGTACTTGTTATTAGAGTTCTTAAATCTAATTACTTTAATTAACTTATAGTCTAAATTACAAGAGGGATGCACATTTCTCACACACGCTACCAAGGTATCATAGGGTTCGAACATAACTGAGACCACTAATTTGCAGATCAAAACCCTTTTTCATTGGACTAGAGCCGATTGGCATTAACTTATTGGAACTAATGCTTGTTTTTGTAAAGAAAGAGAGTAAAACAATAATGCTTTTTTGGTCTTTCTATTTTGTTGGTTTTTGGGTGAGCTGCCTTGTGGTACATTTTGGTGAAATGGGTAGCCAAATTAGAATGACTCTCCAATTATTTGAAACGATTTCCTGATGCAGACATGTTAATTATAGTAATTATTTTCTTTCATGGTGATGTCATGTGCATGAGGAATAAATGGTGCACCAATTCATACAAGATCCAGCTAAGTTGAAGACCAAGTGGTTGGAAAAAATAAATAAATAAATAAATTCTGACATTTGTATACTTGATCTACTAGATAAGAACACTTCCACCCTTATGAGCAAGGTCAAGATAAGGGCTGTTAGTATTCACATGAATAGTGGCAGCCCTTTCAATTTTGTTTCCACCCCTATGGGCTGAGGGCAAGGTAAGGGCTGTTAGTATTCACGTGAATAGTGGCAACCCTTTCAATTTTGTCTCCACCCTTAGGAGCTAAGGCAAGGGCAAGGGCAATTACTATTTACATGAGATATGAGGAGATGAATTTGTATAGAGTTTTTGGTGTGAGAAGTAAAGAATATGTCTAGGAATTTGTAAAAAATAAAAATTAAAAAAAATGATTTTTTTTTCTTTTGGTTGCTGACGACATTATGACATTAGCATTGTGTTATTTTGCTCAGGTAGCAGCTCGAGCTGAACTTGCCTGTGAGCTTGCCTAGGTTGTTAGGGCCCACTGTTTGCCCAGGTTGGAACTCTTGCGCTGAAATTGCCTTTGGTTGCTTGGGCCCCTTCTTGCCAGGGTCCCCTCTCAGCGGTGGAAGTGCTCTAAGATTTCCAGTCTTTGTTAATGTTGATTTAAATATTTGGTTGGTTATCTCGTTGTATACCCTAAAGATTTTAATAAAATTAACTTTGCCACAAGTATTTTTCTGTGATGTCTTTAGAATTAGTTAAATGGAAAATTGTAAATTGATCCTTTAGATTTTGATATTTTTCTATTACGTCCCAAGTATTTATCTCTTTTATTTTTTTAATTACTTTGTTCACTGTCTTTATCTTATAGATCCATATCTCATCTGTCATAAGAGACAAACTCTAGCAGATTTTTTTCTTTTTTTCTTGGAAGTAATGAAATTTTATGACTGCATTTTACATGCTGAAAAAATATAGACAAATAAATGTTAAAGTCATAGGTTAATTAAAACCTAAATTTACTTTAATTTAATTTAAAATGATGGAAGTTAGCTGAAAAATGCAGGTGGGTGAGGTTGGGTATGACAAAAAGAAATTAATGGTAGATTGATGCATAAGTCTAAGCAGTCCATCAGAATGATTGCCTGTTGGACTAAACTCCAACAAAATTTGTGACTCTGTTAGACATTTGGTACAGCAATGTTTGAACCTTGACAAGTTGACAACATCCTGATTGATATCTCATCATTTGAAGCTTTTCTTTATCTTTTTCTTTTGTGATTAAAAGATTAATTACATATGTCAAATTGCATTCAAGGTCCAAAATGAGAATCCTGACTGAAAAAAAAACAAAAGGATGCAAAATAAGAATTCAATTTAAATAGTAATAGGGCCGCTTATGATGAATATGCTACAACTCCTGGTACCTAACTTTTTTGCTTGTTTACTGATACCTTAGAGCACTTCCAACGATAAGGGGATGCCTGGGTAGGAGAGGGTCTAGGCCCGCATGACGGCTTCAGCGCACAAGGGTAAGGCGTGAGGCCCATCAACTCGGGCAAGCCAACAAGCAAATTCAACCTGTGTTGCTGCATGGGCAAGTGACGTAATGATGACATCATAATGACGTTAACAACTAATTAAAATAATAATATATTTTATTTTATTTTTTAAAAGGAAAAAAAACCAAAAAATTCAGTTTTTTATTTTTTTATAAGTACCTAATCATATTCTTTACTTCTCACACTAAAACCCTAAGCCCTATCAAAATTAATCATTTATGTATAAATAAAAAATAATTTTTTTTAAAGTGAATAGTAATTACCCTTTACCATGACAAATGAATTAAAGTACTCTTAGATTATCTGTGTTTTAGTTTTGAGGGCATTTGAGTTTATTTATGTGAAGTATTTGTTATTTTTGAAAGTACGGAATAAATTTTGACTATTTTTGATAAAAACTCTAATAAATTCAGCCTAAACTACAAAATGGGCCTAAACTAAAGGTTCAGCTTTCATCCAAGCCCAAAAGTTGGCTGGCCGTAGCTGGGGTTTTTCCCTGCTCTGTCAGCCCATTTGTCTAAACGAATTTGTTCATACCAAAGAATGAAAAATACTCTTTGCAGATGTTTTCAAGTCCAAATATGATTATATATTTTGCACAGATGAGGCAAGATCCCAATAAGAGAACAAGGCTGCGAGAGTAGCAGCAGCAACAGGGGAGCAAAATTAACCAAAAACTGCCAAACAGCAAAACCAGGCAGCCCCATAAAAGGAAACTGAAATTCTACAGAAATCAAAAAGGAAGCAGCCAAAAGGAACCATAAATCAACTTCAGCAACCCTATTAAAGAAAACAACTCTGCCTGCAATTCAATTTCAACCCCAAAAATTCTTTGTTATAAATTACATGATCCATGCATCAACAAGGACCCAAAATGCTACAATATTGCACAGAGATCTAAAACACCAAAAATTACCCAACTTGCGGCGTTGACTTTCTCCAATGTGGACGACCGACCTCACATTCTACCAACCCACTAAGGTCAATGAGATGAAAAGAATGACAATGACAAGTACAGAAGAACACTGAGCCCATTGCACTTCTTCACATCCTGCTCTTTCTCTGTTTTCTCTGCCTAGTGCCTACCCCAAAAAAAAAACCTATATCAACCCAAACCCCCAAATTGCCACTAGACTTATAGCCCTAACCCTAGCTCACATGGCATTTTGCATTATTGTCGGTGGGTTTTTGCTCTAACACAAATAAATGGCGCCAAAACCCATTAAATCTCTCTCATTTATGAGCCTCTCTTCAAAACCCCAGTTTTTTGTTTTGTTTTGTGTGTTTTTCTTGCTCTCCTTCTCTCTCGTCAATTCTGGGCATTTAATGCCTCTTCAGCCCCCAATTAATGACCGCACCAGCCCTCATTTACTCTCCGACTCTCCCATCTCCCACCGTCTGTTCTTCTCCCTCGCTCGCTCCATCCCCTCCCTCCACGTGTCTATCCAGAATTTTAATCGTTCGGATCTTTTCTCTTGGTTTCTATCTTCTGTTAAACCTCTCTGGCGATAACAACGCCTCTGGATCTCCGCACCGGAGGCGGCTCGACGAGAAAGCTGACATCGCCGACGATCTCATGAACATCGGACTCGTCATCGACTTGCTCCGCCGAGACGATCCTCCTGCGCCGCCGCCGGAGAATCTCGCGCTCGGCTCCGTCAGCGGGAAGAAGCATTTCCGGCGGAAGAAAGGCGATTTCATATTCACGCCGCCTCTGTACGTTGACCTAAAGGAGAAGACCCGAGCCTTCGTCAACGACCCGAAGGGCGACGGCCGCTTGCTCCAGAAGCTTCCTCTCCGGTACCTCCACGGTGACGCCGTCGCTGGCTCCGTCACCATCATCCTCTCCGCCGACGCCGAGCTCCGCTCGAATCCGAACGAGTGCGACCGCTTCAGGACGAAATCTCCGCCGTTGATCCGATAATCCTCCCAGTAGTTGGAGCTCCTCCTCGGCGACCGGTCCTCCGCGCACCGTTCGATCTCGGTGACGATCGAATCGGAATCCCGAGACGCCGGAGCTTCGGCAAGCGGCTCGAGAGCGATGCTCCGGAAAACGGCGTCGTCGAGGCTCGGCCGGATCCTGGCGGCCATCAACGGAATGAACGGAGACTCCGGGCGGAATATTCCGGCGCGGCAGAGAGGACAGTTGGCGTGAGATCGAAGCCACATGTCGATGCAGTCCACGTGAAATACGTGCGAACAGACCGGAAGAGTGCGAACGTAGTCGTCGTCTTGGAACTCGATCAAGCAAACGGCGCAGTCTTTACTGAGAGGATTATTCAAACCCGTCGACGTCGTTTTGGACGTGTAGAGAGAGAGCGGGATCGTTTTGATGACCGACTCGTCGAGGCCGTAAGGAGAGAAGGCGTGGAAGCCGAGGTCGGCCGGGTCAAACGACGAGTCGTACCGTGGAGAGTCGAGGTCGCCGATGGAGGAGGGGAGGTAGGAGCGGCGACGACGGCGGCGCCAGCGTCGTTGGAGGCGGAGGATTGGCGGGATGACGTGTTGGGAGATGAGGCGGGAGTAAGTGACGATTAGGAAGGCGGTGGCGACGATGACCACCATGGCGATCAACGGCGGGGAAAAGTCGATGGGGTACTTGGACGGCGGAGATGATGCATGGAGTGAGGTGGCTGTGATGATGGGAACGGATAGGGTGGGTGCGCGTGCAGGATATGGCGATGGAGCTGGAGCTGGAGCTGCAGCTGCTGCAGCAACCATTTTTATGGCGTTTATCAGTGGAATGAAGTCATGGTGTTTTGAAGGAGAAGTGTTTTGTGGGGAAGGAGGGAGGAGGTTTAATGGGTTACGGTTGACTGTTTAGTCGTTTTGTTTGCTTTTTTGTTGCGATGCGGTGCGTTTCGGTCGTCGATGCCTACGACACGTCAGGGTCAGTGAATTTAAGGCCGCGCGAAGCTGCTATTTTCTTGTACGGGTTGCACCACGTTGCTCTCCGTGTGGACTATTTCTTTTTTGGGTTCGTTTTTGTGTAAATTCTGGAAAATACCAAACTAACCCCACAACCGTTGTTGAAAAATCTTAACTCATAAGTTTGTTACAGGATCACAGAACAGATACTGTAATGAATTCGCAACTTAATTGTTGACCACTTATGTCTCGATTCCGTTTTGTGCCTTTGTCAAGAAGAATTTTTTTTGGTAATTCCTGTCAAGAAGAAATTGGAAGATAATGTATGGATAAATGTTTTTTGTTTTTTTCAACAAAAATCGGGAATATTATAATATATATAAATCATGGCATGGTTTTCAAACTAAGAAATTTTTGCTTGTTGCTCGTGATATACCATCCAATATACATAAGACATATAAAAAAAATTATTTTAATTTTTAAAAAATAGTGTAGTAAGTTGGTGCATATTTCCACATGTCCTTTATATATGGGATAGAACACCAGCTGGTGGTGTAACCAGACCATGCAAAAATATCTCTTTCAAAATAGTTTTTACAATAATTGAGTTATTTACACTAAAGCAGTTAGGTTTTCAGTGTTCTTACAAAACTCCTTGATGTTACAAACACCACATGCGGGTTTAAATTGTTTTTAGAAAATCCCTTCTTGTTGATTTTTTCTCCAAAAATGACAATTTATATGAAAAATTTCTCTAAATGACCAAGTTAGCCATTGAGATTAGATTGCACATACAATCATTGAGGTTAACTTTGTAATTTGTATAAGTTGTTTTCAATGAAATCGTCAAGTTTTGGACGAACAATCAATGAGAAGGAATTTTATGAAAACAATTTAAAACTTTAGGAGATGTTAGTATAAATAACTCATAAGTTAAATTGACTTGATTTAAGAAAACTAACAAATATAAAAACTTTGGGCAAGAATGATTTTTGGTTTTGGATATGCAAACAAAAGAAAGAATGGATGGGCCTCCAGTAGGATTATTGGGCTATTTGGATGGTGACCAAGCTCACATTTCGAGGCCTTGAACCAACGGATTCCGCATTAGTCGAATCAAATATTGTAATGCAATCTAATTAATAAATCCATTAACACTAACCATCAACACTAATTATGGATGCTCATGCCCAAGACAACAACAACCCTCGTCGGATCAACTGGCGGGGAACAATCGCCAAATGGTTGAAAATAATCGCCAAGTGGTGGGGAGCAATCGCCATCCTCTCCGTCGGCGCCATTCTTATCATCGTCTTGGCAGTCTTGATCCTCTTCAAGCAGGTCGTAATCAAACCCCTCGACCCTGAGTTCCGCCTCCAATCCGCCACCGTCTCCCTCCTCAATACCTCCGCTGCCGAATTCACAGCCACGTGGCACGTGAAGTTCATCGCCGTTAACCCCAACCACAAGCTCAACATCTCCTACAACAGCATGCGGGCTGCCATGTTCTACAAAGCGAACAACAGCGACGGCAACGGCGTCTTGCTCGCAACGAAGCCGGTGCCGCCGCCGTCGGCTTTGAGCCCCAAGGCCGAGACCACTCGCAGTTTCAGAGTCGAAACGGCGTCGGCGTACGTGGGCGAGGACCTGGCGAAGGAAATCTCGGAGGGGAGAGCTCGTGGGTCGGTGAGCTTTGTGCTCAGGTTGTTGGGTACGTTTAAGTATTCCTCGTACTGGACAGATCCCAGAAAGTTTGAGGCCTCTTGCGACCGGGTCGAGTTCGGGTTTTCCCCGGGTAACTCGACCGGGGCACTGACACTGGGTCAGTCAAGAGCATGCGGGACTGATCTGAGAAGTGGTAAGTTTTGTCTTTTCGATTGATTGGTTTGACATTTTCTTGGTAATTTGGTTTGGTTGGTAACTCTTGTAGTAGTCGCAGTTTATTAACTCTTTGAAATCTTATTTTGTTTGTTAATTCATTGTATAATATATTGTAAAATAATTGTAATATTGTTGAAGTTTTTTTCCCCCCTCTCTCTTTTGGGTAAAAATTCCAGAAAATAAACACTGATGTTGCATTGTTGGGGTGAGGATGGGTGGAAAGGATATAGTTCATATAAAGCAGTTTAGGGTTTAAAATTTTCACCTCAATAGAGTGCAGAAACTTCATCCACATCTACAAAATCATGCATTCTCTCCAACCTCCTCATCGGTGCCTCACCGAGGCTGAAAGAAATCAACAAATTTTTTTTTTTTCAACCAAAAACCGGAATATATACATATAAATCACGGCATGTAATTTAACAATTGGAATTTGAGACATCTTCTAACTTTGGTAAGTGAACCAACTTATAGATCAAGTTACCATATGAGAAGAGGGGGTAGTGGGAGAAGAATATGGGAGGATTTTGTTTATCTTTCTTTTTTCCTTATATAATTTGTAATTACTATCTGCTCTTTCCATATCAACTTTAAATTTTGAGTTTTTAAATAAAATGGTCCCCAAATTTATACACGAGTTGCATTTTGATCCCTCAATGATTCATCAACTCTTTATTTTTCGGTGCATTGGTCCTACCATCTATAGTATTAAAAATGTCTCTCTCAATATATGCAACGAAGCAATCATTCATCCATAAATTGAAAGACCATTAAAATCAATAGAAAAAAAATTAAAATTTCACAAACTAAAAAAAATACCACAAGTAAAGAGAAAATAATAAAAAATAAGAGAACTACTAACAAACTTTAATTAAATGAATTAACCTAATTAAAACTTGATAGCTTAATATGGAGTTTGAGAGTGACTCACAAGCCGCACAATGAGAAAGTCTGCTTTGCTGCTTGTCTATGCTCAAAGAAAATAGAGAGTTTTTATCAATTTGTGTAAGAGGGTCCAAATCTCACGCTTAATTACTACGGTGCCCTAATAATAAGAGCTATAAACCGATTGGAAAAGGAAAAGAAAGTGGCATAAGCTGGGAGGAAGGGCTCACGTGATAAAATAAACATATTATTTAATATAGATTATTCAATAACAACAATACATAGTACATTTTAAAAGAAAAAAAAATTTGAGTGAGGGCTTGGCACTGCATTGGTCCTCACATGCTTTTAACCCTCCTCCTCTTTATGTTTCATTTTCCCTTCCTACGGGAAACTTTGGAAAATGAGCCACCATTAAATGCATATTTTTTATGACCATTTTGTCTTCATTAACAATTTAGAATTAATATATATATATATATATATATAAAGCAAAAGGCAGAGAATGGTGAAACATTCAAAATATCAGAAAATGCGTTAATGCAAGCATTAAGAATTGAAATTATTAATTAAATGACGATAATATGGTAAATTCATACTTTTTCATATTTAAAAAAACTAAAATTAAAAGAAAAATCATATACTGAATCATATTTTTATGAAACACAACTACCCATTATCTTTTTTAATTCTAAAATAAATTTAAATTTTTTTTTAAAAAGCCTTTCACAGACGCAAAAGCACGTGCAGAGAGGCTAATATAACATTAAATGCATTCTTTTTTATTTATTTATTTATATATTTGATTTCATATGGGTATAATTGAAAAATTAAACAAACTTTGTTTTACATTCCTACGTAAACCAAATATGGGGAAAAAAAAATGATGTGGTATTTGCTGGTTACTTTTCCAGCATTACCAAACATGATAAATAAAAAATTTCCATTTCCCTTCTTTTAAGAAAAGTCAAGGAAAATTATTTCCACAAAATCTTTTCTTCCAACGAAACATTGTGTTTACAGAACATCTAAGTTTTTTGTTAATAATTTGTAATTACTATTTTGACCTTATGATATCAACTCATTTGATTTAGTGTAAATTAAATAAGGGCATAATTGACACTTTATAAACAGTTTGACTAAATAGTTGGCAAGTCGACTAACGTACGTTGGCTAGAGATGATTCCAACTCGACTTTTTGTACCAGCAAGCAAGAATCCAATTTATGATGGAATTTGAATTTAAAAAGGAGTCTTTTCGTTTTTATACTCTCTCTCTCTCTCTCACCCTCATTTATTAGTCTCTCTAATTATTATTCATTAACACTAATAATCAAAGACTAATTATGGGTGCTGCTGCTGATGCTGATGCTTATGCCGCCGAAGAAGACAAAACCCCTCAAGCTTGTCAGAAAATGTGTATGTGTATCCTCTTCTGCCTCTGCCTCACGATCCTTGTAGGTGTGATCTGGCTCTTCAACCTCACCGTCAGGCACATCCTCAGGGACATCGAAATCAACCGCGTGGACCCCACGTTCCGCCTCCACTCCGCCACCGTGTCCCTACTCAACAACGCCTCTGCCTCCGACTTCACCGCCACTTGGGACGTGACGCTGGTCGCCTCCAACTCCAACCACAAGCTCAACATCTACTACGACACCCTCCAGGCCGCCATCTTCTAGAACGCGAACCGCAGTAACAGCTATAGGCCCAGAGTCTTGCTGGCAACGAAGCCGCTGCCGCCGCCATCGGCTCTGAGAACCAGGGCCGAGACCACTTTTAGTTTCCGCATCGAAGCCGCGTCCGCGTACATAGGTGATGACATGGCCAAGGAAATCTCGGAAGGGAGAGCTCGTGGAATGGTGAGATTTGAGCTCACCCTGTTGGCTATGTATAAGTTTCCCAACTGGTATTGGACATATCCCAAATTGTTTGCGGCCTGGTGCAACCCCGTCGAGTTTGGATTTTCCCCGGATAATTGGATCGGGACGTCTCAGTCAAGTGCATGCGAGGAGAATGGGGATCTAAGTCGTTTGGTATTACATATTGCAAGATGAGTTTATTGACTCTTTGAAACCGATTTTATTTATTTTTATTTTTAATTTATATTCATGGAAAGGAAAAAGAAGGAACATATGTGTAATCTTACACTTACAGCAAGGATTACTCAAAATTTAAATTTAGCCAAGGACTAGTATCTAGTTTCTTTAAATACATTACCTAAATTGCAAGTACCAATATTTCTGTATTGTTAGAAAATTGAATATTTTTTTTAGTTATTGTATAAATGAAATATGGGAACGAGAATAAATAATTATTTCTTATTAACGTAATGAGTATTTTCAAACACTATGATGGGAGTCATATCTTCCCATCCTCTAAAATGAGTTTAGGGCTGACATCCTCATCGAATTGATTATGCTAAATAAATGGTACTTGTAAAACCCATAAAATTCATATCTTATGTACAACTCCCATAAATAAGACGTCTACCTTCTGTTTTATAACTCCGATTTATAAGTTTTCTTATGGCAACATTAATGCACTTCTTACAATCCATTTCAGAAAGGTCCCCAATACGTTCAACTACACCATAAACGGTCCTTGTATTTGATACTTTTAGTTGCCCATGAGCATGCAACAATCCACGAACAACTTTGTTACATAATTGTGTTAAAACTTGATGCACTTTCTTTCTAATGAACTTGGTATTATAAAGGGAATTGGGGCTTTTCAAATAAACCTCATTAACTGTGTCTTTTTTACCAAAGAAATTTTCATCTGAGTATTTTAGTATGCAACTTACCATCCAAATTATAGCTCCTCGATTACTATTTTGCGCCAGCTGATATACATAAATATTTTGTTCTATTATAGATTTAGATGTAACCTTGATATTTCCACTTAAGTTTCCTGAATTCGGAATTTCTTTAGATAATACTTGTGTCAATAACAAATTCAAGTTTTCTGCATAAGGCCCATTATGTAGAAATTCTACTGGATTGAAACATTTATAGCCCAAAATAATAGGTCTATAAGTGGCTCTGGTATCTTGGGGCAAAAGCAAGAAAGACTAAAGACCAAAAAAGATCAATAGTTTCGAGTATAACATGTTTTGTAAATTGAAATATGATACAAATTCCCTAACACAAGCGTGTATTTATATACATTTTTCTTATATTTAGATGATTTGTGTAGTAAATTTTAGGGATTGTTCAATACAGGTTCTTACATTTTCTATTTCCTAGACGATGAATGTTAGTAACTTTTTCTCTAACCTTCTCCTTTGGACCTTCTCCATTTTTTTGCTTGACATGTGTCATTCTCCTTACACTTAAAACAATGTCATTAATATATTATACAAGCTAACTTTTGCTTTCCAAGTTTACCCTTATTAAATGTATTCAATTTATCAAAAAAAAATTTCACAACTTTCTTACCATCTTATTAATTTTTTTTTAACGTAAATTAATTTTTTTAAAGAAAAATATCTGCTTTTAAAAGGAAATGTCCCTTTTTTTTTTTTTTTTTTATAAAACACGAAGGGTTTAGATAGGAAAAAAAAAGTCCTTTGTGTTTTTAAAAAAAGGGACATTTCCTCTTTTTTGAAAAAAGCAAACATTTTCTTTAAAAAAATAATTGACGTTTAAAAAAAATAAATAAGATGGTAAGAAAGTTGTGAAATTTTTTGGGATAAATTGAATACATTTAATAGGGGTAAACTTGGAAAGCAAAAGTTAACTTGTATAATATATATTAATGACATTGTTTTAAGTGTAAGGAGAATGACACATGTCAAACAAAAACTGGAGAAGGTCCAAAGGAGAAGGTTAGAGAGAAGGTTGCTAGCATTTCCATTCCTAGACATATACCCATCACTCTATAAATCTACTTGTAAAATCCAATTTCAAATTTAAATGACTAGTATGATATAAGAGGTTATAGTATTCCTATGTTTTTACATCATTGCCACCAGACTTTATATTTTATTTATAATTTATTTCAAGCATTTCATTAACTATCATAATTGTAATTAATACTCCATATTAATGGCATATCACTCACCCCATTTATTTTGGTTGTCATTCCCTTTAAGAGCATCTCTAACCGATGTGTCAAGCGTGCTACATAGACATTTAACAGCTATAAATAATATCTCACATCACTCCAACCGATGTGTATGTGGAATGAAGGCTGGAGGTTGAGATGTTATTTTTGACATCCCAAAAGCAAGATGTCAAATGAATATTTTATTATTTTTTCCTTTCTATTATTTTTAATAAAAAATGAATCAACACTAAAATGTAAGAAAATAATAATTTAATTTGGCATATCGGGTGGAGTGTAAAGCTGTGTAAGATGTCAAATTGCCACATCAGCCATCAAATTTAAATTTGACGTTTGGTATTTGACATCTCCCTTGGAGATGCTCTAACATATCAGCCCTAAAATTACAAAACCAAATTTTTTTATTTTTTATTTTTGTAAATTACATATCCAATAATGTACCTATGAAAAATATAAATATAAATATTTATGTATAAAAATATAGGTATATTATCTAGGCTTAATTATAAGGTAAGTTAAGTTGAATTTGAAGGGTGTAAGCCAAATTCACTAAAAAATTATCTTAGTAGTTGTATACATATTAAAATATAGGCTTAATTGTAGCAATCGTCTCTAAACTATACCTCGTTTTTCATTTTTGTCCAAAAATTCCAATAATAGTTGTTGTAGCCCTCAAATTAAGTCTAGGGTTGCATTACTAGTCCGTAGGTTATCACTTTGAACATAAAAAGAGTTATCACTTTGACCATAGGAGCTTACCAATCTGCAGCTAAAAAATAGTAAGCATGAAAAATAAAATATAAAAAATTCTAACCTTTCAATCTAATATGGGTTTTCCATAAAAATTGAAAATGGCAATTGAGATTTTCTAGGAGAAATTAAACATATAGAACTGCAAGATGGGTAGATTCAATTATGCTAAAATATGAAACCGAATATGAGAATATTTGTTTGTGGAAATTTTTTGTATATTCCTCTCCTTGTAGGAAGTCATATTTATAATACAACAGAGCTTTAGTGAACAAGTAAATAATAAATTCCTATTTCTATTTACAATAGGAAATCAGGAATTAAAATAAATTAAATATAATTATAATGGGAATCCTTTGTGTGTAAGGAAAGAAAGTCAATGATCCACAAGTCACACCAACACTCCCCTTCACATTGGTGCATAGATGTCGCCAATGCCCAACTGGTCTAGTGAATTGTGGAATGTTCTACTGGAAATTGCCTTTGTCAAAATATTCGCCAATTGATTCTCAGACTTTACAAAAGGAAACTGAGTCACTTTAGCTTCGAGCTTCTATTAGATATAGACTATAGTGTAGATCTACATCAACATGTTCGGTGTGATCATGTTGAACTGGATTATGTGCAATAACTATTGCAGCCTTATTGTCACAAAAGAGATTCATTACAGATGTAGGTCTATACCCAAATTCTGCAAGCAACCTCTTTAACCAAATGAGTTCACAAATTCCTTTAGAGAGCAACATAATATTTCCCTTTTAATAAATTAATCTCAAACCATAACAATTATTAAATTTGAAAATTGGTATAAATAAAAGGAAATAAATAAGCTATCAATTTGAAAATTAAAATATGAAATGATCAAGTAGTCAAATTTATAAATAAATAATAAAAAAACGAGTATAATCTTTTTTTTTTTAATAGGAACAACGAGTATATTCAAACCATATGGCAGTAATTATGCCAAGATTTAATTAATTTTTTTATAAATAAGGAAAAAATTAAATCCTTGAAATTTATACAAAATTGAAATATAATTAATGGGCATTAAATTGCAGATAATTTCTTAAACAAATCATGTTAAAAATGCAATCAAGGGTATTACAGGAAGTTAAAAACTATAACATTTAACACATTAAGCTTGATTAGAAAATTTGATGAGTTGAATCCTAGTCATCGGGTTTTTCTTATAAAAATCGGGTTTTATTTATAGTGCTACAATTATCTTATAGTGCGGGAATTCTATGTGGGAAGTGGCTACATAATCAGAAATTGAAAGTAATTCGGGTTTTATTTGAATTCCTAGGTGTGCCAGCGGTCGCATAATCAAAAATTGAAAGTAACTCATTAGTTAGTTTCCCAAAACTAATTGTTTTCTCTTATAACAATTTTTCACAATAATTGATTTTTTTTTCTTTCTAATCTTACCAAATGGGCTAGGCTTTCAAAATTTTTAAAATAATTACTTATGCCCTCAATAAGCAATGCTAAATGGGCAAGCGAGTTTCCTTACCAAACTTATTAGCGTTCAGTTAAGTTTCTTAACAAGCCTAGTATTTAACTTTCTTTTCCTTGTGATACGAGTAAATATAGGCTAAGAACCTATTGGGACAAGAACTTATTGTCCCGCATAGAATTCCCATTAGGGCCAACCAAATATATAATCTAAGCTAATAAATCCAACACTGCTCTCTTGTTTTCAGGAGTTTTCTTTATTTCCTTTTTTACTCACGGTGTAATTAAGATTCCTTGTATTGGTAGGTTTATTTGTAAAACACTCTTGTGAATTCTATAAATTGCCTCCAAAGTGGAGAGAAATAATAATCCGAAAATTCCCCAAATATTGTTTGACTTCTTACCCTCTCTCTCTCTCTCTCTCTCTCTCTCTCTCTCTCTCTCTCTCTCTCTCTCTCTAGTCATCATAAATTAACACTAATCAAGACTAATTATGGAAGCTGCTCCTGCAGCTGAAGACAACAACCCTCGTCGGATCCATTGGGAGAAGGTTGTAGAGCAGGGCCTTCTCTGCTGCTTCTTCCTGATACTTCTAGGAGGGTTCATCTACTTCGCCGTCAGCGACCTCAGAATCCATCTCGTAGCACCCGCGTTCCGCCTCTACTCCGCCACCATGTCCCTTCCCGATGCGTCCGCCTCCGAATTCACTGCCACATGGGATGTGACTGTCGTCGCGTTCAACCCCAACCACAAGCTTAACATCTCCTTCAACACCCTGCAGGCCGCGGTCTCATACGGAACAAAGGTCTCCTATGCAACAGATCCCAGCGGGAGTGCAGCAGTCTTGCTCGCGACAAAGCTGGTGCCGCCGCCCTCGTTTCTAACCACAAGGGCCCGGACCACTCACCGTTTCACAGTCGAAACAGTGTCGGCGAACGTAGGTGATGATGTGGCCAGAAAAATCTCCGAAGGGAGAGCTCATGGAGGGGTGAGGTTTGAGATCAATCTGTTGGGTCAGTATAGGTATACCTCGTATGACAAAAGTCCCAGAATGTTTAAGGCTTGCTACCAGGTCGAGTTTGAGTTTTCCCCGGGTAATTCGACTGGGGCACTGACACGAACGCGCCAGCCAATTGAATGCGAGCATTATGCGAGAAGTCATACATAGGTTTTGTTTTGTTTTTTGTTTTAAAATTTTGTGGTGGAGACGGTGGATTTCGTTGCTAACTATAGTACTTGCAGTTCATTGATTCTTTAGAATCTGATTTATTAGTTCACTAATGTGATTTGATTTAACACTTATTATGTATTGTGGTTCAGTCCAAAAAAATGTGATTTAATTTTAATTTTAATTTGATTTAACACTCATATATTTGGATACTTTTCGACAAATCTTTTGTGTTAAATCCAATAGCTAGCTATGGTTGGAGAGCATTGCTTGTATAAAAAATAAAATAAATAAAAAAGATGAAGAGGTGAGTCAAGATGAGTTTTCAACAGTTTTTGATTGATGATGAATAAACTATAATCATGTTGTTTTCTTTCCAAACATTTGTTTTAGAAACAGATGAACTAAAAATTTATAATTTCGATAGAAGAATGTTATATAGTGAATTTTCTTTTGCAGATTTTAATAGGGTTTTGCTAAATTTCTTATACCAATGACTTTAATGTTATGAACTAATAAACGTTCCTATTTGCTTCCTGTCAAAGTGGTTTGTTTATTTTCAAATTTAATCATACCAATTTTTGTATACATAATTTATAATGTGCGCTTTTGTAAAGCATTATGGCAAGGAAAAAACAACCTTTCATATTTATGATGGTAATTTGGGATTCAGATGCTTTGTTTTGGTTTAGTACGCTAGTTAGAATATGTTTGACGTTTGCCTTCCATACGCCACCTCATTGAAATTTAATCCAAGGGATTGAAAATTGACACATCATCCTTAAAACAAAAACACCTAATTTACTTCTAATTAAAAAAATAAAAATTTTAAAAAAGCCCTAACTCTGCTAACAGATATTTCATCGACGAAACGTCGTGTTTAGATTCAATCATGAATTGGATCTCATGGGTCTGGACAAAATCGAAATCGGAGTGACCGTCGCTTCTTTTTGCTCTGTTTTCTTATATCTCAATCTTCCAAGTTGATCCAAAAATAGGGGAATTGTGCACGAGCCGTCAACATTTTAGAGGCCTGGACTAAAAATAAAAAAACTGAGGAGGACTTCTCACATTATGCCGCATGCAATTGACTGACCCGCTCGTGTCAGTTCCTCAGTCCAATTACCTGGGGAAAACCCAAACTCGACCCGATAGCAAGCCTCAAACATTCTGGGACTTGTGTTACTCGAGGTATACCTATACCAACCCAACATCTGGAGCTCAAACGTCACCCCTCCCCGAGCTCTCCCTTCCGAGATTTCTCTGGCCACTTCATCACCTACGTACGCCGACACTGTTCCGACTCCGAAACGGTGAGTGGTCTGGGCCTTTGTGGTCTGAAACAAGGGATGTGCACCGGCTTTGTCCCGAGCAAGACTGCGGGGCTTCCGCTGGGGTCTGTTGCGTATAAGACCGTGGCCTGCAGGCTGTTGTAGGAGATGTTGACCTTGTGATTCGGATTGAACTCAACGACAATCACGTCACACTTAATATTTATAATATACAAATTAATGCAACTATGAGGGTCCTTTTTTATTTTTTATTTTTTATTAAATCGTATAGCCGCGCGGCTATACTTATTTTTGACACGTGGCGTTAAAGATAGAGGGTCTTCTCTTTTTTTAACAAAAATAGTACGGCCGCCGGCTATACTCCATGCTTTTTTTTTCTTTTTTTTTAAAGGACTTGTGTTGACACGTGGTGCCTAATCTCTGTTTTGATATTTAAAAATACGCACGGCTAGACTGTTTTACATAGGGCGCCTAGGGGCTGCACAGCTGCTCAGTTTTTGCTAAGTAAATAGTATAGCCGCGCGGGTATACTCGATTTTTTAATTTGCTTTTAAAAATATTATAGCCGGTCGGCCGTACTGGTTTATGTTTTTTTTTAAATAAATAAATAAATAAATTTTCTTTAATAAATAGTATAGACTAGCGACTATCGTCTTTTACATATATATATATCCAAAAATACTTTATACATTATTAAATTAATATTTATTATATCTTTGATATATATATATATATATTATATTTTGGTCGATCTTCCAATCGAACCATAGGATCTAAAATAGATCACGCAAAATTGGCACATTCGTCATATAACTACCTAAAAATGTAAAAGGGGATTTTATTAATTAAATTGGATTAATGAGTTTATATAGTGATAATAATTTAGAAAAATAATATATATATATATGTACGTACATATTTTTCAATAATACATACATGTTCTATACACGTCTCATGTTTTTTGAAAAGCAAACATACAATAGTCATATTGTACTTGTACGTACGTATTTCTAATGTTTTATTCACGTAATTTTTACAAAATTTTCAGTAAGACACACAAAATTCACGTATTATACAAATAATTCTCACATATTATTGAATAAGAATAACATATGTTATAAAAATTATATTAAAATATCATATAGTGGAAGATTAATATCTACATTGGATATGTTGAAACTAGCTTACGGTGAATTCGGAGGCAAACACATTGGGAAGGGACATGGTGGCGGAGTGGAGGTGGAACTCCGGGGAATTGATTCCGAGGTCGCTGGCGGCGTCGCTGATTAACACGATCATAATTATTATGTACAAGCAGAAGAGGATAGCTCCTATTATGAACTCATACCAACGGACCCGATGAGGGTTGTTGTCTTCGGCCACAGAAGCAGCTTCCATAATTAGTCTTGGTCAGTGTTAATTTATGATTAGAGAGACTAGAGAGAGAGAGAGAGAGAGAGAGAGAGACAGTAAGACTATATAGAGAGAGCAGTGTTGGATTTATTAGTTTTACATTATATATACGGAATTTTGGTTTAAACTCGATGGGAAGTTTACTATTGTGGTAGATAAGAACTCAATTTCAATTAATCTAGATGAGGTGAATGACTGAAAAATAACATCTAATTTTACAATAATATGATTACAAAATCTCATAATTACACTCATTCCATACAAATTCATTTAAAATCAATCACTTTTATATCACTACTTCCTTCCAACAACAACAGCATCAAGTTTCGAATAATGATTCTACTAAAACGGATAGTTATCCACATAATGCTAAAGAGCTTCACATGTTTGTTTGGAGCTCCAGTGCTTCCCCTGTTTTGGAAGGCAGTGGGATCCTGTTTTGGTTTCTGATCACCGCCAAAATGGAGAAAACAAAGGCAACGTTCGAACTTATTTTTCCTTAGAAAAAGGCATTAATTCAAAATATAGTTAATTTTTCCATATTTCTATCATATAATTTATTTTTTGTTGTTGATAATGAATGTAACCTCATGAGAGTGCAAAAACAGGAACTGTAACAAAAAAACAATAAGTGTTGAATTGAGAGAAAAGAAATGGAAAAAAAATATTAAATTGGTCATGCTGCAACTACTAATCTCTAACAAAACAAGCTTAAAAGTACAAATAAAACAAAATAGTTTAATCATTGAGGTAAACAAAACATAAAATGCAACAAAAAAGCAAAATTAAAAAATGCAATAAAATATGTAAACTGGAAGTAAGTTGGGGGAAGGGCATTCGTCGTTCAGCCTGGTGGTTGCTGCATAATTTTCCTTTGTTATATTTTTTATTTTTTAAAATTTTATTTTTAAGGATAAAAATAAATGGTAAATCCAGCCGTTAACAAATTATACACATGACAATTTTTGAGTGGGAGTATCACCAACTGACATGGTGATATGATACCTTTCTATAATTTCTCTAGGATGGACTTAGTATAAGTTGTTGGAATTTGAATCCAGGAAAAACTCTGGATTCTGCATAGCATAGGACTCGCAGAGGCAAACCAAATATATTATATAATGTAAGCTTACCCCATCTCTCTCTCTCATCACTAATTTACACTAATAAAAACTGATTATGGATGCTGCTCATGCTTATGGAGACAACGACAACAAGCCTCGATTCGATTGTGCGTTGGTATTAGTCATCGCCATCGTCTTCCTTATCACCGTCGGCATTGTAGCCACCGTCGTCTGCGGCGTCGCCAAGGAGCTTGCAATCAATCCTGTAGACCCCACGTTCCATCTCCAATATGCCACCGTGTCCCTCCTCAACTTGTCCGCCTCGGAATTCACCACCACGTGGGACGTTACGCTCGTTGCGTCCAACCCCAACCACAAGCTCAACATTTCCTACGACAGCCTGCAGGCCACCGTCTTCTACGGAACGGACCACAACGAAAGAGGCAGAGTCTTGCTCGCGACAAAGCCGGTGCCGCATCCGCTAGAGTGTTCAACCACAAAGGCCAATACCACTCTACGTTTCAAAATCGAAACGGTGTCCGCGTACGTCGGTGATGTCGTGGCCAGGGAAATCTCGGACGGGAGAGCTCGTGGAATGGTGAGGTTTGAGCTCAACATGTTGGGCTGGTATAAATATACCTCGTACATGACAAATGCCAGAATGTTTCAGGCCTCGTTGAAACTGTTCAGGTTTGGATTTTTGCCGGGTAATTGGACCGGGTCACTGGCAGGAACGGGTCTGTCAAGTGAGCCTTATCGGATAATTCCTAAGTATTGTATTATATAGTGGAGCATTGGATAGGATAAGCATGGTTGAAGGAACATTGAAGTTGCTTCCAATTGGACCTCATGTACCAGCAGGAACAATCCTATTTAGAATTGGATTCCATTTTCTTAAAACAACTTCTTTCATCCCCAACTTCTATTCTAATATTATTTTTTTGTGCGAAGATTTATGCTATATTTTGGATTTCTTCGAATGTGGATTCAGATTTTTTTAAAATTTATTCTTATTTTGATATTAAAATTGTGTTATCACTCTGTTTTTTGTTGTTGTTGTTGTTGAAAGATGTGTTATCAATAAATTAGAAATTTTGGGACAATAACCTCTTATTCGCATATGACTTACATTAAGAGCATCCACAATGAACTCCCTAAACCACTCTTAGATAATAAAAACGCACCTCCAACCATACTCCCTATCTAACTCCTAAAACATTGAGACTTCTAAATCTGAGGAGAGAGAAATAACTATTAGTGGCTCTCTATAATTAAATTCTTCTTTACTGTAATGCTATTTTAAGTATTTATTTAATGCTAATTAATTATTATTATTTTATATGAAGAGGCTGCATTTATGCTAAACTTAAAAAAGAAATAAATCATTTATGATTTTCTAAATTAGGGAGCATGGTTGGAGTTGAAATAGGGATTTTTGTAGAAATGTCTGCTGAAATTATACTTCAGTTTCAATTTCTCTACTTATCCATTTTAAGGGAATTTAGTATTTTCATTTTTAAGGAAAAAAATAAAGAAAAAAGAGACCTCTCTCTCTTTTTCCCCCACCGACTCCCAAAACACATCACACTGGACTCAATTTAGGTGGGCTGAGAGAATTTGTGTGTGGAGGGTAGGTGTTCCATGTTAAAGAGAGGAGGAAGGGGAAGAAGGAAGGGGAATGGAGGAAGGGGCTGTGAAGAGGGAATGGAGAATGGATTTCAAGGTGGGTGGGGGTTTGGTTGGAATCGTCGGTGACACACTTGGGATGGAAGAAGGTGAATTATATATATATATATAATGATTGTTTCATTTTAAAAATACTCTTGAAAATAGAAAGACTGAAATACCCTTTAAAATGGATGGAAAATTAGATGATGTCAAAGTAAGATGACAAATCATGAATTTTGAAAAATTAAGTTGACATTTCTCTTAAATTTTTATTTAAGGTGACAAATTAAAACTGAGGTATAAGTTTCATCTCAAAAACAACTTATTGTTTCTTTCCACCAAATAAAAAAAAACTGTTTATAGCTTTTTTATAGATCTTTTCGAATGAGAGTGGCAATTGCATACTAAACTCACACATAGTATACGGATGCTAGGACTCGAATCGAAAACCTTTCTTGGAGGAGCAATTGGAAACACAGTATTGTTCAAAGAAGCCAAAAATAGAACAAAACTAAAATAACTATTACTATGTATCTAAAAGAGAAGAAGAAAAAAAGAAAGCAATAAAAAATGAAAACTAAAATATCTATTACTATGTAACAAAACAATGTAAATATCAATAAAGTAAACAAAAATAGAACTTCCATGCAAAATAGAAAATGCAAATAAAAACAAAAACTACAAAAATAAAAAATAAAAGTACAATAAACTACTACCCAATAGCAAAACAATGGTCAAAATCTAATTTTCATTGAAACCCTAACGAAAGGGCAAGCAACAAAACACATGTATGTATCAATGAAACTGCAAACTGAAAATATAAATTGCAAACAAAAACAAAAACCAATTCTAAAGAAATAGAAACTACAATGCATTATATGGGTAAAACTGCACTTATTAATTAGTAAGGAACCAAAAAGGCATAACCATGATGAAAGTACTAAAACAATTAAATAACATATCAATTGTTGATAGAAATATATAAGTTCCATATACTTCACACATTCATACTAAAATTCAAATGATTATTAAACAAATGTACAAAAGGTGAAAACTGCACAACAATTTCTAGAAAAACTAATTCTACAAAAATGGAAACTGTACTACAGAATATGGACAAAGCTACAACAAATGTGATAAAACGAAAAATTGCACAGTAGTTTCTAGAAAAACCAATTCTACAGAAACGTAAACTGTACTGCAGAAGAGAAGAGAGTGTGAAAATAGATTGAGGTATTTTCGGAAGTTTGTAGATTTCATTAAAGCCCAACACCTTTGCAAATGTGATTGCCGCATAATAAAAAATTGAAAGCAGCTCATTAGTTGGTTTCCCTAAAATTATTTTCTCTTACAACAATTTTTCACAAAGATTCTTTTTTTATTTATTTTTTATTTTTTATAATCTTAACAAATGGACTAGGCTTTCAAAGTTTTAAAAATAATCACTTGTGGCCCTCAATAAGCAATGTCAAACGGGTAAGCGAGTTTCCTTACCAAACTTAATGTATGAGATACTCTAATTTATAATAGGATACTACTTGCCTCCTTACCGGTAAGGAGATACTCCTCTTCCTTGCGAATCAAAGTTTGACACATATACAAAAATAATTCATTACAAACACAAAAAGAAAAACTTATGTACACATGTCAGACTATTATTAACAGGAATGTAGGAGTTCCTTTCTAATATTAGTTGGTTTGTTTTTTGTTTTTTTTTTTTTTTTTTTTTTTTTTTTTTTATACAAGCTATAACTAATAGATAGGGTATGGTTTCTCACACACACCACAACCAATATGCCATATAGGTTTGAACTTGAGACCTCTTGTCTGTAGATCAAGGTCCTTTTCCAATGGGCTAGACTCTGCTAACATATTAGGATTGAGTTAAGTTTCTTAACAAGCCCTAGTATTTAAGTTTCATACAAGTTTTTGGAATTTGAATTCAGAAAGAACTCTTTTGTTTTTCTAATGTGATATTGAACCAACCAATTCGGATTCCGCATTGGACTTGCAGTAGTCGAACCAAATAATAACACTGCTCCCTTTAGTCTTACTCTCTAGGCTCTGTTATCATAAATTAACACTAATCAAGACAGGATGAACCATTGAAAATTTGCCATGTGTCTTATTTTTATATAAAAAAATTAAAACTCTAGATAAGCTGGGTTAAATTTTTTTTTTTTCATATTCAAATTTAAAAAATTATTTTAAAAAAACCGGAATAGAAAAATGCAGCCCCAACCCTTCCTTGCCGACAAGTCCCCCCACCCCCACGGCTGTCATGGTTGTCATTCATCTTCCTTTTTTTCACATCTTTCATATCTTTTTACCTTACAATTTCTCAACACAACCTTGAACATTAAAAGGAGGCTTGAGAATCATCATTTAGTAGACAACCTAATAATTGCTATGGTTGATCTTCTCTCTCTCTCTCTCTCTCTCTCTCTCTCTCTCTCTCTCTCTCCAATGTAGGGTTCAATGAAATAGATTGCGGATCTAAAAGGAGGTGGGTTTATGGTAATGGAATAAACTGAATCCTCTATGCCAATATAGGCTTCATATGAAGGCCACTAAGCCAATAAGTCTGTGAGGAACCTGACAGTGATAGATTTCCATGGAAGTAAGTTGGGGGGAAGGGCTTTCCTCGTTCAGCCTGGTGGTTGCTGCATAATTTTCCTTTTTAAAATTTTAAATTTTTTTTAAATTTATTTTTAAAGATAAAAATAAGTGGTAAATCCAGCAGTAAACAAATTATACATATGGCAACTTTTGAGTGGAGTATCACAACTAACATGGTAATACGATACTATTCTATAATTTCTCCACAATAGACCTTGTATAAGTTGTTGGAATTTGAATTCAGGAAAAACTCTTTTGTTTTTCTAAATCAAACCAAATACGGATTCCGCATAGCATAGGACTCCCTTGAGGCAAACCAAATTTATTATATAATGTAAGCTTACCCCATATCTCTCTCTCTCTCTCTCTCTCTCTCTCTCTCATCACTAATTTAGACTAACAAAAACTTATTATGGGTGCTGCTTATGCTTATGGAGAATATGACGACAACCCTCGGTTCAAATGTGCCGCGTGGGTATTATTCGCCATCCTCTTCCTTATCTCCGCCGGCATGGTAGCCAACGCCGTCTGCGGCATCGCCGAGGTGCTTGCAATCAATCCTGTACAACCCACGTTCCATCTCCAATATGCCACCGTGTCCCTCCTCAACGTGTCCGCCTCGGAATTCACCACCACGTGGGACGTTACGCTCGTCGCGTCCAACCCCAACCACAAGCTCAACATTTCCTACGACAGCCTGCAGGCCACCGTCTTCTACGGACCGGACCACAGCGAAAGACGCAGAGTCTTGCTCGCGACAAAGCCGGTGCCGCATCCGCTAGAGTGTTTAACCACAAAGGCCAACACCACTCTCCGTTTCAAAATCGAAACGGTGCCTGCGTACGTCGGTGATGTCGTGTCCAGGGAAATCTTGGACGGGAGAGCTCGTGGAATGGTGAGGTTTGAGCTCAACATGTTGGGCTGGTATAAATATACCTCGTACAAAACAAGTGCCAGAATGTTTCAGGCCTCGTTCAAACGGTTCAGGTTTGGATTTTTGCCGGGAAATTGGACCGGGTCCCTCGCACCAACGGGTCAGTCCAGGAGCCCTATTGGATAATTCCCAAGTATTGTATTTTGTAGTGGAGCATTGGATAGGATAAGTAAGGTTGAAGGAACATTGAAGTTGCTTCCAATTTTTGTACCAGGAACAATCCTATTTAGAATTGGATTCCACTTTCTTAAAACAACTTCTTTCATCTCCAACTTCTATTCTAATATTATTATTTTCGTGAAGATTTATGCTATATTTTGGATTTCTTCGAATGTGGATTCAGATTTTTTTAAATTTATTCTTATTTTGATATTAAAATTGTGTTATCATCTTCTTTTTTTGTTTTTTTTTTTTTTTTTTTTTTTTTTTTGTTGTAAGATGTGTTATCAATAAATTAGAAATTTTGGTTTTTTACTTTTCATATACGAATTAAATTTTTTTTTTTTGTTTCTTCCAACCTTTCGTGTTTATTTTTTGTGCCTCAAGTCTGTTGACTAGAAAGCAAGTTTTCCTAATAAACTTGATGTATGAGATTATGTAAGTTTTGAATTCCTATTAGGGTTGAGTTAAGTTTCTTAACAAACAAGCCTAGTATTTAACTTTCTTTTTTCTTATCATACAAGTAAAGAACGTAATGGGTCGAATCGGGGGTAGGTATGCCATTCTCATCCTATCCCTGTTAAGCTTTTTCCCTCCATCCCTGCCTTCATATCAGGGATTCCCCATCCCCACCTTTGTTGCGGAATGGGTTCCCCGACTCGCCCCATTACAAAAAAAAAAAAAAAAAAAAAAAAAAAACTAATTAACTTTTATTTATTGAAAAAAAAGTACTAAGGCAAGGTAATGAATATATATATAGTCCTCTTCTATTGAGGGACACCCTTTAGGGTATCCTATAATTTTTTTCCCAATGATCCAAACCATCTATTTTTTACGTCTTCATTCACAAATCATTTTTTCAAAAAATTTGACAAATCGGAAACTGTTTCGACATCCAATTGTGTCTTACAAAATCAATGCACACGATGCTTCAAAAAAGTACTAAAATTTCAATAACTCAAATGAGTGGTTAAATGATATCAGATTCAAGTAATTTTTTGTAGAGATGATCTTTGAATGAGTATCTACAAAATAGACAGTTTAGATTAATGAAATACAATCTAGAGTGGGGCCTACAAGGGGTGTCCCTCAATGGAATCTCTATGTATATATATATATATATATATATATATACTTATAAGACAATATAAGAATGTTTATATATGTATTGGAAGTTAACTAAATAAATAAGTAGTGTGGCTTAAGATTTGTATAAATTATATAAGTATATAATAGAATAATATAATAATATAAAACTTTGTCGATATAATCACTTTAATAGCATATTTATATATACTATAATATATATATCTCATCAAAAATTATATATATATATTCTAAATGGGGAGGGTTCAGGTTGGGGATTAAAATACCATCCCCTTCCCCCAACATCATACCCAAAAAATTCCCCATATCCATTTTTTGTCCTTCATACCCAACCCACTAGGGTCAAATCCTTGTGATGATCCTTACCTACGGGGAAAATTGCCATGGCCTATTCGGACTCGCATTACGGCCACCGAATATTAGTATATATAATGTAAGCTAACAAATCCAACACCGCTCTCTCTTCCTCTCTCTCTCATAAATTAAGAGTAATCAAGACTTCTTCTTTTTTCCCGAATAATCAAGACTAATTATGAGAGCTGCTTCTTCTGCCGAGAAGACAACCCTGATTGGGTCAATTGGTAAGTTCATAATGGGAACCATCATCTTCTGCGTCTTCCTAACAATTATGATCTGGTCAATCATGTAGATCCCTGTTTCGCCACCTTGTCCCTTCCTAGCGTGTCTGCCTCTGAATTCACCGCCACGTAGGACGTGAAGATCGTCGCTTTCAGCCCCAACCACAAGCTCAACATCTCATTCAACAGCCTGTAGGCCACGATCTTCTACGAAACAGACCCTAGTGGAAGACCAGCAGTCTTGCTGGCAACGAAATCGGTGCCGCCGCCCTCATTTCTAACCATAAAGGCCCAGACCACTCATCGTTTCAGAGTCGAAACGATGTTGGCGTACACAGCTGATGATGTGGCCAAACAAATCTCCAAAGGGAGAGCTCGAGGAGGGGTGTGGTTTGAGCTAGAGATGTTGCTTTGTATAGGTACTATACCTTGTATGATATTGGTTCCAGAATGGTTACGGCTTGCAACCTGGTCGAGTTTGGGTTTTCCCCGGGTAATTAGACCGTGGTACTAACACGAATTGGTCAGCCAGTGGACAATGGTGCAACCATTACTCATACATAATATCAGTGGCGGATCCAGGATTCAAAAGTCAGGTAGGCAAAACTTACCTTAAAAACTCAACAGTACAAGTGAATTTCATTCATAAAAATATAGACCTAGTCGGGGAGAGTGTAATGAGATTTACCCTCAGATGTAAAAACTTAACAAAAAAAAACTAAAAAAACAAATTAATGCAATGCAACAAAAAACTAAACTATTTAAATTTAAAACTAAATTAAACTATTAAAAAAACTTAAGATGCATACATTTATTTTAGGAAAAAGAAAATAGAAGAATACTTATTGGCCTTAGATATGAGAAAATGCCACCAAGAGAGAATGCCCAGACTCAAGAAGAAGTTGCAAAAGATAATGATTTGGGACTGTCGACTATTGCACAGCCGAAGGGGAATTGGCTGCTTACTTATATTGCTTCCCTCCCTTTTCTTTTTTTAAATTTGGTTGGGCCATATAACATGTGGATCTTAAGTTTGGGTAGGCATGAGTTCACACCATTACATGTGATGGGTAGATTGTTTTTTTTGACATATGGGTGGGTGGGTTTTTTTTTTTTTTTTTTTTTTTTTTTTTTTTATGGGTGAGTGAAATTGGAAAGAAATATTGGGGTAGGCTGCCTACCCTGCCCTTGCTGTAGAACCGCCACTGCATAATATAGAAATTTTCTTATTAACAAGATGAGGGATTCAAGTCAATTACTTTTTTAAAACTTCCATATGCTAATCGGGTTCTGGTCTGGTGGAAAAATGAGATTGATTTGCAGACCAGCAGTTATATGTTTGAATTCTCATAAATTGTGTGTGAATGAGAAACTTCCCTCCCTATTAGTTTTGTATTAGAAAAAAAAAAAACTTCTATATATGACCTTACTTACCCAAAATCAAGGAAGAAAAATATAATTTTTTTATAAAAAAAAAAAAATGTCTCTCATCACTCTTCTTCCTGCTCTTATGTGGCTTTAGTGTAATTGTCTGTTATTTCTTTTGCGTAGTATATTCGTTTATCACTTGGGATTACTTTATGAGGAACGTATTAAAAATCGATTTGATTAAATAAAAAAAAAAAAAAAAAAAAAAAAAAAGAAAAAAAAAAAAAAAAAAAAAGAAAATAAATTTGCATCACCTAAACCTTTTAGCTATGTGTGCGATTACCCTATGAACTTTCAATTTTTACTATTAACCACATGAACTTTTTGCAAAGTGTAGTAATTTACCTCCTATTATAACTACGTTAAAATTTACTTTAAATAAAGTCACATGTTGGACATGTGATATTTTTTAGGGTAAACTGCCGAATGCCCCCCTGAACTATTTCGACTGTCGAACTTAGCATCCTAAATTATTTTTTTCAACCAATTTAGCCCTTAGACTAGTTTAAAGGGAGTTTCACTAAAACACCCAAAATGGAGGTTGAAATTATAAAAAAACCCAACACCCAAAACACTTTATAAACACACCCAAAACCCATCATTACACACACTCAAAACCCATTTATAAACACACCCAAAAAGTTGACTTTGGGGTTGATTTTGGGTGTGTTTCTATGTTTAAATAGTGCTTGGGTTTTTTTATAAATACATGTGTAGGATTGGGTTTATTTATAAATTTGTATAGTTTAAATGGTCAATTTAGCTCATGTTGTTAGTTTTCATCCAATTTCATCTAATTTTTCGTCCAAATGTTACATGTTAGGCACGTGATACACTGTTTAATTAAAATTTAATTTTAATTGTTAAAACTACAAAACTAAAAAAGAAAAAAAAATTGGAAGGCAATCAACATCTTCCCCAGCCCCTTCTCCCAAGACTCTTTGTCTACTATCCCACATCCACAAGAGTTTTCGAGTGAATGCCAATAGTTGGTATGTGTAAATAAACATATAATCAGAATCAAGATATGTTTTCATCTTCATCACCACCTACGCATGAATAGTAAATTGCTACACTTTATAAAGTTTAGGTGGTTAATAATGAAAATTAAAAGTTTAGGTGGTAATCTCGTACATGTCTAAAAGTTCAAGTGGTATTTATGCAAAATTCCCTTTTTTTTAAATGTAATTCAAAATCAATTTTTGTAAATTTTGTAAATTCGTTTTCTACAAGCTAACTTGGTTTCCTATCAAAGATATTACACACGTGCGAAGTTAAAGAACCCCTAGCCGCACGTGTGCTGCACGCTATATTCATCCTTTTGATTTGAAGCCGACCAACCCCAAAATACAAAATCGCGGAGCAAGGGCAACACAACTAGGGTTTTAGGTTTCTCAACGTCAGGCTCTGTTTCGCATAAATTTTGTAGGAAGAAAAAGAGCTTCAGAGAAATCAAAATGTTTCCCGGAATGTTCATGAAGAAGCCAGACAAGGCAGAGGCTCTGAAGCAGCTGCGAAGCCATGTGGCCATGTTTGGGGCTTGGGTCGTTGCGATCCGGGCCGCCCCCTACGTTCTTCACTTCCTCTGCGGTGAAAAGGATGAGCTCAAGCTTGAATTTTGATACACATCTCATTATATGAGGTAGTTTTGGATACCATCTTGCTCTTATTTTCTCGGATTTGTTAATTGATTTTGTTGGTGGGTTTTCAATTTATGCAATTTGTTTCTAATTTTTAGAAATTTATGAATTGAATATTGGTGTGAGATTCAGAACTCATAACAAGGTTGTTTTAATTTAGAAGTAGTATCTTTTTTTTGTGGGGAATTTGGGTTGACAGATTATTTTGTTTTTTGTTTTGGTTTGATCTGGTTTGTGTATAAGTGATTGAATTCATTGGCATTATGTTTGAAACAGAAGAGAAAGAAAATCAAGAATGATGAGTGATTGCTTTATGTAATTGATGTATTTGTAGTTGGCTTTGAGATGTCTGATAGCGGTGAGTGTTGGTTGGAATTGCTAGTATCATCTGGAAACCTCTACACTATTACAAACAATATAATCTTCTCATTTTTGTTTGTTTTAATTTTGACGCCACTGATCGCTACTATACCATGCTATTAGTGGCATGTGCTGATCTAGTTATAAAGAAACTCTATTAGGAGAGAGATTTATGGCATAGTGAAGTTAGTGATCAATGGCGTCAACAATGTCCCTTAGGTGAAGAGCAGGTTGTATGAACAAGAAAAGTTACTTTTGGATCAATATTGTTTAAAAATAGTGTTCTTCTGTAAGTAGCAACTTGACACATGCATTGCATTGCATGACTTACAACATAGTAAAGTTGAGACTTGCTGAATGGTTCGCCCCTATGTGTGAACTGCATCTTAAACAAAGAAACTCATGCATCCTTTTTTATCCAGATCGGTTTATGGCTTTCTATTACTTAGCTTTTGTGAGTTTTTTTAGTTGTCTTTGCTTTGCTTTGGTTTTTTGAGTATGCGTTAATATTTATCAAGTCCATGATTTAATAAGAAGAGTAGGAAGCCAAATTTTGCAGCTTGCATTGGCCCTAAAAGATTATATACAGATTCCAATGGAAAGGATTGAAGTAAGGTAGGTAACCCGAGGATTTTAGAATTTGAGTTTTGTTGGGAGGACAATGTGTGATTATATAATGAATTAGGCAGTTTTCATTGCATTAGATTCTTTTGGGACATGAGTATTTTGAATCACTTACATAGACAATAGCTGTATATCTTAGATTCTAGCATCTCTTGATCCACTTTGACTTCTATCGCTCTACCTTTTCTCGATGTTGGAAGTTGCATTTTATGGCTGAAGATTGAATGCCATTCTGGTGATGCCTGTCTCTAGACTAGTTCTCCATAAATGTAAGGTTATGTTTGAGTTAAGAGTGGTGGTTATGTGAGTATCTACTTAAAAGCTATTATCTCACTAGCTTCTGATTATTCATGGTTTAATGATGATACAATTTGAATCTTGTGGTTTCCTGGATGACAAAGTAACTTATATGATTTGAATCTTCAACATTCTAATAATAATCAATATCTGCAATTGATCCCTCATATTTTCTTTGATTGTGCAGCAAGGCTCTGGGAGCAGAGGAGTTCACTTCAGATGAAGAAGAGTTATTTAGAGCTTCTATTTAGTTTATTTTTGACTTTCTTGGAAAAATGTATGAACTTGCATTAGGGTGTTATGATGCTATAGGCCTTCATATTTTTGGATAAGAGATGACTTCTGTTCATTTTAATGAGTTCATTATGGTTTGGTAGGCAATAGCGTCTCATTAAATGCACTTTTGTCTTAGTATTGGTACCATAAGACACTCGATTTTAATGCAAGGGTGACATACCCTACCATCATAATTTATATGTATGCATCACACTTGAAGTTCAAATCTGCTCATCATCTGTGTGTGTGTGTGTTTTTTTTTCCGGGGGATATGTGAATAATTTTATTATCCAAAAAAGGGGCTGAAAAGGGCCATTGATAGAAACAGCAAAGCAGAAACAAGGGTTAAGCCCAAATCTGCTCATTATCCGTGGTATTATTAATATTTTTTGGGTATATGAATGATTTTTATGAAGGCAGAGGCCAAACAAGCCAGAAGGCCAGCTAACAAAAAGTATGATAAATCATCAAAAGCAAGAACCAATTCTAGTGACCATGCACAATCATGGAGCTGACATGAGCAATTCTTGGCAGGCCGGATGCTTGAATGATTCCAGGATGCCATTTCAGTGTAATGGAAGTTGGGTTCCAGTTGCAATACCGAAGAGATGTGGTTCCTCCATCCCTACCCTAGTTCATAGCTTAATAGGTGCTTCGTCGGAAAGAGAAAAAAAAAACTATAAATGTCAAATGCTTTTGGTTATCTAAAAGCGCTTTTATTTACTCTAAAAACACCGTCAAAGAAGCTCTTAATTATTTATAATGTTATTTTCTTATTCTGATTTTAGGCAACTAACCATGTCGATTTCCATCACTATCTAACCACATACGTTACAAGTTAACTACAAATTGTGTCAAATGAATGCAACATTAGCATCAAAATCAGAGAATAAATAACTTTGCATCTTCGAACATCATTCCCACAAGTCACAATGCAAGAAATTCACCTCCCAAAACCATGGTGGGAAATTGCCTAAGTCTCACCACCTGAAATTCCCATTATAATCTTTGGGCCAACTGAGGTTATGACACGTGGTAAATCCATAACCCCTCCTAAAGCAATGGTTCAGCTTGCTCTTCTGGTCATCTAGTGTATTATTTAGCTTGTTGACCAACATTTTCAATTGTTTCATGTCTAATCTGCAGAGTGCTAGGCCCCAGAGAAAGCCGACCCAAAAGCCCCACCGTCACGTTGCCCCCACTTCTTTTGACAAAAAGATGAACAAAAAAACGAAACATATTAATGAAGCAGCATATTGATTGGGGCTTTAGTGAAAAATACATTATATGGTGAATCGTGAATGTGAATCCCACATAGTAGGTAAAAGTTGTTTCTGTCCACATCCATCCTCCTATATTCCTTTTCTTTTTGCTACTCACCCTCTTTAGTCTTTAATATTTTTTTCTCAACTTACACCCACTTTTGCTTTTTATTAATTTTTTTAATTAATTTTGTTCTTTTTTGTTCTTTATCTTTCCTATTCAAACCTTATCCAACATTAATTTCCTTTTTACTTCACTTTTATATTATTTCTTTTTCTTTATACTTAATTTTCCAACTTACACTCCATTTTCTTTATCTTTATACTTTTATATTATTTCTTTTTCTTTATGCCGTTAAATGAACATGATAATATATATATATATTTTTTTTATAGAGAAAACCTATAATGCTTTTATGAAGTTAATAAAAAGTCAAATTAAACATTAGAAAAAAAAGAAAAAGAAAAAGAAAAAAGAATCTCCAAAGGCCCTAACTCTCCAAGCCACACTTACCTCCCCAACTCCAATCCACCCACTTCTAATATATGTAATAAAAAAACTCTGCAGTCTTACCACTCCACAATGGTCCTTCCCACTCCTCCAGCGGCCACAGATCCAGGCGATTTGATCTCGTCCTATCCTCTAGCTCGCCCTAGCCCAGCGGTCCTTGCTTGCACAAGCAAGCAGATTAGCTCCCTCATTCTCTTATTGTGCCTGCAGGCCCGAGCGAGCAAGGCGAGGTAGGGTTAGATTAGAGTACTCTAGCGGAGGGGCTTTAGCCCACCTATGTTCAGGCTGTGCACCAAGCTGAAAGGTCTCAAGCCTGAATTGAAGATCTTTAATTCCAAACAAATCCATATTTTCTATCTCACTGTTATCAGTGAAGGTGCTAATTATAAGCGGCGACAGGGTATCCTCTTTGTGATTTCCACAAAGTCACGAATAACAATAGAAGAAGAGAGTGTAGGATTGGTATGGGTCACGTGCGGGCTGCCCTAGCTCGGCAATTCATTTGGTGGAGCAACTCCTCCCCTTCCCAACTAGACTACACCCTACTTCTATTTTTATTTTCAAGTATTTTTCTTTTTTCTAATGATATATTTTAGTTTAATTGAACTTTTAATGTATTTTTAAATTAATTCAACTTTTTATTAACTTCAAAAAGCTTTATAAGTTTTCAAAATAAAATGAAAAAAGATTATCATGTTCATTTAGCGGCAACTTTAACGGAACTAACCAAATTGACTAAAAGTCTTAAACACATGGATCAAATTGGCCAAATTGAAAACACATGGAAATTGCCCAACGTGATAAAACACAAAGACCATTTTGACATTTGAGCCAAAAAAATAATATAAAAGTGAAGTAAAAGAAATTAATGTATGGCAATAGTAGAATAAGAAACAGAAAGAATAAAAAGAAAAAAATTGATTAAGAAATATTAAAGAGTAAAATGGAGTGTAAGTGGAGAAATAGGAAATAAGAAAATCAGCTCTCTAAAATTATGCTAGCACGTGTATGCGCTTGTGAATAATTATGAGTCTTTTTATTTTTTTAAACTCATACACGCTAATGACTCACAATCATCATGATACACATGTCGACGGTTTGATTCTAACACTGCTATTTGAGGCAGCTGGTTTTTTTTTTATTAGATGTTTTGGTTTTTTTTTTTTTGGAAACTCTATTCATCATCATAATGGGAAACATTACAAAAAGAGAAAAAAAAAACAAACACAAATGCAGCCCAAAACCAACAAATACAGCAGGCCACAAAGAAACAAAACCAAAGAAACAACAGGCCAGTTTTGACTATCGATATATCATGAACAGCTTTTAGGAAACAAAGAATTTTGATGGCTTTCTCAACACCACATTCAAGCATCTACTAAACTGTTTCAAAACCTCATAGCGTATATCTTGAGTAAGAATTTCTATTTAATGGGAAACAATTCAATTAATGGCATGTTTATTAATTTATAATTGGATTAAGATGAATTGAATTGAGGAGGAGTTGAATTGAGAAGAATTAGATTTCGGATACCTATTGAAGTTGTTTACTAAATAATATGGATTGATGGGAGTTAAATTCCTGATTCCTATTGAAGTTGTTTACTAAATCATATGGAACTGGAGTATAAATGATGCTAATTACTAAAATGTCATTGGGTTGAAGTAGTTGGCAAATTTGAAATTTTAAAAATTGTGTGATGATATAATGGGTAAAAAATATGAATTCCTAATGGATTAGTTCTCATAGAATTAAAATACCACTTCCCACCCAAGAATTGAATTCCTCCAAAATTAGGAATTCAATTCCTAATTTTGTGTAGACCCCACTTACTTTTTAATTTCTTGATATAAAGTAAACACATGAATCTTCTATATGTGAAATTCTATTCCTGATAAGAATTCTAATTTTTGATTAGTAAACACACCATAATTGTAATTAGTTTATACACTTCATACATGATAGTAAAGTCGTCTGGCTTACAAATGCATTCATACAAACACAATTTTTTTTAAAGACATTTCTTATTAAGATAGACGATAATATACTAAGCTCACGTACACTATATACAAATGCTAAGATTCGAATCCAAATCCTTTCATACAAAGACATATTAGAATCAGCTTCTCCTCTCCACCTCGTGAACCTCCAGAGTAAAAGAGCAGCTTACAGCTGACTCTACAATTGTAGCCCCAACTGTCTCTCCAACCGACTATGCCCTGCCACCAGAGAAAAAGTGAGGCCAAGTGTCAAAGTCCACCATAATTATATTCAATCACCATTTAATAACAAATCCAAACTCTCCTGGTGAAAATTTGACCATATACTATACACTACTGTGTGCGCCCAATGGAGATCAAGGCCAACATTTTCTAAAGCTTTGAGTTTTTTTTTCTTTCCTGTTTTTTTCTTTTTCGAGAATTTAGATATTCACATAGAGAAAAGAGAAAAGGGGGCCTAGAGAAATTGTTGGGTTTGATCTGTCACAGATCATATAGCTGTTCTCATCATTATTCAAAGAAATTGATCTTGATAACAAGTTTGTGGTTGGAATGGTTGAGAATTGAAGGGCTAAGATGAACCTTCACAAGGTCGACATGCAACAAGTCCATGGATGAGGTACCTGGCTCTGTAGGGACCAGTGCCAGCTTCTCTTTGAGATTGGGTCAGGCCATCTTTTCCTCTGCTTCCCTTCTCTTCATGTCTCTGGGGGTTGAGTTCTACAGCTACACTGCTTTCTGGTAAGCTTTTAATTGTTTCATGTTTACTTGTTTTAGGGTCTCTCCTCTTTGGACTTTTTGATTCACAATTTGGTTGGAACTGGTGGAACCAAAAATAGTTGCATTATTTGATTGATTGATTGATTTTGTTTCATGAATGATAGATGTAAAATGGAAGTTGCTTATAGATCGGTTACCTTCTCACTCAATTTTAAGATCCCTTATCTTTCCTGATCCTGATTCTGAAATTGAACAATCTTTGGTTACACTTAAGCCAACTCTGTAGGGAAATGCATTCATTGGAATTTGGAATCACTGCTATGATATCAAGCAGCTCTGTGTCCATATACAAATAATTTTGTTTGGCGAATATTAAATTTGTCTGATGGGCAAATGTTTTACAATCCAGACAAATAGAAACCCAGTAAATCAATGAATAGTTTCCCTCTTATAATCCTGTGTTTTCTCTTAATCTTGAATAATTCAGTGCGCAACATTTAATCTTCTTCCCTTTTTATATTGCAGCTACCTGGTAACAATCATGGGTCTGGTTATACCATGGAGTTTCACATTGGCAATGGTGGATGGCTACTCTGTTCTTGTCAAATGTCCTCTTCGACAGCCCGGAATTCTGCTGATCATTGTTGTTGGAGATTGGGTAAGCAATAAGCACAATTCTGATAGAGGTACACTCACTCATGCCAACAACTATGTGTGATAGATTCAACATTTTTCTCAACAGGTATTATCAATTCTCACTCTAGCTGCAGCATGCTCAACAGCGAGCGTCGTGGACGTCCTCCTCCATGCGAACGGTCCGTATTGCCCTCCAAAGTTTTGCAACCGGTATAAAATATCTGCTGCTATGGCTTTCATGTCATGGTTTCTGTCTTTGGCCTCATCTCTGTTCAATCTTTGGTTACTTCCGTCCTTATGATTCTCATATGAATATAAGCTCATCATCGACTTCTGCAGAAATTTGTGATACATATGAAGGTATTCAATATTATTCAAATTCATAGGCTTGTACATCAGCAATTGTAAATCATGAATGAAGTTTTATTCCTTGATGAAAATTCCGCCCTTTGATGATCGATCATTTTCACTGCAAAAGCAAAGCCTTGAACATTTCTGACAACTTGGAAACATAAAATAACTAATGGATTTATGATAATGAGAGGTGGTCATTGTATAAAGCTTGTTAAAAGCTGAATACATGCCATACAGATTGATAGTGTACAATTCAATAGTGCTTTACTTCATCGCGTGTGCCCGGTCGGTACATGTTATATGCTTCTGTTCTGGCACGAAAAAGGGTTTATATTGCTTCAAATCATAGATTACAAGTATACAAAGGAGCTCAAGTGTAGTTGATATTGTTAACTGAACCAAACTCCACACACCCACAATTGAACCCATCTGCATCTGCGTATGAGCAACAGATGTAGCGCAATAGGGATCCAATCCAACTGACCTGCCTTTGCTTTTCCACTAACTTTGAGTTTTGCTGTATCTATGGCAATCCTTCTTGTCTTTGGGTGTTGAGTTCATGTCTTAGGATCTTCTCTTCATGTCTTTGGGTGTTGTGTTCTACATCTACACTGCTGTATCTATGGCAATCCTTAGGATCTTGCTCGACTAGATGTAACTTTAGCAACTCTTTATCTAATAAGATAGTTCGGAGGATTCATTAGGATCCTGGTTTCACTGTCAATACTTCCCATTATCACTCTAGCAAATTACAAGACATCTGCGAGAGCACATTTTTTGGAATAAATGCGGCCATTCTTAGGTTCTTGACAAGAGGCAGGGTGCCTCCCACACATAGCATAAAGTTGCGACCCATGCTCTTGAGGGGAGAGAATCTGTGGAAACCCTTCAAGGCGAGATCCATTACCTCTAGGCAATATCTTGTCCTTCATTGAAATCTTCTGATGTTGGTCCATCGTCCGAACACAGATTCACTGCAAACCTCCCCTTGTTTGTCTCGCTCCACATCCATCTTGCTGGGTACAACTTCGGCAGTGTACTTTCTATATGTTTTGAACTGTGCCTGTATAAAAAGTGGTTTGCTTGCACTTGGACATTGGACAAACCACCTTACTTGACTACATATGAAACATAAATCTAAGATGCCACTTTCAGGTCGTCTGCCCAAGTTCAAAAGAACAAACTTCAAGTTTCAATGTTGTTCTGAACCACGCAGTTAAAAGGTGCAGCAACTCAGATATCAGAAGGGACAATGGCAAGTCTTCTAATTTCCAGAGTGGGGCTCATTCATTTGACAAACAAAAATAAGCTAACTCCCATTCCGAGTATCCAACATTTCATTCCTTAACCTTTCTGCTACTTCCTTGTTTCCTTGTTTCATATAGCCACTGATAAATGCACTATAGATCTCAGAATTGGGTTTAAACCCTTTTCCCACCATCTCAGCCTGAAGCTTAAGTGCTTCTTCCAACTTCCCCTCCTCACACAACCCTCTTATCAGAAACTCATAACTCTTCTCTGTTGGACAAAAACCAAAATGTACCACTGCACCTCTCATAACCTCGAAGGCTTCTAAAACCCGACTTTCATCGCACAGCTCTCGAATCAACGAATCCATTGTTGAACCCTCAGGCCTAAAATCTTTCCTAAGCATATCCTTATACAAGAGCATTGCTGCATCAAGGTTTCCCATTTTACAGTACCCAGTAATAAGATGCTCATAAGTGGCATCGGTACTCTCTATTCCACTCAACCCCATTTCTTTGGAAAACTCTTCAGCCATTTCAATCTCTCCGACTCTGCAAAACCCACCAATCATAGTGTTGTAAGCAACAACATCAGGTTCCAGGCCCTTGGCTCTCATTTCTTCCCACACCTCCTCTGCTTCATTCATTTTCTCTTGCTCACAATAAGCTGCCATCAAAATACTATAACTATAACCGTTAGGACAGCAATTCAAATCCGCCATTTGATCCCAAATCTCCTTCACCTTCTCCACCAGACCATCCTGATAAAAACCCAACATCAATGCATTGAAAGTTTCCACATTGGGGCTAATCCTAGCAACCCTTTTCACATTATGCTCTAAAACTTCACAATCCAATCCAAAAATCTCCCTATAAATCTCATAACCAGCATACGCACCTCGACGCTGCGAAAGAAGCCGAATCAAAGCATTGCAGGTGCTCAGTCCCGGGCTAATCCCGCGAGATAACAACATTCTCACTATCTGTATTGCCGGGTCGATTTTCTTTGACTCCAAACAAGCTTTGATCAGCAAATCAAACACAAAAGGTGCCGAGTCACATTGCCTGTAGGTCTTAACGAGACTCTCAAACACTTTCAAAGGCTCAGATTCATGGCTACCAATACTCTCAGACTCAGAGACCCGAATGGCGGTTCGAATAAGGTCGTAAGCTTGGGACCTCAGGCGGCCCCGAGCGAGGATGTGGATGATGGTGGAGTGGGATTGGAGGTTGTGGTTGCAGAGGGACTTGTGCTGGGTCCAGAGGAAGAAGCGGAGGGCAAGACGGGGATTGTTTTTAATGTGAAGGGCAATCTGGGAAAAGTCATTTGAGTCGAAGCCGTTGGGGTAGAGGGAACGGAGGTAGCTCCAGCGAGTCTTGGAGCGGAGGTTGGTTAGGATGGAGACGACGTCTGAGATTAGGGGGTTGGTCTGAGATGGAGTTTGATCGGACGGTGAGGAGGAGGAGAAGTGGGAGACGGAGAGGGGCCTGGGTTTTGTCGCTGGGAAAAGATTGCGTTTGAGGATTTGAAAAGCCATAAAAACCAGAGAGGACACAGAGAGTGGAGAAGCAGAAGTAGAAGAAATATGTGGGCAGTGTCAAAGGCCCATCATAGATATTGCACAAAGAGGCCCATTGAACAATTGAACAATTGCATGGGCTTCCAGGTGGGTTTTGTTGAAGAAAAGATTTTTCAGATTGGAAAACATATGTCCATCATTTACATGTTTACTTATTGAGGATGAAGGAAGTCATGAACCAGATAACCTAGGAATAGGAGAATTAAGGAATTGAATTAACTACGAATTTTAACACAGAGACCGAGTGATGCTTTGATTTCTTATGTGTTAGTAAATGCACGGGAAGTTAAAAATCAAAAGAATTCAGTAATAGTAAATACACCACAAGCAAGAATTGAAATAATTTCGATACTCATTTCTGATAAGTAAGCATGTTATTAGTGTACCAAAAGAGGGAAGATGGATGTATCAAGACATGGACGTTAAAGATGAGAAGAACACAAGAAAGAATCACATTCATATTCATTGTTCCCTTGCAAGTACAACACTTCAAGCCACTGGATATATGTATATGGCTAAACAATTACGACATAGACTACTGCAGCCGCACTTATATATATGGAATATTCCAGATGTTTCATTCTTACCAAAATAAATAAAAACAAAAGTACAATAAGAAAAGAAGAAGAAAAAGCTAACTATACCATCAAATTATTGGTTAACCAGAGTTATTTGATTCCAATTCTTGATCATGTTAGTCAATTTTCAGTGCTATGATTGGATGGGTGCAGTCAACCCACCCACACCAACCAATCACATTTTGACACCATGAAATTCATGGGCTCTTTAGTCATTGAACTCATTTGGTGCATGCAGTTGTCAGTATATAACTGATGATGGTGCTGATGATGGCTTGCAAAATATATCCTAAAAATTCCTTTTTAATTTTATTTGATGGATTGATTGAGAATCAGTTCTTTATGGACAATCATGGGGTCATAGCCACCTTGCTTGCCCAAGGTACAGGTAGGTAGTTGAAGATACAAATGGATAACATGCATGCCAAGCAATTCTCAAATACAAGCAATTGAGACTTGTGAGGTGAAAAGTAAAGATATCTAAGAGAGGGAATTGGTTCCCCTACGTCATGCAATCTTTCTTGGAAGAAAAATATACCAATTGGTAATCTTAATTATTATTATTTTTAATGCAGAGTAATTAATTATTTAATTCCTTTGTTATCTTTCGTGGTGTGTGAGATCAATCTTTTAAGCTTCAAAACAATCCATTAAAATCTCAATCGAATACACCATCCTAGAATTCTTAAAGTTATCCATTGCTAAGGATTTGATGATTTTGTTGATACGAAAGAACTTTATGGAGCAAAGGTTTATTAGGATTTAGAATATATAATGGTTGTGCTTTGAATATAATTCTAGCTAGATTGAAAGAAGAACAAAAAAATTATAAAAAGTTTTGGCTTAGGATATCATCACCTGGATTTTTAGATATGGTAATCACGAACTGCTTTTTAGATGCCAAATTCGTTCTATTTTACGAAATTCTAAAGTTTATGAGAAGTCCTTGATTCTTAATCCTTTCTAACACACCTAAAATATTCTTAACACATAAAAGACGATAATTAACTGAATAATATATTTATTTTCCTTTCATTTTCCACTTTTCACTTTTAGGCACTTCCCTTTAGAATTTTGTATACGTAATTTACTAGAGGAGAGGACAAAAAGATATCATATAAAGTGAAAAATTCGTATATATTCTAATTTGACAAGACCTACAACATGTTCCTTATGTCTGTCCTTAATTTGGCCTCTAAACTCGGTGATTCTCATGCACACTCAAAAACTCCCACCATCCCAAAGCATAATTCCCTCCAATTGCTTCAATTACAAGCTAACATTAAGTATTAATTTACACACAATCACAATTGAACACCCTCTCCCTTTATATATTTCCCGTAACGGCTTAATTTCTTTATTACAATTCACAAAAAAATTCAGCTTATAGCTATCCAAAAGCCATGAAATACAATGAGATATCCCACTTCAGCCACCCCCAACACAAGCTCAAGTTTGAGTACACAGAAATCCCATTCAAGTGTGACGGATGCAAGGAGGTAGGCATAGGGTCGCGCTACAAGTGCGCCATGTGCGATTTCGATCTCCACATGCATTGTGCCATACCTTCCCCTTCTATCTTCCACCCTTTCTACACCAAGTGCTCTTTCCAGTTCTTCTCGAGGCCACCGGGGAACAACCCTCGCTATTGCAATGCATGTGAGAAAGATATTACCGGATTCACGTACCACTGCACATCCTGTGGGTTCGACCTTCACCCGTGTTGCGCCAAGCTCCCCATGGTGCTCGACGACGGGGAGGTCAAGCTCTATCTGTATCGGAAAGTGAGCAGCTCTTGTCATAGGTGTGGGCGTAAAGGGCGTAGTTGGAGTTATAGATCAAAATGTAAGAAGTATAATTTGCATGTGGCATGTGTTAAGGAAATGCTTGTGGAGACTTGGCATGAGTTTTTGGGGTCACATGGGAATAAAAATACCACTAGGAGATTGGAGATGACTAGAATTCCTAGCCTTAAAAATACGCTCCAAACTCATCATCATAAGAGCAAAGGTAAAGTGAAGAAGTGCTGTGAGATAGCCGGATTGGCTGTGCAATTTGTGATATCAGCTGTGTTGGGTGATCCAACTACTCTGATTGCTGGGGTGATTGGGTCGTTAATGTCGCGAGCCTGATGAGTGGGGTATGTGGGTCTAGTGTAGTTTGATGGAACTGTAGATTTCAGAAGATGTTGGATAAAAGGTACTCCATGATCCTGTAATGTTAATAAATTGTAGTACACTTTACTTGCAACTTTATGTTTGTACAAATTGAAAATGTAGGGATAAAGGTTCCTTTGTACATATTGAACTTGATTAACCGATGACAAATTGTGATCTCTATTGTAGATTTAGGGTTACAGTTAGTTGATGAAGGTAGTATGCTCACTTCCGAATTCGAATTTTTCTTCCCGTGTAAATTAGAGTAATTTAAAAAATTCATCTTGTTAATTAGAAGAAAAAAACATGATCTCAATTTGATGAGTCAGAATATATTAGGTAGTTACACAAATATTTTCAACATACAACTAAGTTAGTTATATTTTATTTATTTTTTGATACAAAGACTTTCTTCAATGAGACTCGAACTTATGACCTCCTCCAAACCTTCGCATAATTAAGGGTCTATTTGAAACTATTTTTAGAGTTGTTAGAAACTGTTTTAGAAAACCAAAACCAAAAACGCTTCCAACAATATTTAATAGAATTTTTTTTTAAATGCTTTTTGAATTATGCTTGAGGGAGAGAGGAAGTACTTCCAAATGTTTTTTTTTCTTTTAAAGAAAGACACAGTATGGCCCTCTTGATACCCCAAGCTTTTGAAAGAAACATTATGTCCTTGGGCCTATTCCTCGGACAAGTATGTCAGCCTCACTCTCACATTTACATTTACACGGTTTGGGCACACCCACCCACCCACCATCCCCAAATAGTATTATGGCAGAATTGTCTATTTTTGAACAGTCCAATGTCATTTAAGTAAAAGTAAGTCAAATTTGAAATTGTTTAACCATTGATTTGATGTTCATATTCATTTTTTATATTCAAATTCATTTCTGTATTTATGAAATGACAATTGTACACCTAATATCTTTTAAACTTTTACCACAAAGGATCCCTTTTAAGAGAAAGTTGCAAACTAAATGATTCGAATCTTATCGTAAACTGAATGATCCTTTAACAATGTTGCCCTTACTTTTTCTCTTTCAAAAACAGAAATTGGAGTTTCTACTTTCAGGTTTCTGATTGTAGAATATTACACTAGTACTGGCACGTGGTACATCTTATACACATGTTATAATATAAATGGATATTTATTGATATTATTTCCTAAAATATGAAAAAATAAGTTCTGTCATTCACCCATATTATAACACGTATACAAGATGCACCACATAACTATACTATTGTAGTATTCTATAATTTCTCATAGCAGTGCACGTCTTGCAGTTGTAGCTAATATCCCAATTAGTAGACACTTCTAGTGTGCTACAAATAATTCATATCACTCATCAATTTTCTTAAGTCACTTCTCTGAACCAATTGAAACATGTTTTAGTTATGCTCACAATTAAATTACACCAAAATGCCAAATCCAAACAAGAAAACGGCGACCGATTCCAAGTTGTAACAAAAGTTAAGAAAAATACATTAAAATACATGTTCCATCACTTCATCGTTAATTAAGCAATTAATTATTCGATTAAATCAACCAAAACAAACGCGTAAATCTTCCTTTAATTAACCCCTCCAAAGTCCTCAGCCAAAATGAAACCATTAACTAATGGGCATTTGCAGCTCATGCGACTCAGCCTCTGTGTCTGTTGTCACAGCCAAGGTGATTCTCCAGGACGGGCAGCTTCAAGAATTCTCAAACCCAGTTAAGGTCTCGCACGTGCTTCAAAAGAGTCCCACGTGCTTCATATGCGACTCGGACGACATGGATTTTGGAGGCTTTGTTAGGGCCGTGAATGGGGACGAAGAGCTTCAGCTCGGTCAGCTTTATTTTGTGTTGCCGTTGAGCTGGCTGAGCAGGCCGCTTCGAGCCGAGCAGATGGCTGCTTTGGCTGTTAGGGCAAGCTTGGCACTTGGAAATACGAGGCGGAGGAAGCGATGTTTTGGGTGTGGACGTAAAAGAGTCAATCAAGTTGTGTTTACTATTAAGAAGAAGGATGAGCCTAGCCGGATGGTGGCCATGGGCAGTTATGGTGGCAGCCCGAGCGTCACTGGACGTCGAGAAGTTGTGAGGAAAAGGAGAGGGAGAGGCCGCGGGCGGCACAGTCATGGCAGTGGTAATGGAGGAGGTGGTGGCTTTGTGACAAGGTTGAGTGTGATTTTGGAGGATGAGGATATGATCGAGGGTGCATGATATGATTGTGTTGTATATTGAAAATTTACTTTATATATTAATCAGTTCCTTGGTTATGTTCGTTTTCATATGGACATAGAAGATTTGATTTTGATTGAATCAAATTAAATTTTAATCAGAATATGATCACCTTTTTTTGGGTTGATTGATCACATTTTTGTTTTCAAGGGAATAAGTTTTTGTTCTTGTTGTAATGGCTGGCATTGACAGTAACGTTCTAGGATAGATTTCCAAAGCGTAAAGTACTCATGGCGTAAAAGAAGTGCTGAAGGCAGCTAAGAAACTTAAAATAGAAGCTTCAAAATTTGTTGGATCTGTGTAATGACCCCAAATCAAAAGATCTAATGAGAAAAACATTACAAGTTTACAACATACAATCCAAGTTTTAAAGAGAAAAAAACTGTATTTAATTGATAAAGAATAGATTACAAAGCAATCACCGCATGCTTATGATATCATGCGGGTTTTGAAATCAAGATGATGCATTATCAAGAATTAAGGCAAAACGAGTTAGTCTATGAATCACATCATCAGTTTTCCGAAAAACATGACTAAAAGGAGTACCACAAAATTGAGACAATAGGCTCTAGTACTATTTGATGTTTTTATTTTATTTTATTTTAGGGTTGGAGGATTTGAAATGTGAAACATGTTGGGAAAATGTGTCAAATAGAGTTTTTATTGTAGCATTGTTCTCAAATAAGTTTATTATCTCGATACAGTGTCGATAATATCTTATTATATAATCTTAATATGACATAAATAAAGTATTATATAACCCTATTTGACAACAATCCTACATTAATAATCCTATTTGAAAGCTTTTCCCAAACATCTTCCACTGGTCCAATAGCTACTCGGTAATTAACCTGCAAATCTTTGTGACTCAAAAGGTGGGACATGTGATATGCATGGGACTAATATTGTAAGACCATGACCCATCGACGTGAGAGAGTTGAAAAAACATTGAAAATAATAATAATAATTTGTTCTCTAACAAGGTCATTAAATAAGAGTAGTAATTATTACCTATCTTAGTCATTTGATCATATATATAAATTGACAACTAAACACTGTGTTGATAAAAGTAAGAGAGACATGTCAATCGTGGATATTTTTTCTAATTTATCGTATGAGAGATATCCTCACACAATTTAACTTACAGGTACACTTCGTTGAAATATTTGAAGAACTAAATTTTATGAAGAGATATATCTGTGTTTTGAATTGCAAAGTACCGTTAGTATAGTGGTTTGGAGCAATTGTTCCTCCAGGAAATGTTATGGGTTTCGAGTCCTAACATTTGGGCAGTGTGTGTGAGTTTAGTATGTTATCGTTATTTTTTAATTATTAATAATATTAGTCAAGATGAAACCAAAACAAAAAATAATAATTTGAAGATGAATCCAAGGGCTAGCTTTGGCAAGTTGGGTGGTTTGAGACACGCTTTTGGTAGCTCTAGAATTCTAGTCGTGGTTGCAATGAAAAGAATTACGAATAAATGGCACATCGATCGATGAGTTGCAGAAGAATGAGAGAAGCAGCCAAAGGAGAAAAGGACATTAGCATCAAGCTCCCAAATAATTCTACATCTTTTGGGTTCCAAAATTAAAAAGAACGTGAGAGAATCATTTGAAAAAGAAAAAACACGCACACAATCAATCCAGAAGGCCAAACAAGGACTAGTCTCCGTTTTGACCTTGACGCTTCCTGGGAAAAGAAACCGCACACCAACGGTCTGCGGTCTACCAACGGCAACGCAAAAATACCGTGTCAACGATTACGACCGCACGACAATATGAATTTCGATCCAATTAATTAATTAATTAATTATATCTTTATATCTTTATCCTAATCTGAAGCCTTGTAGATGCCAACCTGGCTCTAAAAAAAATTTTATTTTCTTGTACCCTAAACAACACTAATGTTTTTCATTATACAATTCCTAAAATTCGTTGTAATATGGTAGCCTGCACGTACTCTTTTTATGTCGAGGATAATTTCTTTTTTCATGTTAACAGTGTCAGTATTGCAACATAACATGTTGGATATTTGATAAAATATGCCGTACTTTTGCAACTTTATAAATATTTTTAGATACGCCGATCTTTCTTGGTATGATTTTAGTTGCTTTAAGGATCTAATTTTCTGTCACATCTGCTTTTAATCTCCATAATATGATTATGGTTATGAAAGCAATAGGAGCTCTCGGGTTTAATTAATCTGTTAAACATCAGAATATATATTTCTGGTTGATCCTGTTATCAAACATAGAATATCAACATCAATGACAATTGCTGCCATCAAGGGAAGCCAATAGGCTTAAGGTTGAGTTTGTCGAAAGGCTTAAGGTTGAGTATTGACAGATCTGGTAATTAGCCTGGCTCCAGATAGCGACCTAGTATTACTAGCTAGTCATACAAACTAGTGGTACACAATAGTGATGACTGTTCTAGAAGATTTTTCTGTTGGATTAATTTGGTGGTTCTAAAATTATTAGGATATGCCCCTGACACTAGTACTGTTTCATTATAGATTATGTATATAGAGAAAAATTATTTGTAATATAAGACGAGTTGTAAATTCAAATGTTCTAAATTCAAACATACGTTACAAATACGAAACACATAGCTGATGACTACATATAACTTATGAATAATTGCACGTATTGAAATTTAATTAGTACTCTTTTTTATTCATAATAATTTATATATAAGAGACTTGTACTTGACTCGATGGGATAATATAAAGCATAAAGTAATAATGTCAGGCTGAACCCTATATATTTTCACACACATCCCACTCTCTTCCCCATCCCCTACGCGGTTTAACTAATTATGGCATTGATGTTAGGTCAACGATGGCTCCACATCTATGCTTCTATCTCCCTCTATAAATAAAAACCCTCTCTTCCACCCAACACACTGTCCTTAATTTCCTTTATATTCCATGCTTTTCAATCTCTCTCTAGAGAAATAAGCACAACCCTCTTCCCCATATTTAGTTCCCAACACAAACAAAACAATCTCTCTCTCTCTCTCTCTCTCTCTCTCTCTCTCTCTCTCTCATGGGTAACATTTGTGCATCTTCACAATTTATAAGTGAGGGTGCAAAGCTCATAAGGCCATCCACAACCAAGATCGTTCAATTGGATGGGGGGCTGCAAGAGCTTAGGCGCCCAGTTGTATCAAGCCACATCCTCTCCCAAAACCCCAACTGCTTCCTCTGCACCTCAGAGTCCATGTACGTAGGCTCATGTGCTCCTCAAGTTCCTAAAGATGAAGAGCTCCAGCTGGGTCAAATCTACTTCCTCATGCCACTTTCTCAGTCAAAGTCGCCTTTGTCTCTCCAAGACTTGTGTTCTCTGGCCATCAAGGCCAGCGCAGCCCTAGCCAACCATTCAGAGGCAGCACATCTTGTTTCATCAAAGAGGTCACCGACTGGCGTTGACATGGTTGGCATGATGAGCTCCAAGGAGAGGCGAGGCAACCAAAGAATTGAGCTCTAATTTTAATTTGCAGCCAATAGAAGTGCATATTGCCACATAGTAGATAGCTAGGCATGTATCTTTGGACTTTTAGCCGTTGTTTTTAGAGAATGATGGGAAAACAAGAGAGTGTATAAAGCCCAAGAATATTACAAGAGATTATTATATTTTGTAACAAAACGAAATGTAGAAAGCGACTTCTTATTCTTTGCACTTTTCTTGTTCTGTTTATACTTTGACAGTGCTATATGTAGCTCCTTGCTATTACTTGGTTATGAAAGACCCCTTTCTCTAGATAACAACTATATATTGTGATATTCACATACAAGAAACTATATTGTGATATTGCGCATTTGATTTCAATTATGAGTGTCGTATTTATAGATGAGACTTGTAAAATACAATATGATGAACTGTTGTCCAATTAAATAAGCCAACAATATGAACTGTTGTATGATTAAATAAGCCAACAATCCCAATATTTATGACTTCACCAAACGCTGGCCGAGACATTTGTCCAATTTAATTGAAATATATCAGTCGTCCAATCCAAGTGACCAACTGTAAATGTCTGGAAGTTGACATTAACTGTTTTTTTTTCTTCGTATTTATTGAAAGATATAAAGACCACCCTTTACATACTAGACTACGTAGTAATCCTATTAAGTGAATTACTTTTATGTATTCCCTAAACTTATGTACTTTGCCTCCTTTTTAAAAGGTTACAAAGTGTGGGAAAACTTCAGTGCTGATTAAGGTATTACTCTTATCTTCATAACTCAATTTTTGTTCTGCTCATTCTCTGAACCAAAGAAAATAATTTATATAAAAAATGTACAGAGGCCAAACAAGCAAATACTCAATTAAATTCAAGAAAAAATTTGGAGAAAAACAAGCACTTACAATTTTGAGTAATGTGGAGGCCAAGTAACCAAGGGCGGAACTACGTTTGGGCTAGGATGAGCTGCAACCCAATACTATGTCTAGAGAACAGGCTTAGGGGGCTTCATTATACAAGCCAAATCTATGTAAATAAAAAATTAGCACACCATCTATGTAGAAATGAGCCTACCTCCATGTATTAATCAATAGTCATTCTATAGTGAAGACCTTATATATGGTCCTTAGGTAAAGCCTTGTCTCTTAACTATTGTATCAAATTAGTTAGCCGTTGGATCAAATTGTTTAGCCTGATCCGAAGGTTAAAAGATAGAATCTCACTTAAGGGACATATATAAAGCCCTCACTATAGAATTCTTGAATTAATCAAGCATACTCCCTTCCCAACCATTGGATTGACTTTGGAATCCCTGTTTCGAGAACCATCAAATGGACCAGACTCCAGTCTTTTGACACAATTATCCAAGTGATGTTTTCTTGTTTTTCTAGCTTACCCGTGAAAAAATTCCTGATTCCGCCATTGTAAGTAACTATATATCTTTCTGTTGTAAAGAGAAATTTTTTTGGCATGTATATATAATTTATAATATATGATATTTCAACATATAATATATTACTATTTGTATGACGAAATGTGGTTTAGGTAAGCTACGTTCTCCGAAAGCAAATAATATGGACGTGACAAGCCATATAATGCTATATCCCTTTCTGTGAGTGATATTATGAGCACCTCCATCTACTTTTTATAATATGATAGAATATAAATTTTTTGTCCTTGACTTTGAAAAAATCAAATCGCCCAATAATGTTGATGTTATATATCACTTCAGATATGTTCTTTCTGATTAAATATAAGTTTATTTCTTCTGTAGGTGACAAATACAATTGCATGTGTGCATGTGCTCTATTATTGACTTTGATTTGATGTCATACAAGCAGTGAACATGTTATACTTTTGTAAAACATGTCAGTTCAAAATATTTTCGTTCTTTTTTTTGTTTTTTTTACTTTCCTCTAGAATTGCCGTCAGCAAACACACAAACAAAGCAGAAATGGGTAAGTTCCAGTCCTGTACTAATTTCTGAAACCAGGGTATGCCAACGTCAACTTCAAACCAGCACTTTAGAGCACAAGGGACTTGATGATTTGGTATGGTTTTTGTTTATACCATATCTGATCAAGCAACCTAGAGGTAATGTCAAAACTCTTACATTGGAATATTACAAGAAGTGAAGACTTCGCCTCACCTATAAAAGGAGATCACTCTCCACATAAAAGGGGTCCTTGCTCTCTCTCTTTCTCTCCTTCCCTTTATCTTTAGGTCTTACCCCTTTGTACATTGTAAACACCTATTATTATAGTGAGAATATATTTCTTTGTGAATATAGCCCATTTATTAAGGTGAATGAAGGCTCAAAAGCCTTCACACACTTATCGAAGACCCTAGCCTTCACTCACCTCACATCTCTAAGTTGGGCTCAATCTTAACCATCCATTTTTTAACATCAACAGTTTTGATTCAAATTGAGTTTACAATTTGTGATTGATAAGATATTTTCGATGAACTCGCTTTCATTGATGCTCCCATCACTGTTGATGCTTTAGTCATCCATATCCTCAATGGCGGGGCCCCAAGTTTAAAGAACTCGATCTAAGTCACTAACTTATTGGATGTTGTCAAAATTTGCTTTAGGATGTTGTCAAAATTTGCTAGTGTTGGGCAAGCAGCAAGGTTTATTCTTAGATTTGTAAAGATTTTGGTCCAACCTTCTGCAGTCAAATTAGTGGGTTGAGAAAGGCCGGATTCAAATTATCTCGAGCCCAATCCAGCTCATGTTAGCCCATCACAGATAAACTTAAAAAATGCTTGGGTCATAGTCATAATCTGAATATTGTTGGGTTCATCCAGAAAAAAAAAATTATATTGGTCTGGTTTTAATTACAAAACAACCCAGTGAATCTTATTTAAAAGATAAAACTCACAAAAGTTCATTTAAAAGAAAAGGTTAAGAAAATAACATACAATCAAACAAAATTAACAGAGGCACATGCCCTGATGCAAACCTTCTGTACATTATTTCCATGTTGTAAAATTTCCAAATGAAGCGAGAGCTGAGATTGTATTGAAGAAGTGTTTAATTCAAGGGGAGGGCTTCATTTCTGCTTTTATAGCAGCAACCAACTGATCATAAGCTTCTCCCCATGCATTCTTCATCTCTGGTGACCACATTTCTGGCACTGCTTCCTTTATGGTTTCCAACAATGCGAATTTAGTGACCTGAAAATTGTTCAACGAGACGTTGGCCCAATTAGTTACTTACTAGTAATTTATTTGCATTTTCATGACAATTTTTTTCCAAACGAAAAAATAATATATGTATACCTCATAATGTTCATCGACCACTCCAGATTTGAAGTGTACTCCACCTAATCTTTTCAAGGTTGATTCTCTCACTGTGACTTCGCCTGATTTCCGGAGTTGAAAGGCTGACTCACAGGTCTGCCACACAAATTGAAGAATATATGATTGAAAGTTGTCATTAGTGTAGGGCTAATTTGGGACTGCCCTTAGAAGTGCTTCTATCATAAAAATATTTTTACTAAATATTGAAGTTCTTTTTAAAAAGCACTTAAAAATAATTTATGTTCAGAAAGCATTTTATGAATCATAAATATTTTGAAGTTTTTCTACCAAACAAACACTATCAAAAGCACTTGTCGTAAAAAAGTTTTTAGACTTTCTACAAGCAGAAGCAGTACTGAACATACATTAGCTAGATTGTCATGAAAATTCATGGTTAACTACCTACCAACCGTTGGATCAAAATCTAACGATTAGCAACATATCATTCTACTTTATTGGGAATATTTGAATGAGGTGGACATGGGTGGCTCATACTTACCATAACAAAGACAGAAATAGCATGGGGCTTGAGCTTTGGGTTCTTCTCCAGAGGAATATCAGAGTCCTTCAAGAAAGAGAACAGCTTCTGCGCTGATGGTGCAATTTCAAATATCCTGCAATTGTTTCATACATATAGGATTTAACAACATAAATTAAAATGGAAAAAAAAAAAAAAAAAAAAAAAAAAAAAAAAAAAAAAAAAAAACCCTGACTTGACTTTAGGAAGAATTTAAGACCCAATTCAGCAGAATTCTTCTTCATCACACCCCATGACTTGGCCACCAATGCTTCCTGCTCTTCTGTGAAAACTTTCCCTTCCATGTTATGAATTTTTTTTCACACAAACTCACTTAAGTTGAAAATGGTATTGCGGATGTTGAGTTCAGATCAATATTCTTCGAAAGAGATTATATATATAGTAAACCCAGTGAAGATTAGATTTAACCCTTCAGGGCACTGGAGAGCCATTCTTTGATCTTCTAATTTTTCTTTTGTCTTGCACAAAATTTGATAAGCAACTTAGCACCGCACACGTCCCAAAACTAGGGGCTGCTTGAGGCCAAATTGGGGAACATGGTTTTGGGCTTTGAGCTTGTTGGCTGAAGTGACGCAAGCCATAACATCATATTTTTGCCAAGAGTGGCCAAAGTTTGGAAGGGGATTGGGAGGTGCCGTTTAGATTTGAACATGAGATAGTTAATTTATGGACAAAAATTCTTACCACTGGGCTATGAATTCGTTGGTTTTGCCCAATATCTCTCAGGAGCCGAAGAAATTTGTCACCAATGACAAATAATATCGTATTTTTAGACTCTACAAACATTGTATAAGGTAGTCGCATTGGCTTTTGCTTTGGCATAAGTGGAGGTGGGTTTGAGGCATTATTTTTACACAAAAAGACAGGAATATAATATTGCAGCCTTTCAAATTATGGTAGAGCCAAAAACTTTCGATTAGCAAATACAACTTGACCTCCTAGGTGAAGGTGCAATCCAGTGATCCACCATAAAAAATGATCACCAGTTTCATGGGTCCATCTAGGGGAGGCCACAGGGTGGGGGAGGAAGAAAATTTGTTCAAGGGGGCATAACTTTAGTAAAACCAAGAATCATGTACACCATTGTTGAAAGGTTTACTTCGAAAGCCAACAACATTGGGACAATGGGGCACATGACCTACCATTAGTCTTTTTGATAATTGAAAAATGAAATATTCAAATTTAAGATATTTTTCAATTCCAAGATTGAAAAGAAAAGTACCACTAGATTAGTAGCTCGTTGGTGGCCGTACATATACGAGGAACACATCCTTTAAAAATATATAGTTTAATCTTACAGATTAAAAATAATAAAATTCCATAGATTGTGAGATTTAAATCTCTCAACGAGATTAAGGGACATTTTGAAATGTAGAAGTTTGGTGTTCTTATAAATGTGTAGTTGAATAAAAATAAAAATATAAACACACAAATGTTCAATAATGAAATAGAAATAGAGAAAGTGTGAGGGATTGAAATTAAGATTTTCAAACTTTTATGGGTTAAATATTTTAATTAACAAAAAAAAAGTTTGAAAAAACGTGAGCCACATTATGTGGTTTAAAATTAAGGAAATTGTAGTACGGAAGTGGTCTTCCGGTGTAGATGAGAAATTGAAAAGTCAACAATAGAAGGAGAGTGTGTGTTACGGCGGCCCGTCTTTTACGTAAATATACCTCAAAACAAACGTGTCTCTCCCGGTCTCTCTTTAAATTCTCCAGCCTCAAAGTCATGCATATCTCAAAATTTTCCAGTTTAAATCTTCCTTCCTCCCTCCTCTCTTGCATGAGGGAGGGACATAGGAAAGGACTGAAATGATGTGCTGGTTATTGGCTATGTTCATGGCGACGTCTTGTGAAGGAAGATATTAACGAAATGGAATATGGTGTAGTGGCATCTTCTGTTCCAAACTTCGGCCGTCAATATTTTCCGACGACGATGAGGATGTTGATGACTTACTTTGCGCCACCGTTATTTTGCAACGACAACAACAATGAAAATCGTGGTTGGCCTAATAAAGTGCGTTGTTTTGCTTTGTTCTCCTACCATGATTACGAGTGGCTGCGAACATTAGGATATGCAATTATTTGTCTATTTCTCTTATTATGTGTTTACATAATATAAAAAATAGACATATGGTTGTATATCAAAGAATAATATCTACGAGTTACTCATACAAAAAAGGTACTCTATTTTGGCATGTTAAAAAAAGTTTTAATTTTGTTTTTCTGTTAATTTTATTACTATTGTACTTTCTTTTATTGTTAGTATGCCATCATCCTAATTTAATGGTGTTTTTATGGTTGTTCGTTTGATTGCTTTAGAGAAATTTAAACTTATAAATTAAGAAATGAACTTGTAGCTCAAGAGATCGAGAATGTTTACTTTGTATATGAGGTCCTCTATTTAGGGATGGTCCTATGACTTGTACAACCTGGGCTATAGCCCAGGTGAGTTTTTTTAATTCATTTCTTATAGTTAGTGTTAATGTTAATACAAATTTATAAATAAACCCAATCTTATACATGTATTTATAAAAAAAACCCAAGCACTATTTAAACATAGAAACACACCCAAAATCAACCTCAAAATCAACAATTGTATATTTTTTTGGTGTGTTTATAAATGGGTTTTGAGTGTGTGTAATAATGGGTTTTGGGTGTGTTTATAAAGTGTTTTGGGTGTTGGGTTTTTTTATAATTTCAGCCCCCATTTGGGTGTTTTAGTGAAACTCCCTAATGTTAATCCCATTTATAGTATAAATATTAATTTGAACTAATGGATAATTGTAGTGTTACCTCTAGTTGTCGTGTGTCTATCTGACTCTATATTTGTGATGATAAATTTTCATTTTTGAATTTTCTTATCTCTTAATTCATTTTTGTTCATCATGGTAGACCTTAGCTAGCATTATTGGTGTAAAATAGGTCTTTTAAACAAATAAAAAAAATGATATGTTCTTAAATTATATATATATATATATACACACACACACATATGATCAATTCCATAAGCCTAAAATCTAATAGTTTAATAAAGTAAATCTAGCCCACCTCATTTTAAAATCCTAGATCCGTCCCTGCCTCTATTTAATTCTCATTGTCTCAATATCACTAGCAAACTTATTTTAAAAGCTACTTGGGCTACAGTCGAGACGGTCTTTACGGATAGAGAAACGATTGTAAACTAAGTAAGCCCAACTAAAAAAAAACTAATGGAGTTTATCAGCCCAATACCACTAGCAAAAACTTAGCTAAGCATTCTCTTTGAAATGCCTTTGCCTCCTCCATGCATTTTCTAGGAAGAATGCCAAGACTTGGCTTGGCTAATCCCTCCTCCTCTTTGAAATGCCTTTGCCTCCGTCATGCATTTTCTAGAAAGAAAGCCAGGACTTGGCTAAGCCCTCCTCCTCCTTGAAATGTCATTGCTTCCGTCATGCATTTTCTAGAAAGAAAGGGCAAGACTTGGCTAAGCTCTCTTTGCCATGCATCTTCTTGGAAGAAAGCCAATAGTCTTAGCTAGCCCTCCTCTTTGAAACTTCTTGGCCTCCGCCGTGCATCTAGAAAGAAAGCCAAGACACGGCTAAGCTTCCCCTTTGAAATTTCTTTGCCTCCGCCATGCATCTTCTAGGGAGAAGGCCGTACGCGTTTGGAGCTGCGGAATTGTTGACAACTTCTTTTGAAATTATATTGGTGCGGTAACTTCTGCTAGGATATTGCCTACTACGCTAAGTTATCGGGGTCTATAAAAACTGTTCATTTTTTAAGTTTTTTTTTTTCCATTATGAGTTCTTAGTCTTAAAAGAGTATTCTTATTCTCTGCACTTACAATATTTCAAGGATCAGGTAAGTTTTTCAAATATGAAATCTGTTTGGGCTCGCCTGGTGCTTAGGATTGGATTGAATTGAATAACTGTTAGATTTAAGTTGAATTGAAGGAGGAAATGGAGATAGAAGTGAAATATTTTTCATTTTTAGGATTAGAAGGGATATAAGTTATAAGGTGTTAAGATCCTATCATGTTGTAGGAATTAGATTAGATAAGTTTTCTTCATAAATAATTCATCTTCTACCTTCAACTCGGAAAAAATTTCTTCATTTATTTCCTTCAACATACCTTAATGAGTTATCCAATCCAGTCCAATAAACGTGTCCTTTGTGTTTCTATGCAATACTTAACTTGAAGTTAAAGTTTGTGTTTTTTTTTTTTTTTTTCATCATTTTAATTTTTTTTTTTTTTTTTTTTTTTTTTTTGGTTCAAAATATACTTCTACAGACGAGGTCTACAGCAGCCGCCATGACGAAATTCGATGAGATACCGCACCCGAGCCACCCAGAACACAAGCTGGAGCAGAGTTGGACAGGGAAGCTGTTCATGTGCAACGGGTGCAATGAGCCAGGCATAGGTTCACACTACACGTGTCCCCAATCCTCATGCAGCTTTGATCTCCACGTGCACTGTGCCATCCCTTTGGGCCTTTTCCACCACCCCTTCCAACGCGGTTGCAGCTTCCAACTCCTCCCAAGCCCACCGGAGAACACTGGCAGCTGCAATGCATGCGGGGAGAAAGGAACAGGGTTCGTGTACCATTGCAAAGGCTGCAAGTCCAACCTCCACCCCTGCTGTGCTAAGCTGCCCATGAAGCTCGAGGCTGGAGATGTCAACCTCTATTTGTATGAAAAAGTGAAAAAAATCGTGCCAAGAATGCGGATATAAAGGGAAGGGCTGGAGTTATAGGTCCGTGGACAAGAAATGTTATCTGCATGTGGCATGTGCGAAGAAATTGATAGCAGAAAAATGGCTACATGGCTCGGGACATGGTGATGATTTGCAGACCACAATTCCAAACCTTAACAACATGATTCAAAAGTACCATCAACCTAAAGGGAAGCTGAAGAGGTTCGCTGAGATTGTCCGGTTGGTTTTGCAGACGGTGATATCAACTCTGCTAGGTGATCCAACGGCTTTGATTGCTGGAACTGTTAAGTTGCTATTGACAGATGATTGACTTGGTGAAACCTAGTCGAATGATTTTGTTTTGTTTTATTTATTTGTTTATTTTTGCAAGAGATATGAAACTTTAGAACTAGGGGATAATTGTGTGTGATTGTGTAAGAAGTCCCCTTCTCTCGTAATTCGACCATTAGCTTGTATTAGTGACTTTAGAACTAGGGGATAATTGTGTGTGATTGTGTAAGAAATCCCCGACTATTAGCTTGTACTAAAACTAGGGGAATATTGCGAAAAATCCTTCTATTACAGTTATTGAATAAAAACCGTTTTCATTTATTACTTCATTTTTCCGACTATTTGCCCTTGATGATAAATAATGGAAACAAATTAAAAGTGCTTTATTTGATGCATTTGTTAACCCCCCCAATGAAGAAGAATGAAATTGCTCCTAAACAAATTAGATAGAAAGCTACAGAAAACAGAGTTGAGAAGGTTGAGAATTCAAACCGGAAGCAAGCACTGAGACAGATAGTAGAGTTGTTAAAAATGAAAAGGATTGTGTAAGCAGGAGACCTAGAAAGAAGTTGTAAAGGAAAGGCTTTTCAGAAAGAGAACATAGCAGGAGAAGGGTAACCAAGAAACTTGTTTGACATCCAAACCTTGGGTTCATGAAGCAACGGGTTTTCGAAACAAATGGGACTTCAAATTCTGTGCGCAGTGTACTTAGTCCATTTCTTCAGGATTTTAACTCAAACATTTTGAAATAGCATGACATCCAAGGAGGAAATGGTTATTTTAAGACAATTCATCACAGAGTTCAGGATTTACAGTTAACACCATTAAAACTATAACATTCCAAACTTTATCCAGCAAAAGGTCTATGAAGAAGCATTAGAATTTAATGGAGATAGATATCAGGACCGGAAAAGAACATTAAAAGAGACTCATATAACATAACAAGCCAATTCATGCAAAGCAACAGCATTCTGATAACATTTTCGATAACCAAAAACCTTAATAAAAATATCAAACATAAACTCCAACATAAACTCCAACAGAAGTTTGCCCAAAATTTAAAATCTTAATTCCTAATGGAAGTTGGATTACATGAACTCAGTTCACAGCAGCGTCTATGAATGCTCCTCCAGGACGGCGCAACGCCAAAGATCCATGGCATCCCAAAAGCTACAAGAACAACATATGGATCGTTAATTATTGGCATTGGCTCATGAAATCAAGCTTAAGGAACAAATAAAATAAATTAACACTAATTTGTTAGGGATGAACAAACCTTGGCATTGACACCATCAGGAACAATACGATTCTCTGCCTTCAACCTGACATAGTCAGCTCTGCTGAACTTGGTAAAGCCCCTGAAAAGTTACACAGAGACAAAGTTTCAGCATAATAACGATTAATTCTAATTATAGTTATGACAAAATTAAACAATTAACAGAACCCATAATATACCAACAACAAAAAAAAGCAATCAAAATCAAAAATTGGATTTTGGGTTTTGGGTTTTGAGTTACAGATTGCAAAATCCAAAACCCATAAACTCAAAAGAAAAAACATACCATTTCCTGCTCTCAATGATCTTTTGACGCCCAGGGAACTTAAACTTGGAGCGGCGCAGAGCCTCATGAGCGTGGTGCTTGTTGCTGTCTTTGCAGCGAACGGAGAGAAGCACCTGACCAATAGCAACCCTAGCACAAGTACCGAGAGGCTTGCCAAAAGCACCTCGCATACCAGTCTGAAGCCTATCGGCTCCGGCGCAAGAAAGCATCTTATTGATCCTGAGAACATGGAAAGGATGAACCCTAACTCGCAAATGAAACGTGTCCTTTCCGGCGAACTTAGTCATGTACTTGTTGCAGGCAATACGGGCGGCCTCAAGGGCTTCGCTCGAAACATTTTCTTTCTCCCAAGAAACGAGGTGGATGCAGAAAGGAAACTCATCCACGCCCTTCTTCTTCATGCCCACATCGTAGATTCGGATCTTCGGATCCGGAACACCACGGCAAAAACGTGATTTCGGGTAGGGTTTGTTCTTGATCTGGCGGTAGCACCTGGCTGGTCTTCGTCCCATGGCGACTGGTTTCGGCTGCCCAAACCCTAAATCTCGAAATGAATTGGGTTGAAAAGGCGATTGAGGTTTATATTTATAGTATGATTTCTGAAGCCCAAATCAATATTTTGGGTTGTTTCTTGGACTCGACACATGTTATCCGGGCCGTAAATGTAACCCAATAATAATGCATGGCTTTGGTTCGGGTCAAACTTTACCATCTTCTGATTCTCCGTGGTGGGCCATACCATTTATGCACCAAACAAATATTATCACGGGCCTTTAAATTTGTTTTGATTGGTTATTTGGTGTAATAATGGAAAGAATTTTGAAGCCCTCACAATAAAATTAAGAAATATATATAATTAAAAAATTTGAGCTACACCCCTCTGTCTTGAAGAAAAATATTATGAGAGACTAATAGCAAGCTCATTCATATAAACTTTATGAATATCTTTTATTAATTTATTTTTTTAATACAAACAATAACTTAAACTACAAAAGTGAATGATGATTCACACATATACGCTACTAAGGTGCCATGAGTTCGAATTTGAGACCGCCAATATACAAGTTAAGGCCATTTTCCATTGGGGCAAGACTCCCATTGACTTGAGTGCCATTCTCTATCTTCAAGCAATGTTTCGCACAACTTTTCATTAGCATGGGAATCATTATGTAGCAAATTTCCAAAACTAGGGGATTTTTAAGGCTAATGGGGGAACATTGTTTTAGGCTTTTAGCTATTGGCTCAAGCGACGCAAGCTAAAATAAATTTGTCACTTATAATCACTAATCATATCTCTAACCAGAAGTCACTAAACATCCCCCAACAAAACCCGAACTGCTACTACTCTTAAGAATCGCTACTCCTGAAAGATTAAGACAGCCCTTGGATCATTAGAGATGCAATTTCCATAACAGCTTATCACAACGAAGCAGAGATATACAAAACGATGGAAGGAAGAAACATTTAACCGCAACCATAGTTTACATCTGGTCTTGCAACAGCTGAGGAGAACGGAACTTCAACTCTCTCTTTCACAACGCATCGAGCTTTCCCGTCTTCCACAACAAGGACTCTTCCCGGGGGGGCATTCAATGTCGATCTCTTTTCTTTACTCGGTGGTTGCTGAGAAAGGCCTGATATTTTGAAAGTGGTATTACTTCTCACAAATCTAGGACCAAAACCAGACAAGCTTAACACAGATGCCACACCAACAATAGTAAGCACGGTCTTGGCTGCTGTGCTTAGGACAAATCCCAACCCTCTTGAGTTTTTGGATCCAGTTTTCACCTCATCTCTGTCTGTCTCGCTCAATTTCTTCTTTTCTTCATTTGTTGAATCACTATTGATTATCCCATTTCGTAGAGACTTGTGTGTAGGTGGCAAATAGCCATTTTCTAGGCAAAAAGTGTGTGGAGGGCTTGGATATGGTGGAAGCAAGAGATCGTTGTTGTGCTCCACTGTTTCACCAGCAAAAGCAGAAGCTTCATGTATCACTTCCAAATCATTCCCTTTGTACTCCTTAAGCTTGTTGAGTAGCATCTTTCGGCTGCTTTCCATCTCAGAAAGGGCAACTTCCCTTTCATACCTTTGCTGCTGTTGCAAAGCCTGATCATTAAAAAAACAAAACAAAAAAAGTTTACAAATCTTATAAAGTTATCTTACCTATACATGTTAAATTTGTTCTTGATATATACCCAAATTAAAAACGATTGGCAAGCCCCACATGTCACTTTTCCAAGACATAAAGCCGTTTCTTTGTGACTATAACATACTTCTTACAATAAATCAAACATATGGCCACATTTAATGAACTTGTATGCTTTCCATGGAAAGTGCAACCGGTCACTAATTAATTATAATAAATATGCTAACACTTCGAGATCTAGCTAGTACGTCAAAAAGAATGTTTCAATTTGAGGACATCAAGCATGGGTCAAACGAACAAAAGGGAGTTCATCCAACCTCATGAAAGTATGTATAATGCTCAACACAAGTCATTTCTTATTCACATGACTATGCATCAACACAAGTCTAATGCCTCCCTCCATGGTTAAAATTAAGTACTCTGGAATTTCACGTGTGCAGGAAGCTGACATGCATATAGTGCATTTGCATGTAGGTTCAATGAATTACAACTCCAGCCTTTCTAGCCAAGTGAAACACTTGTCCTCTTAAAGAGGAGGTCTTGGGTTCATCTCATGGAGGAGAAAGAACTCAGGAAGCGAAGCCAACTCCTATTTGTTGCCTGTGGTCACTATAAGATGCAAAAATTTTCTTTCCAATTACTTTAGTAACTAAAAACTCTGTGAAAAGGAACTACTTCAAGCAGATGTGATATTTAAAATTTGTCTCTATTGCCTCTGAAAAGAACTATAAATGTAATATAAAGTATTAAATACTTTGTAAACAACATATAATAGAATTTTCACTGTGCGGCATTGGCTTGCGGTGACAAGTGTTATCGGGAGTAGGAATCAAGATGTTGGAAGATATCAAACCACAGAATAACTAATTTTTGTTTATAGAACAAGTTTTTTCTTTCTTTCTACAAGTGAAAAGAAAAAGAACAGCACGTATGTCTTCCCTTAACATATAGCACTTTTATACGAAAAACTGAAACTTTAGTAGTTCCAACAAACACATCCACCAATCCTCAAGTAGGAAGGGGAAGGCCGCACAATCAAACGAGTTCTGAGAAATAAACATAATTCCAATTTGGGAGTTCCACTCATATATTACCTTTTTTATATTTAAACATTAATCCGAGGTCTCCCCTTATTCCTCCCCACACAACCACCATCTAAAACAAGTCCAAAATCAACACTTTTTCATCTTAAAAGCAGAAAGGAAGCCTAATATTTCTTGATACTAAATTCTGTACCTTATCAGTCATTCTGATTGTATATGTTGTAATAACGTTGGTTCAACTCTGGATTTTAAATAACACCTAGCAACAAATCCCTCCTTTTTATGTATTTTTTTGCTTAAGCAAACAGAAAGCAGTGCAATTTGGCATTCATAAAAAGAGGAAGACTAATCAAGAAGCTAAAAAACAATGCCCAAGTAATATAGTCCATGTATAAACCAACACGAAAGAAATTAAACCCGAAGTCAAGCATAAACGAACCCATTTAACACAGCACACTAGCATAAGCACATACACACTCACATACATCAAACTGCAAGTTTCAAACTTTAAGCACCCAATTGCAATAGACAAACTACTTCAGCAAAATTAGGGTTTTTAACAAAACCAACATAAACGAAATTGGGTTTTGGGGAAAACAAACCTGTAAGGAAGAGAGCTGGTTCTCAAGGGATTCAAGGGCATCGCAAATGTTGAAAAGCTTATGCGCCTCATCATCTTCTCCTTCTTCTTCTTCTTCTCTGTCTTCATCTCCTGCTTCACCATCAGCTTGGATTCCATTTTCCCTTTTGGGTGGTGGGTCATTTGCTTTGTGGATGCAGTTGCTGATCTTCAACCTCAGCTCTGTAGCTCTTGCCAGAACCAACCCTATACCTTCTTCTTCCATTTCTCTTCGTTTCTTCTTTTTCTTTTCTAAGCAAAAAATAAAATAAAGAGAGAGAGAATGGGAAATTTATTAATAAAAGTAGGCTGTGAATAGTTTTGTTTTGAAGGGTTTTGAAATTGAAATTGAATAGATATTGCATTCAATTGGGGGAAGAAGGAAGGTTTATGAGTAGCGCCAAAATAGAACTGCACTACAGCTAATGCTTTTGGGGTTTAAGTGACTCTGGTGGCTCTCTCTCTCTCTCTCTCTCCATACTATTAGTAGTAGATAGACTCCTTTTGTTATTATTTGATGCCCTTCACTCTTTTTTATTGTTTGTTTTGCCAAATGCCAAAGCTGAAAACAACATGGTTCTTTTTTAATTTTAATTTTAATTTTATATATTCCTTTTTGTTTACCCCAAAATTTAAAAAAATACAATTTCCCATATTTAAAAATAAAAAAAATGAATTAATAAATTAATGTTTATGGCTCAGTTCAGTTTAGGAGAAATCTATGGTTGCAATAGTGCACATGTGACATGAACTTTATACATTTTGGTTTCATTATGGGTGTAATCTTTTTGGGATTTGGTCAGATATTAATATATTGTGGGTGGAATGGGTACCATACCCTTGTATCAGACAAGAAGAAAACAAAAACTGTACAACAATTAAGTGTTCAATAAATCTCCGAAGAGTTGTATCTGGTCAAATATTAATTCAGTTTTATAATAGGTTTTTTTCATTTTTAATTATTTATTAATATTTTAATTCATATGGATATTTTTATCCTTCAATTTAACAGTAATATTAATAGTCTTTAACGTAGGACCGTTTTGATATCAAATAAAGAGTTGAAGGACTATTGAAATGAAAATTTTAATTGGTAAACCAAAATGATACTGGGGCAAAAATTAAGGACAATTTCGGTTTGAAAACCCAAATTTCAAATATAGCAAATAAACTCACTTCAATAGACCTTAATGCCATCAAAATTAAAACCCAATTATACTTAAAAAGCCAAATCCCTTTCAGATCTCCAAATAAAGTAGAGTAAAATAAAGGTTTTCTTCATCCAAGCCAAAGATAGCAGGATAAAACACTAAACAATTGATGAAAACGACAATGATTTTAGACAAAAAAGAAGAAGAAAAGGAAATGAGACCAGATGCCAATGTTTTCAAAAACCCAGGCAATCGAATTCATCTCTGCGGATATAGCTTGAATCGGTGGCTTCACATAATAATTAAAGGTAGGTTCTTCACATAATAATTTTAATTAGAAAAATAAAATACAAAAGAAACTATAGATATTTTGCAGAGGGATAACGACGATGTAATAGTAATAGATAGTGTTGATATTTTACAAAATTAAGAACCAGCTTTTGATCACCACTTCTCAACAATCACACTACATAGGTTTTCTTTAAATTTCCTACTCTTGTTTTAGTGACGGTATGATCTATAAACAAAATGGTATAAAAGGGATTTGGCTATAATTGGGTTTTAATTTTGAGGGCATTTGAGTCTATTCAAATGAGATTTTCGCTATATTTGAAAGTTTTTATAAAATTAACATTTATGAAACTATGGTGTAAATTTTAGTTATTTTTGATAAACTTGAGACAGGTGAGTGAGTGAGTGAGGACACTAGAAAAAAAAATTTAATTGAGTGAGGGGACTGATACAGTGCAAGCAAAATCACTATAAACTTTTCTTTGGGCCAATTAGACAATGACACATGCGTAATGCATATATAATTAAATAATAGGCAATTTTTTTATGCCCACCCCTAGTCAATACCATAATGAAACTTGCTCTTCTTCAACATGCAATGGTAATTTTGAAATGTGCATGAGAAGAGTTCTAGGTTGAGTTGAGCCCCAAATGATCAAGATTTTCTCCCTACTCCCCTCCCCTTATCTCTATCTCACTTGTCAGAGGTATAAGTTCAGGTGATCGGGTTTGGATTTTGGACAAACTGGAAAATGCTATGGGCTGTTTGTCTTGGGCTTTTGGGCTAAGTTAAGTAGGAAAAGCGGAACAGTAGCAATTCAATTGAAGAAACAGGGCACAAACCCAGAATACAACAATAAGGACACAACCCTGGAAGGAGGTTCTTGCAATACAGATTGTAACAACACCACCAGCTAAGCTCAAGTATTACAAGATAGTTAGAAAACAAATATACAACTTTAAACCCAGCTAACAAGGAGTTACAGATGATGAGGATCCTATTTCTGCAGCAGCCAATGCTTAAAAGAGATCAAGACAGAGAACAAACTCTCAAACTTCATGGGACAGGAAATACCCCAAGAATGGAGGGCATTACATCTCAACTTCCACCAGGATATTCCAAAGAATATCATAGCATCTCCTAATCCCCCTTGATCCCCAAGCACAATAAAAGTAGATCCACCAAAATCAGCAGCTCCACCTCCAAAACAAAGAGATCTACACTAGATCTACCACACAAGTAGCAGATCTAGCAAGATTAGCCAAAAACTAGCCCCAAAAGACTGGGAAACAAACCCTCAAGAAAAGAGGGAAGAAACAAACCCTTGCAACAATAAGGAGCAGACAAAACTCAACAAAAGTTGGGAGGGAAAACCTCTCCACAACATAACGGGGGGGAAAGAGGCCCGGATTATTAACCAAAGGGGGTGGTTCCAAGGGAGCCAAGGAGAAATGCAGATCTGTGTTGGCTTTGGGTTGGGAGGAGAAGAAGAGTCAAGAAGAAACAATTCTTTTGTTTTTCTTTAAGCAAAGTGCATTTAATGGTTGAAATCATGAACTAAAATGGTCTATAGATGGAATTGAGATTTATTTTTCGTGTTGTTTTTTATTCAACAATTGTTGTCCATAATATTTGAATTTAAACTCATTTCACAAAGTGGAGGATGCTTTTGAAGGAAGTTGAGGTTTTACCCTTAAAATCAATTCGCAATAATGCAGAGAGTAGCCCAATTACTTTCTAATATATTTTTTGAATTAACATTTTAAATTGGCAATTACTTTTTAGCTACTCCAACCACTTTTTCAATTGAAATAAGATGCTGAATAGTTCTCTCTCAATATCAGGAGCTCTAGAGATTGAGCTATTTTTGGAGCAAGATAGCCAGCATAGTTTGAGCACTTTTTCTTTAACATTTTTCTAAATTTTAGCTAAAGACCATAGTTTGGCTACTGGTCGTGATGTCTTCTTTTTTAATGTTAATATTTGAAGAGAAAGTAATGTGAAAATAAAATAATGTACGAGGGAGGGGTAAAATTAATCTTATTAAAAATTGAGAAAACCAACGAGCTCATCGTCTAATGGTACTTCTCTTTCCAATGTTGCTATGGCTAATATGGGCCATTTTGTTATCTTGCGGCATATTTGGATGGATCACTTCCTACCCCTGCAACGTTAGCTGCTAATTGAGATTCTTTTGGTTCTGGGTGCCCTCGTGGCTTCTCTTTGTAGTTTTTATTTTCCCTATAAAAACAAAAAACAAAAAACAAAAAATCTTCTGGAAAGCTGGTATTACCTATATATGTTTCACGAATATGAATACTGGTACATTGATACGATACGATACGATTCGTCGATACAGTAAATTTTCAAAAACTAGAATACGAGTACGACACTGATACGGTGATTAAAATAATATAAATAGAAAAATTGTAAATACATAAACATATATTACATACATGAGTATATATATATATATATGTAAAATTATAAATATAGTATAGCATTTTTGGGCTTTTTCTCTAGTTCCTTATGTTTTTATAGGCCATATATGACTAGTTTCAGTTACTGGGCTTGGGCCCACATGAATGTATCAAATAAAAAAAAGGATTAACGTCATTTTAGTTCCTGGAGGTTTAAGGTCAGTATCGAAATGGGCCTTGATGTTTCAATTTCATCAATTTCATACCTAATATTTCAAAAAATGACCAATTTACACCAGCTATTACATTGATCGTTAGGTCTGACGTTAAATGCTGATGTGGTAGTTGTGGGACCCACCATAAAACATATTTCTCTCTCTTCCCCCTTGCACAGTTACTGTTCGTCTTTCACAACGCTGCCTTCCGGCCACCTCTTGTATCAACACAATCAGACTAATAAGGGGAGCAAGTTTTGTTCTCGGACCCAGGCCAAAAACTAACCGAAATTGGGTAAATCACGGCCAAAATAGTTGGCCATTTTGGGGGTTTTAATTTGAACTCTCAAATCATGAAATCGATCCAAAATAAATATACCAACAACAAGAACACGTGGATGAGATGAAAAACCATACCTTAATTGATGTCAACGACCACTGGAATCGACGTCGGAAGGCTAAACCCTCATTCTCCCTTCTCGAGCTCACTTCGGCGTCGTGAGGAACTGGGGACGTCGGGCCTTGGCCCAAACATGGTCGCCAGAAGTAGCTGGTCATTTTCCGATCGATCCCGTAGTCGAAGATGGCCGGATGGCAGCGTTGTGTCATTGGGAAGACGAACAGTCACTGTTGTGTCGAAGGGGAAGAGAGAGATGCGAGGAAGATAAAGAAATAGATTTTGTGGTGAGTTCCATGATTGCCACGTCAGCATTTAACGTCTGACCTGACGATCAATGTAACGACCGGTGTAAATTTGTCATATTTTGAAATGTCATGTATGTAATTGATGAAATTGAAACATTGGGGCCCATTTTGATATTGACCTTAAACCTCTAGGGACTAAAATGACGTTAGTCCTTTAAAAAAGTATAAAACACTTAACATGCAACCAAAACGCTGCATATTGTAATTAGTGAACCTAACATCATCTTCTTCACGAGTTAGCCACCTCTTCTTGGCAGATTGCAACTGGAGATTAGCAGAAGCTGCAAGTGCAAGTAAGTTCTTTTCTTTTTCCTTCTTCTTCTTTCTTCTCTGTCGCTGAAACCAGTAAAAACCTAGCCTTTCTCGAATCTAGAAGAAGAGTGTATTGCGAAATAACCCCCGCCGTATCCTTGACCGTATCAGGATCGTATCTCTCGTGTGTCCAGGGCGTATTGAAGACGTATCGGATGGTCAACATAACAGAAAATACACGATACGCCATTTGCCGTATCCGATACGTATCGGAGGCGTATCGTATCGTATCGGAGGAGTATCCGATACGAGCATACCCTTCATGACCGGCGTATCGGTGCAAATATAGGCTATGTTTCATTCCATTCCTTTACTCCATCCAAATGCACTGTAAATATAGAATTTGGTGCAGTCTATCTGGAGATGGTTATATATATTTGTTGCACCTGCAATTCCATAGCTTAATAGATAGTGAACGTTTGCACACTGACAAACTAAAACTCAGTCTTTTTGCTACCTTGGCAGTTGATTGTGGTGATTGCTTCAAATCATTGAGCATGTCGTCCCTAAGGAATGCTATTAGCAGGCGGGCTCGCAAGGAACGAGCTCAACCGTGAGCAACTACATTCCCTTTGCTGTTAGGCTTTCAGATAATGTTGTTTTGCATCAATCAGATCATGGGAATTATGTAATTTATTGTTCACATTTTTGTTAGGGAATCGAGGAAAAAATTTGGGCTTCTTGAAAAGCACAAGGACTATGTTGAGCGTGCAAAAGCATATCACAAGAAGGAGGAGACTTTACTGGTAAAATTGTGGTGACTTTGTTGCTTGTCTCCTTGGATTTCATTATTTGTCTATAATAGTGTAAATAACTTCCAATTATGGTATATGCCTTAGGCTATGTCTTATCTGTCTTTTCACTCAACAGAGACTGAAGGAGAAAGCGGCCTTTAGAAACCCAGATGAGTTCTACTTCAAGATGATCAAGACTCGAACTGTTGATGGAGTCCATAAATTAGAGTAACATAGAACTCTTGTATAATGCTTCTTTATCATTTTTCTTTGGCTCTTGCTCCTCAAATGACATAGCTTGTTGCTACAGGAATCAGGCAAACAAGTACACTCCAGAAGAGCTCTTACTTATGAAGACCCAAGATATTGGATACATAATTCAGAAAGTTCAGAGTGAGAAAAAGGTTATTAATACTGGTACCAAGAAGCTATGGTTTATCAAGTGGTTTTTTAGTTTACTCTGTTGGTTATAATTATGCTGTTATCCAATGCAGAAAATTGAAAAGTTGACTGCGACACTCCACTCTCTTGATAATCGGCCTTCAAGTAGACACGTTTACTTTGCTGAAGACAGGTTTGAGCTTCATCTGCTTTTTGGGTCTTTGGAAAATCAAAATTATATCTGATTAAGTGGATTGCTTTTTAATGTTTTAGTTTTTCTTATTGTTGTTGCTATTTGTAACCAGACTTAGATATGTTGGAGAGACCATTTTCTGTTTCTTGTTATTTTTAGGGAGGCTTTCAATTACACCCCTTGAGGTTTGGCCTTATTACAGTCAGACTCCACATGTTTTTGAACGTTTTTTCAAATACATCTTATCTTGTTTTTTCCTTTTATTTGTAGGGAGTAGGCAAAAGAAATTCAATCATGTTCAAAAAGTGGAACTATGCCTTCTTCTGTGGACATTCCTGATCATATAAAAAGGTACAAACAAAGTTTTCAGTGTTAGGGGATAGATTGATGAGTTATGTTTATTATTGAAGGTGGTCTGTTGATTTTTATTAGTTTAATAAGAATCTATTATGAATGTCTGTGCATTACAGTATCGTATAAACAAATGCCTTTTGATTTGGTTGATAGAATTTTGGCATATTTTTCTATCAAGGGGTAACTGTGCACTGATTGGTTCGTACTTTTTTTTTAAAACGCCATAAGATTACTTTGTGAGACAAATCCATTAATCCCTCAGAATATGAATAGGACTTAGAAACTTCGTCATAATAGAAAGGTTTAAAGCAAAACTATTCTCTTAATATTTAGTTCAATGGATGCAATTCAGCTTTTTATAGTTGTTTTGATTTGTCAGTACGTTAATTGACCTGAAAGAGGATAAGCGAATCTTATTGGTCACAAGTATGTTGCTGAAGTTTTCTGTATTTTTAACAAATGGGATGAACTGCCTTTTGCTGTTATATGTCAACAACTATCCAATTCCTATGCATCTCCGACCGCATTACGTGGAAAAGACCTGATTATAAGCTGGAGTCTGGCTTAGAGATTTTGCAAGTCTGATTTTAAATAGTTAAACTACAAGTTGGTTTGAGGCCCTACTATCAGGTGCAAGTTGGAGTTGAGAAATATGGTAGTGTAATAATCTCTCTTAAATTTTTTTTGTTATCATGATATCTTAAGTTTTCTTTTCTTCTATGCCATTTTATCTCCTGAATTCTAGGTAGCTGACTCATGCTTTGAGAAATTCTTGTTATCCTTCAATTTCTTAAATGTCATGGTAATCTACCTTTCAATGGTGAAGTGATGCATACTTCTTCCTTCCTGTTTCCATTTTCGTCCTGAATCCTAGGTAGCGCACTCATGCTTTAAGAAATTCTTATTATCCTTAAATTTCTACAATATCATGGTATGCTACCTTTCAATTGGTGGAGTGATGCATGCTTCTTCCTTCCTGTTTCCATTGTCGCGCTGAATTCTTGTAGAAGGATATTAGACTTTTGGTTAAGTCTTATATTCTTTTGTCTTCAGTGTGCAGGAAAACAACTGCTTCCTACAGAGAGCTAGAAGCAAGGAGGAATAGAGTCAATGAGTTGGAGAAAATCTATACGGATATGGCAATGCAGAAGGAATTACAGGTATTGACATCCAAATTTCTTTTTCGTAGATCTGGTTCTTTTGTTGTGCATGGAAAATGTTGAAAAAAAAGTCCATCTAAATTAACAGAAAAAGGGTAGAAAACGCAAACTACGGGAAGATGAGATTGTCTGCCCAACGTCCAAACCTGTATTCAAGTGGCGGGCTGAGCGTAAGCGTTGAATAGGTAGGTGTTGATCAATGATTAGCTTCTTTTTGTGTCTAGGTCTGTTTGCGTATTTCTCAGCTTAGAAGTGTGTACTTCTTGGTGCTATGACAATACTAACAAGCAGTCTAGAGTCATTTTTGGGATTTTTCTGATTGACATAATCAGCCATAGTAACTAGAATTTCAATTCAAAATAATCCATTTCAATATCATTTATTAATTTTTCAAATTGTGAATCCAGTTGGAGTAGGATATTAAACTGATATCATCAGATAAGCACGGCAACTCTATCTACTCTCCCAGGCTTTGCTTAAGTGGAGTTTCAGCTCATTCAGCCCTTCAATACGTTCAATTTGGTAGACATAATTCTGGCTTTCCATAGTTTTTATTTTTATTTTTGTCAAAGGATACGGTATCGTAACTGGAAGACGTAGGACCAAACAATATATTTGGGTCTACATCATAGCCCATTTAGTTGCCATTTTCTCCCAAATTCAGTGTTTTTTGGTATTGAGTACAAGTGATTGGGGGAGGGAAGTTTACTCAAATATTCATTGGGTGTCAAGGGGTTTTGAACCTCGGTCCACACGACGGCAGCAATTCTTATAATTGGCACAACCTGAGTTTGATAGTGAAGTTTATTGTACTAATGTAATAGATGAAGCAATTATATTTCGTTTCTCAAAATAAATGAAGTTAAAGGTGAAGTCTGTGGATAAGGAATAAACAACATCAGATCAGGTATAGTTTTCTTACCCAAATAAAGGTCAACCGTAAAATGAAAACATTTTTTTAAGCATATATTGGGGGAAAAAAGATCTACCTCTTGCTCTTTGAACCTCTCACAATTTGCATAATGTCGTTTTGTTTCCTTCAATTCAATAGTTTAAAAGCAACAAATTCCCCATTTCTCCAACACAGGATGGAGGAGTGAGAGATCAGAAAACAATATGCAGCAGAAGAATCATCTGCTGCTCAAATATTGAAGCACTGTCATTAAGTATTTAAAACCCACAAAGAACACGTTCAAAAAATAAAGGCCCAAAAATAGAAAAAAGGAAGCAAAAGAAGTTCCCACAATCTCTAGAAGATGATTATGTTTACAAACACTACCACCTTCAACCCTAACTCTACCCCCATGAGCCTACTAGAGGTAACTAAATCTGAATCAAACACATTGACCCCATGACGATTGGCATTTTCTCTTCGAATTTAAGAGTCATCATCACCGCCCACGTTCTTGGATGAGGTCCCGACCTTCTTTGGGAGCAGAAGGTTATGAATGTTGGGCATGACACCACCATTAGCAATTGTAACATCACCAAGAAGCTTGCTGAGCTCCTCAACATTATATATATCCAACTCCTTTGTTCATATAATCTCCATGGCAGCTACACTACCCTCAATTCTCTCTCAAAAGCCTCTTCCTTAATTCCAATTTTCTTGTGTTTCTTACTTAAGTGCATGTAGCACCGCAGTGTTCCCTTTGGTTAGCATTCACGCTCTAGAGGATGTGCCACTCCCTTTTCCCTAGAGTGGCATTGAGTTGAAAGTTAACCAAAGAAGGGCTATTCCAGCCCAAACCCAAGCCCATTCTGACAGCACTCAAATTCGCTGTTTCCATTATTCACACAATTTTAGTGTTCGCAAGCTCATGATTTTTAACATTGTGAAATGTATATGGCATGTCAGTTTGATAGTCACACTCGCCTGGTGGTTGTAAATAAAAATAGTACGTAATTACGTACTTTATATAGGGTAGTACAACATGCAAGTAATTTTTTCAAATGATTCGTTTGTTGTGATGGAGAAATTTTTTATTTTTTATTTTAAAAAGGTTAGTTGTAATGGCTTCTCCCTCGGTAATGGTTCTATTGATACGATGACAAGAAATGTTGGAGGACACCAAAAATTATGTTGAATATAATGGAGTTACATAACTAGTAATAGGTGGACGATAGGAGGGAAAGCAAAATGTATGCACTAACAATTTTGTGATAGTGTAGTTTAGCTACCTGTCCTATGAGAGTTAGCCACGTGTTGTTTAGTGATAGACCAAGTCTGTAATATTGTTAGAACAATAGTTTGAGAGCTGTTAAGAGTTTGTTAATTCAGCTGGAAGTTGGTTAGGTTGATTCAGTACACAAAATCAGAAGTTTTTAATATTCTTCTTGCCTGTTTTCTCTCAAATTCATAACTGCTGTCATGGTATCTAGAGCCCGTAGGCTAAGGCCATAACTCAATCTTCTACCGCTGCTGCTCATTGTCTTCTACCTTCGTCATTTATCTGGTTCTAATTTCTGAAACCCTAACTCTCACTTTCTGAATTTTCTCCAATATTTTGAGAATTTCTTCGATTCTTCTTGAATTCTTGCTCTCCCTTCTCAAAATGGTAACTGCTTCTCAATTAGCTCTTCCTCAATCTCTGATTTTTTTTTCTCATTTCGACACTACTAGAAAAATGCTCTATAGGGAGCCTTTATTCGAGACTGACATAAAAATAGTCTCTATAGAATGCTATTAGAGACCGATAATAGAAACAGTCCCTATAAAATGTTATTGGAGACGGATTAATAATTTTCATGACTAATTATTTGAATAAAGTAGACAAGCAAGTCATCGCTCTTGAGTGTTGAAAACACGGTTACTGTAAAGCTTGATGATTCGAGCTATGTTACATGGAATTTTCAAATTGAATTGTTGGTTAATGGTATTTTGGGTTTTGTTGATGGATCGTTGCCATGTCCTCCTCAATTCACCGGTGATGACTCTCTTCAACCTGTATATGAGGCATATTAGATTTGGAAGATTCATGATCAAGCTCTCATGATCTTAATCACTGTTACTCTGTCTTCTTCTGCTATTCCTTGTGTGATTGGCAGTCAAACTTCTCGTGACATGTGGCTTCATCTCTTTGCATGTGTTACACGAACCAGTATCTTTCAGATGAAAACATATCTTCGAAACATTAAAAAAAGGACCTGAAACAATTTATCAGTATTTACAAAAGATTAGAACTTCTCGTGACCAACTTTCTATAGCTGGGGTTGATATTACAGATGATGATCCTATCATTCTTGCACTGAAAGGCTTACCATCTGAATGATAATAGTAGATAATTTAGAGAAGAATGAAGAAGAAAGCAGAGAGCAGAAAACTCCTAATTGTATATTGATTTTCTTGATTCGTGATTACAACGTAACAGTACAGCTTATATATTTAATAACAGGCTTAGAGACTAAGTAACCAAAGCTTTAACAAACTAACAGACTCTTCTAACAACTCTAACTAGAACATGTGCCATCCATGTGCTCTTCTAACAATCTCAAAAGCTGATCTGGACAATATGATTATCATTCTCCCTCAAACCCAGCTGCTAAGTTGCAAATTTCTGCAATGTCTCAGAAAAATAGGACCATGCAATCCCTTTATGAAGATGTCTGCTACTTGTTATTCAGTGGGAATATACTGCATAATCAAGTCTTTATTCTGTACTCTTTCTCTTACAAAATGAAAGTCAATATCTAAATGTTTGATCTGAGAATGATATACTGCATTGGAACTTAAAGTAAGGGCTGAAAGATTGTTACAATGTATTGTAGGAGGCTGTGGTAAGAATACCTTCAAATCAAGTAAAATTTAGGATCTCCAAGTTCCATGTTTTTTCCCACGCAGAATTTCTAATTTCTATGTTTTTTTTATCCAAACACGGGAATTGGTTCATGTCAATTTAGAAATTCTGACTTTTGTCAAAATCCCAAGTTTATTTCCCTCATCCAAACACACCGTACAATAGAAACTGGTAAAATAAAGTATTTCTAATGAACGCCCGACTAACTGATACTATAATACTGCACATACCCATCTTGAAAACACGTATTAGGGTTTTCTAACATGCAAAAGGCTAGAGAGAGAAACCTATTTCCTCTACACTGATGGCTGGCCTAGGGATCGCTCAAGACAAATATTTTGATATTGTGGAAGACTAATTATCAAGGTATGTATGTAATTTAAGTCTAATTGAATTTTCGCCTAATGCTATTGTGAAAATCATGACGTTCAAGATCTTGGATCATGTATTGGGTCTTATAGTTTTACCCAATATAAGTTTACACCGAGGTCATAAGTTTGATTCCCCCATTTCCATCACTGTATAAAAAAGTATTTAAAAAAGTATTACCACACAGGGTCATATTATGTATTTATCAATGATCTCCAAGGACTTAATATACTTCACAAGTTTGATGCTTCTCACTTGGGAATTGAAACCATGGGAGTTAAGTGTCCTCCTTTAACTTCTAGCCATCTTCCAAGATGTCCAAGTATATCACTTTTATTTGTGACATTTTCTGTGCATGGTTACTAATGCATATCCAAAACCAAGGAAGCAAATATCCCAAAGACACACTCGTGGCTGCCTCTCTGAATGCTATTAAGATACTTAAACATCAGAAAATGCAGATGAATAAAGATCACACACATCACACTAACAGCCAGCTGCATGCAAACCTGTCTCATGCTTCTTTTCTTTTTCTTTTTACATACAAGCCTACTGTAATATGCTGGATAGTACAACACCTAATGACAGCAGACCACCGCCACGACACTCAAACAAGATTGGTGATCAAACAAGCTCAAGCTCACAAGAGCACAAGACTTCCTAGTTATGAAACCAGAGCACACCTAATGTTCTTCTCAATTAAAGCCCTTTCATGTCCGGCATTCTTTTGAATAACTCAAGCTCAACCTTGAGCGCATTTGATCATCATTCTGCTCAGAAAGAGCGCATTTCTTGAGGATGCATAGTCGTGATTCATTTTCGTTCAGAACTCTTCATGTTGTCCATGGCGAAACACATCAAAGGAACAAACTAGCCATAAAGTAGTCAACTCATATGCTTTATCAGTGTAAAGAGATCACCAAGCTACTTCTTTGGATAGCAGATAACGGAAAGTAAAGTTGTGAGGAATCCACTCAATTCCTTTCCAGGTTCTTTTGTGTTGAAACGGTTGATTGCTTTTTCTTTGAAAATCAGGCATAAAATGCTCAATCATCTCCATCAAATCAGCTGAGCACAATCCTGTATCCTTTGCAAATGACTCCACAATCTTTGGAAGAAGGATTTTCTGTTCCTTGTGCACAAGGAAGGTCGATTGGATGTACTCGTGTTTTGCAGTTTCCAGCTCCTCAAACACTCTCTTGGATGTGTATACACGAACCTGAACAGTAACAGTAAATGAGTTAGATCCTGGAGAACTACTGAAAACCTATAACTGACATGTTCTACTAGTTCAAAGAACATGTTACTCAAACTAATAGCAAAACTTTGATATGATTCTGTAATTCATTTAGTCACATGGAAATTTGTATCATGGCTGCAAACCTAATCTTATGCAGTATAAAATTATTTAGAGAAGCTTCAGTGAGTCAGACTTATGGCCAGAGCCCCAGGCTATTAGTGAGCATGATTTGCAAATCATGATCTTCAAAGAAGGTTGCATTTAAAAATTAAGTCAAAATTGTCATTTAATTAAGATTCTCGTCATGTTGGTACATTTCAGCTTGTCGGGATTTTGATTCGTGAGTGAAATTTTGCCAGAAAAAACAATTATATACTCTGGTTAACCCTCTATAACATTGTTTTGTATCTAGCAGAAGCTTATGCTTTAGTAAAGGGACATCATGTACAAACAACAGATACGGTAAGGGCATAGGTGTGTACCGCAGGATCAGAATGACTTCCTGAACAGAGTGCAAAATGCAAAAGAGGTTCAGGATGCTCAATTGCATATGCTTTCCGTGCATCTCCAACCTTGAATTTTGTTTTCATGGAAAACAACAGCCGCAGCCACTGTAGGGAAATAAAGCTCATTGCTCAGTAAGTATTAATGAGTAGATTCTTCAAAATCATAAATTAGTAGAAAACATGTACTGACAAATTAACTTTTCTATAGTGTACCAGAAGGTAAATGGGTCGTAATATGAACTAGTTGTTACAGAAAGAGAGATTACTTGTCCAGGACGAGGCAATCTGCATCCGAGAATGGATCTTTGCATCATGTCTACGCTAATGGCGTGACCTCCCACATTATAAGTAGCCTGAAGAATGCAGAAGCTTGTAATGAAAATTGTGCACCATGCTTATTACAAAAATTGTAAAAAAACAATTATGATTACCTTGAGTAGCAGTGAAACTCTTTTTAGATTATTCTGTGGAATGCCATAGACCAAAAATGCCTGAAGACAACAGATAAGATAAATTGGAAATGCTCAAAGACTAAAAGAAAAACCGCAAAAGAAAAATAAGAATATCAAGCCATCAGGTTTTGTACTCTTTCTTGGCTGTAGAATCATACATGCATCACGAGTGCATTATGCACATTAATCCAAAAAGCCAACTTCTCCTCATGCTTCATCGATCTGAGATCAACTTCTTCCAATCGAAAGATAGTGACCTACAATAAGAAAGTTTTTAAGTTTTACAAATTTAGAAGAACATATTTATGAGGCCTAAAGTAATTTTCACTATCAAAATTCATGCATGTTCGAGCAGAAACCCTTCTCCAATTACCTTTAGCAAAAGGTTATCCATGGTGGAGGTCAAACTAAAAGCAATTATTCAAAACCATGCACAAAAATGAATTGCCATTTAATGTGGCATGTACAACTTCATCACAAATCTCACAACAGAGGCACCAAAGTTGAAATTCCATCTCCCAAAAGCTTTTACTGCACTCCTAGATAATATATATGAACTAAAGATAGACATCTAACCGCAGTGGACTTTGTAATGTCATTCTGTTACTGAGGACAGCATTGGTTACGAGTTCTTTTTCTGGATATGTTGATCTCTCAGTCACCAGATACAGCAGACAGGAAAGCAAATTTATAACATATTGACAAATAGCATGATGCAAAATAATTAAGGATTCGGCATCTTTATCTCAGAATTGACATACCTAAATTTCTTTAGTGCATGTTCAACATCTCCTAACTTCTCAGCGTCCCTACAGATCAAATGTACCTTTAGCATTCTGCAATAAGGTCCACTCATTTCATCTGGCCCTTCAATGTGGAAAGGCTTATCGAAATGTGAATTGAAAAATGGAACTTTTGTGCGTTTTGAGCTCCACTTTTCACCTTGACTGTGAGAAGATAAGTTATACGTTGATGATGATGTGATAGGAGAGCTAGAGTAATCATGACTGATAACAGGTGGATCTGCAAGTTCACAAAATATGGTTGCAATGCACTTAATCATCTCCTCCGAAATGCAGTTTGGTGTGTCTGGAACTTGATCAGAGAAATAGGTTTCAAGCTGTTCTGTCGGATATACATTTGTAGTTGCACTCTGAGCTTGCTGCAGAGGCAACATATAAACCACACATTAGAGAAACACAAAATTTCCAAAGCAACTATAATATTAATAAGAGGAACACTTAAGAGACAAACAAAATGAAATAAATAACTGCTGTTTGGTAGATTTTCTCTTATTCAGTTACCTCTAGCATCGAGAAAGGTAAGGAGTGGTATGAATCTACAGCTTTAGCTCGAGATTTTGTTCGAGGAGAAGTTCTAGTTGAACAAGTTGAACGCTGAGACAGTGATGAGCAGGTACGATGAATGCTTGAATCTAACAGTTTTTGTTGTTCTACTATGTCATTGCATTCCTTTAGTGGTTTGACAATCGAATTCCGAGGTGACATAAGATCATCAGAGTAGGTGACTGTATTGCTATTTTCTGGGTGTAACATCTTGTCCAGGAGCCACACTCAATTCAGATGATATTTGTTGATCAAAGGTTTTCCGATACAGGGAAAGAAGATAGCGCTCCAAATACACAACTTCTAGTTCCAACACAGCTATTTCCTTAATGACTTCCTTGGTAGACTGGAGTCAAGGAAAAGGAATATAAGATCTTGGAAAATGGAAAAACAATTAAGCTAATGATGTGTGAAGAAAAGAAGCATTGAACTACACTGAAAGTTCCAAACCAATAGTGTCTGAGATCAATTATTTAAAAAATGGCACTCAAATTGTTTCTTTATCTTAATTTCTTGAAGATTTTCCTAGATGTCAGTTTAATGTACCTTTCAGCTTTACATTTCCATATCCTTTAAATAAAAGAAATAGAACTAATATGATAGTGGAATCACCTACAAAGGAGTGAAAACAGAGGAAACACATCTGAACTGATAAATTGCACCTAAAGTACATAACAGACTACCTTTGGTAGAGAGGTTTCAATTGTAGAATCCGGTGATAATGGACGATAACTTAACGCCTTCTGTAAAGCATGCCGTACCAAAAATTGGTCCTCCAGTTGTTTTTGAAGCTGTAGAATCTACAAAAGGAAGAAATTGTAAATCATCGGATGCATTGGTTCGAAGAACATCTGATTTGGATAAGCTTAATTAACTAGTCCAGCAATAACTACTTGGATAAGCTGAGATTTGTACCTCCTGATTTAAAGAACTTTGAACATCGGAATCTGTAGATTGCCTCTTCATCATAGCTTCAACATAGCAGTTCAGTCTTCCCATTTCCTTCTACGAAACAAAACAAAGGCTACTTAAATAAAATTGGTCAAACAGTTGGACTGTACTGGACCAGAGCAATGAACAGGAATGCATGTGATTCCCAGAAATAAGAGAGCTTAAAATTGACCTATATATCTGACATTCTGACCTACTGGGCTAGTCTAGTAAACTTTTCTAGATCATAGCAATTATGCACAGAACAACTCTTACCATTTTAAGACTGTATGGAGCTTCGAGGATGCTATTCAGTTTATCTTTCTCAAATTTTCTGTTTACTGGTTCACTGTCAGTAAAGGAGAACAAAACTTGTTAAAATCTGAAATGAAGCATATACCTCATAGAGTTTTCTGTATTGCAAAGGTGGTCAGTTCCTCACTCCTGGCTGGCAAACCCAGTTCAGCTGTTAAGACTAGTTAAATGGGTAATTGATAAAATTATCTAATAACTCATTGAATCTTCTGCCATTGAAAAATCAAATTAGAAGATTTCAGAAATAAAATACACCTGCCCTGTGTAGATCCAGTAAATGCATTAAATTATTTTTTCTGATTCTCAAAAATCATTTTGTAGTTCAAGCTAAGCATCATTAGGGTTACAGAAGAAGCAAATGGAAAATTGAATGTGGAATTTTTATATATATAATAAAGGGTATAAAATGAAGATCACAAAGCTACCTGTTGGAACGCTTGTGCTTTGAAATTCCCTCCATGAACTTGAATGGCATCAAACTATTACCCTGCCACTTGACTTCATGCATAATAAGATCAAAACTTGGCTTTGTCCACTTCCAAAACTCACTGAAACAACATTAATTGCAGAATGAACCGCCCTTCAGAAATGGACAAGTGCCTGAACAGAACAAAACACCCAGCATGAAAGAAACATCCAAAAAAACCCATTAAATGCAAACAGCACAAAAATCTGATTGAAGGAAATTGAAAGCACACCGAGCTATAGACTGAGACCACTCACAGAAATTAGCCTTATTCGAAAGCTGAACCAAAAACTAGTTTCAGGGATGACCAAAGATATGCCTCTAGCTATATTTATTTCATATCCCAGAAAATCTTATTTATTGGCTTTTTGCTATGAATTTGAACTATAAATAGTTCTGCAAGGATAAGTGTGAAGTATCTGTGCTATTATATATACAACTATAGAAGATAGTGCTCTAAAGGGTCACTAGCTAGTCTATTGTCTTAGAAAGCTATGTCACCTTTCAAGGGCTTTGGCAATGGTGAGCTTTTTGCAGTGCATTAAAAGAAGTAAATCTGTGGCTTTTGATTTAAGATAATATTGATTTCCAAAAAAGTTCAACAACTTCACCATTTGAAAAAGAACAAAAGGATAAAGAAATTGACAGTTGCTCTAGAATCTGTATATACATAGAAATGTAAATCAGAAAGTAACGGCTCCTCCTTTGGTTTTTTTTTTTTTTTTTTTTGCGATTGTTGAGTTGTATTAAGAAATTTAGCATGCGCTTATAAAGAGTTGGGCTACTCCCTATTATCAATTAATTTTGAGTGAAACTTTAACTTCCTTCAACGACGTCAATATATCGATGAATCAAATATACAACTACAAAGATAACTATTTTTAACCATTTGACCTTACAAGAGTAGTTCAATTTGACTGTCTAGGAACAGAAAATCTTATGCCAACTGTGAAAAGTTATCGCTAAACTGAAAGAGAGTTAGAAAACTACATGAAAACGACTAGAGCCAAAATTTGGTGGGATACTGCTGCTCTATGTCAGTTGGAGGCACGTGTACTTGAAAAGATTAACCAATTTCTTTGACTGGACATACTGGTGCCTAGAAATTGCAACCATGTGACCTTGAGGTTTTGTGAAGATTAGATTACAACCAAAAATTGACTAGGCCATCCAAAGTCTCCATAAAACCTGTAACTCCATGCTCCATGTATAGAACTTATATTATAACTCCAGTTAGTTATTGGGCACTTGCGTTTGTTCATGATAAAAGTTTGACTCTCGTTCTCGTGATCGATACTCCAGAATTTAGGCCTTCTTTACACACAACAAAATAAATTCAAGTATACATGTCTTGATACAATGACATGAACATTCGTTATAAGCTTAAAGCTGTGCAAAAAGTCTTGAAATGCAGACGTCAGACAGGTACAAATAAGCATTTGTTAAAGCTGTGCCCCATACAAAACGTGAGCTGTCCAGCCAAATTGAAGAGGTCAGAGAGACTCATAGTATACATGGTTGGTTGGTCCATAAAAGCTTAAGCTAAAAGGGGGCAGCAGCACTTAGAAAAACAAAACCAAAAGCAGGAAACCTCAAAAGGGCTGAAAGGTGAAGGTCAAAGCTAAAACAATTTGTATGATTGACATGAAATGACTGGTTATTTTCGTGGGCTTTCCATTGTCTAATTCCTTGGAGGAATTACTGTACAACCATTTGTCCAGTCAAAGGCTTTGCATGCTGCTAAAAGCTTCGTGCCTTTCTTTTCATTTTTTTGGGAAGGGTGCTAGGGTAAAAATGGAGAAGAAAATAAAATATGACAAATTAATTAACAATGCCGATTTGATCAAAAAAATTAATTAACAATGCCTAAGTTTTGGCTTTTAATAATTGCCCTGAGCCTAAATTGAAGTTGGGGTGGAATGAAATCCAATGAAAAATATATTGCATTTGGATCTAAATTCAAGGCTCTTGTCAAACAAATTTATTAAAATAAGAAGTGATATATGTTTATTAGCTATTAGAGAAACTTAGAGCTATAACCAAGACGTCCAACCAAAAAGATAATAATAACAAAATTTGTATGGGAAAGCGGTCTTTGAGACGTTAATCTCATTTGAGAATTTGGTAAAAGGGGATTTAGGGGATTGAGCACATTGTCATTGTGTCTCTAGTTCTACATGTTCAAAAAGTGCTCCATCAATTTACATTATTTTATTTTAGTCTCTTTACGTCAACATATTTAATGTAGAGAATCATAATGGTATCTTCACCATGAGTTTTGTCTTGTTAATATTAGTCGTTCACGTGCACGTAGTTAGACCTGAATACAGATCAATAATTGAGAGAGAGAGAGAGAGAGAGAGAGAGAGAGAGAGAGAGAGAGAGAGAGAGAGAGAGAGCAACTTCCTACGAAAACTCCCATCAATTTGTCATATGAATGTAACCCACAAATTTTATTCATAAGACTCACCTGCGCCATGTAGGTACTTTAATGCTAGAAATAGGACCTAAAATGTAGTCCAACCTTGTAATCTAATTCAAGAAGTTTCTAATACGTGAAGACCTAGAAATTAAACTATACTTTAATCATTGTATTAAGATCCAAACAAATTAGAAGTCTCACAACGATGCTTGGATTTCATATAACAATGAGGAAGCAAATTGTTAAATAAAACAAACAAACATTTTCAATCTTGAGCAAACCAAAGAGCCATTACCAAAGAAACTGACAGACATGCTTACATTTCTCTTAAAATTAAAGCTTCGGATTCCGTTTATCACATTGTTTAATTGGAAGCTAAACAAAAATTCTACAAAAACCAAAGTCATATTGAAATTAGTGCAATAAAAAGCTAAAATTTTGAAAGAAGCATTTGTCTTATGTAGTCGTGAACTTGAATAAAATATTTGTTGCCTTTCTTTAAGATTTAGAAGGTCAAACAACAGAAAACTATAGAAAGTTGCTTCAATTTTTAATACTTGATAGATAATTTATTTTACGTTCAAAAGCAAAAACCATATTGATGCTTGTTTGTTACCAATAAATTTTTGTACAAAACAATAATACTAGTGAAAGCAAACCTTTTGTCCTTACAATTTAGCTGTGTAAAACATAACAACAAAAACTAGTTTTTTTAGTTTAGAGTATTATAAGTTTGGGGTTTTTGACCGAAATGGTCACCCAATTATTGCTCGAATTTCATTTCGGTCTATGAACTAAAATTTTCATTTCAATAGTCCTCCAATTCTCCATTTAGTATGAAAACGGTCCTATTATCAAAGTGTATCAATTATTCCATGAAATGAATAGGCAAAACTGCCCCATCTCCATCACCCCCCACCTTTCTATTCTCTATGATTCCTTTGCTCTCATTTAAAATAAAATAAAAAGTTTTATGGTGGGAATGGGATTTGGTTGTTGGGGGTGGGGGTCTTTGTCCCCTCTTTCTTCGTCTTCTTGGAGTTAGTCGTGGAAGATTAATCCTAGTAATCCTAGCAATCCCAGTAATCTGAAGCTTTGGGGTACCCAAGCCTAGAAGAGAGATTTTGTATGAGGCAGGGCCATTTAAAACTATAATGGATATCAAAATCAATTATGTGGATCCTTGTTGCTTTCTCAGCTACATTCATTACTGTCTCATTTGAGAAGAAATTTGATAGCTTCTTAAATGCACATGTGGCAAGATAAAGATGATTAGCCTTATCTCATTTTCAAAATCAAGATTTGTAACTATGTGGGGTGGCCCGGGGTGGGAATAGAGAGCAGAGAGAAGAGAGAGGGAAAGAGAGACAGTTTTGCCCCTCGATTTCACAGAACAATTGACAGACTTTGACGATAGGATCATTTTGATACTAAATGAAGAGTTGGAGGAATATTGAAATGAAAAATTTAGTTAGTGGACCAAAATGAAATTCGAGCAATAATTCGACCAAAATGAAAGTTTTCCACAGGGATTAAAATTACTTTTCTTTGCCTTTAGGGACATCAAATCGTTCGTATTGTTCTGGTGCCTTCATGGTGCTCTCTCTCTCTCTCTCTCTCTCTCTCTCTCTCTCTCTCTAAATGATTGATTGATTTAATTAAACTATAAAATAAACAAAAACTCAAGAACCAAAACAAACAAAGCACGTGAAAATTAAAGGGGTTGAAAATCAATTTGTAAAAGTAGTAGGATACCGAATCCACCTCTAATAATTAATCCAATCTAGGCTCTTATTTACCTATCCGTTATTTAATCCAATTGATGTTGTTGATTAGTTTGCCTTTTGCATGAACTACCTTTTGTAATTAGACTAACTCGTATATTTATGCAATTTGTCTATGGTATTTAGTACAAATATGAACACATAAAAACTCTTTAAGCTTTGTGAAAACCTTTGATAGCCATGTAAACTATAGGAATATGGTATTTACCCTAGATGAATACAATTCTTAACCACAAGAAGCAATAATGTATCAATCAAAAGATAGACAAATAAAAAAACTAGATAATCATATTAGGGTTTCCTCATGCCTTAGAAAAAGTATTTAGTTTCACATAGTCATAATAAAACATCCTAAGTCATGACAAAAGATAGAACCTCAAGAACAATGGGAATTGTAGCTCTATCTCTTAACTTTCTAGGGATATATCATACGTCACTTGGAAAAATTGGGAAAGTCTCCAAATCTTCAATCTTCCATAGTAGCGCAACTCTGACGGGAGTTACAACGTAGGCTATTTTGATTGAAAATTTTGGAACAATTGGTTTCACGGAAAATTTTGAAAAATTCACATAATAATCTTCTATACATAGTAGATAGTACATATACATGGACATGGAAATATAAATCAGAAAATAAAACAACACCTCTTTTTTTTTGCCACAAGCGTTGTTGAAAGTATTGTCACATATTTAAAAGTTAAGGGTGACCTAGTGTGAGCTTATAAGAGCAGTTCCAGCCATGCAGCCCAGCCCGAGGGGAGGGGGGAAAAAAACAAAAAACTGGTTCCAGCGGGGAAGCCCAGGCGGGGGGGGGGGGGGTGGGGCCCACCTACCCGGGCTGGCCCGAAGGCAACTTTCGCCCCAGGTCCAAAACGCGGGCGGGGGTGACGTCACGACGACGTCAGGCTGACGTCGTCACGCGGTTTTCAATTTTTTTTACCGTTGGCGCGCGCGCCAACGTTAAAAAAATTTGAACCCACGTGCGCTGACGTCAGCCACAACGGGTGGAAGCCACGTGGCACTCCCCCAGCGCTCCGATTTGATTCCAAATGTTAATCCAACGGCTGGCGATTTTTGGACAATAAAATTATGAAAAAAAATCGAAATTTTTTTTAAAAAAATACTAAAAAATCCTAAAAAATTCTGATTTTTTTTCCTATAAATACCTATAAATACCCTTCACTTTCAACACCAATTCTCATACATTTTATTCTACTTCTACAATTACTCAACATTTTTTTCACTCTTCACTCAACATTTTCTTCACTCTTCACTCAACATTTTCATCTCTTTCACCTTGTAATTTTAGTTTTTATTTTTATGGCTTCTTCTATTGAAACCGGAGGGGCGTGGAGCACCATGGAAGATGTTTCTTTGTGTGAGGCTTGGCTCCGAGTTTGTCATTGTCCCTTGTCAGGCAATGAGATGAAATTTTTCCATATGTGGAAAAAAATTCATGCCGAATTTTGCGAAAAAATTCCGGACTCGCCTCGTACGGAAATGGCATTGTCGAGTAGGTGGAAACTTCTCAACAAAGAGATGGCAAAATGGAGAGATGCCTTGGCAAAAGCGATGAACTTGTATAGAAGTGGGGAAAATCGTACTAACGAGGTAAGTATTTTGTAATTTTCGTTTTATTAAGTTTAATGTCCTAATATATATATGTTGTTAATATTTATTGCATTTTCAATATTTTGTTAATATTTCTTGCATTTTCAATATGTTGTTAATATTTCTTGCATTTCCAATTGTTTCTTCATATTTCTTGCATTTTCAATATGTTGTTAATATTTATTGCATTTCCAATTGTTTCTTCATATTTCTTGCACTTCCAATTTATTTGTAAGGTTAATTGCATTTCCATTATTTTTATTTGTTACTTGCATATCCAATATATTTTAAATATTTATTGCATTGCCATTTTTTTGTTAAATAGCTCATTCAAGCACAGATGTGGTTCGGTGCAACCGGGGGTGGCAAAAAAAGGTTCACCCATCATGAATGTTGGGAGGTGGTGAAATATTGTAAACGGTTCACAATTATTCCGACGGGTCCCGATGTTGTGTTAAACGAGACGCCTCTCCGTGATTCAACGACATCGGATTCACCTCTCGATTCCCCTATGAGTGAACCCATTGGCCGAAAGGCTGCGAAGGCAAAGAAAGCGGGTAATTCAAGCAATTTTAATTCAAAGTTTTTGGAGGAAATTGCAAGGCAAAACTCCATAAGACTTGAAATGGAGCAGAAACGCCAAGATATGGAGGTGGCAATTCAAGCCGAACAATCACGAGAAAAGGAGTATTTGCGCAAAAAAGATCAGCAGAAGACGGATCGGGAAACCATGGCAATGGATACAAGTCATATGTCCCCCGAAACAAAACAATATTGGAAGCTAGAACGGAGGGATGTTATGAGAAGAAGACTTTTCCAAGATGATGGGCCTAGCAACACCGATTGGTTAAATGATCAAAACCATTAAATTAGTTGGCATACCTTTTATGTATTTTTATTTTTCATGTTTTGTATTAAAGTTGGTGTACTTCATGTTTCATGTTTTATTTTAGTAGTAGTAATTCTTAATGACTTGTATTGGATTTCTTTATTTAATAAACAAATCATTCAATAAAAGACCATTTTATTCAACATATTCCATACATCAAACATAACATAATTAAAATGAAAACAAAAACTACAAACAAGGCACAATAATAAATAAAAACAACACAACAAAACAACACAACAAAACCATAAGCAATAGTAAACAACACAACCAAACCATAAGTAAATAAAACATAACCAAAGCATCTATGCTCCATCATTCATCTTCATTCCCTTTCACCGCCCATATATGCTCTATCAAGTCAAGTTGACGGCTTTCATGAATATACGAAGATTGCATCTCTGTATATCGATCTATCATCCGGGTCATCATACGATCGTCCCTCACCAACGGTTCCGGCTCCAACGGTTCTCCATTTGGCCCCATGGGCATTTCATAAATCCGGGTCATCGCCGTGTTTATTGGATCCGGCTCATAGACCTCTCCAGCATCATAATCGTACTCATCCTCCACAATCATATTATGGAGGATGATGCAAGTCATCATAATGCTTCGGAGGACCTCCTGATCAAACATACGGGCCGCACCTCGAACAATCAACCATCGAGCTTGAAGGATGCCAAAACACCTTTCGACATCTTTCCTGTATCCTTCTTGATAGGTAGCAAATAATTTTTGCTTATGGGATCGGGGATTCGGAATGGATTTGACAAATGTGGTCCACCTTGGGTAGATACCGTCAGCTAGATAATACCCCGTCTGGTAGACTGTATTGTTGACTTGATAGGTAATATTGGGGCCTTGGCCGCTCAAAACTTCGTTGAAGACCGGAGATTGACCCAGGACATTGAGGTCATTTTGGGCTCCGGAAACTCCGAAGAAAGCATGCCAAACCCATGTGTCGAACCCAGCAACGGCTTCCAGGATGATACTTTTTGTGCCTTTTCTATTTCCGTAATCACCTTGCCAGGCAGTTGGGCAATTCTTCCATTGCCAATGCATGCAGTCGATGCTACCAATCATTCCTGGAAATCCTCGAGCTTCGGCTTTTTGTAGAAGCCGTTGGAGGTCCCTGGGAGTAGGTCTACGCAGGTAGTCCCTAGTGTACAGGTTTTCAACTGCATCACAAAATCTTACCAAAGCCTCCAACGTAGTGGACTTCCCCATTCGGGCAACCTCATCCACCTGATCAGCAGATGCTCCATACGCCAACATTCGTATAACAGCTGTAAGCTTTTGCTCCGGAAGAAGGCCCAAAACCCCAGTAGCATCACACTTTTGAACAAAGTATGCATCATAATTGCAAATATCATGCATGACTTTATTGAACAAATGAGGTTGCATTCTAAATCGCCTTCGAAAATCAACATCAGAGTACAAAGCAGTTGGGATAAAATAATCTTCCAAAAGATTCTTACCCCGAGAATGCCTATGTCTGTCCACATTCCGGCGACGGCCGACTTGTGAACCACGGCGGCGACCTTGGTTCTCTTCCTCTTCCATTGCCACTGCTATGAGAACTTGCTCATCGACTTGCCTCTGCAACTCATTCATTTCATCGGCTCTACGGTTTCTCTCCTTTCTTTCTCTCTCGTGCCTCTCCAAGCATCTCCTATATTCTTCCATTGAGAATGAATGAAGTATGAATTCTAAACTCTAAGAAATGAAAATATTGAAAGATGTGGTGTGAGAGGTATGATGTGAGCCTCTGGTTTTATAGAAAAATTTGGCAAGATAGAAATGCCACGTGGCTTGATTTGATTGGATGAAAATCTTATCTGAAATTTGAAATTCATCCGAAATTTGAACCCAAATTTATCTGAAATTTGAATTTTGAAATTCATCCGAAATTTGAACCCAAATTCATCTGAATTTTGAATTTTGAAATTCATCCGAAATTTGAATTTTGAAATTAATTCGAAATTTGAACCCAAAAATTTATCTGAAATTTGAATTTTGAAATTCATCCGAAATTTGAACCCAAAAATCTTATCCCGAAATTTTATCCGATTATGAATAGTGTTGACACGTAGGAACCCGTAAATCTTATCCGAAAATATTATCCAAATTAATTATTGAGGTAAAAAAAATTGTGAATAAAACAAAAAATGAATAGTAACTGCCCTTAGCTAGGGCAATGGGTGGAAACACAAAATTCTGATTTTGCAAGGGCAACCACTATTCACGTGAATAGTGGCTGCCCTAGCTCCCCCCCTTGCCATGGCTAAGGGCAAATGGGTGGAGTTGCTCTAAGAGTTGATTGACTCCTCTTATTGTCAATTAATTTTGAAATAGAACCTTCACTTTTTTCAGTTATATCAAAATATTGATAAATCAAATATATAAGTACAAAGATAAATATTCTTAACCGTTTCACCTCCTAAGATTAATTCAATTTGACTGTTTAGGAACAAAAAATCTTCTGCATGCCAACTGTGAAAAGTACTCACTAAAACCAAAAAGAAAGAAAGAAAAAAGTTAGAAACTTTAATATGAAAAGGATTGGAGACAAAACTTGGTGGGATATACCATGTGAGTTGAATGCACGTGTTAACTCAATTTGAAAAGATTAACCAATTGCTTTGACGGGACATACTGGTGCCTAGAAATTGCATCCGACTTTGAGGTTTTGGGAAAATTAGATTACAACCAAAAGTTCACTAGGACATCCAAAGTCTCCATAACTTCATAGAAGTTATAACTCACGCACGGTAAGAATTTGACTCTCGTCCTCGCGTGATCTCGTTCATTATCAAGCCTTCTTTATGAACAATAAAATAAATTCAAGTATACAAGTCTTGATACAAAGACAGAACATTTGTTATAAGCTTAAAGTTAAAGCTGTGCAAAAAGTCTTGAAATGCAGACATCAGACGAGTACAAATAAACATATATATAGTTATTAGGTTAAAGTTGTGCCCCATACAAAACGTGAGCTGTCAAATTGAAGAGGTCAAAGAGAATCAAAGCAGATATGGTTGATCGACAAGAGCGAAACTAAAAGGGGGCAGTAGCACTTAGAAAAACACTTCAGGAGACATCACATCATTAAAATTCACACAAGTACTTTGATTCCATGTTTACAAAAGGCAATAATCGATATCAGTACAAATTTGCATGGCAACAAACAACAATTATCTGACATCTCTTGTCAAAATATGCCTCCTTACAATTCCTTGAATGCCTATTAGTACTCCACTGAATGCTTTGCCACCTCAGCCTGCAAACAGGAATTTAAAGATGTAAGAACGCTCATCATAACATAAGTATTCCTAAGTCAAGTCGCAACACATTTGCCTTACAAATTGAAACACATAATTTCTTGTCAATCGTTTGTATTTTCAAAATATTTCAAAAGAAAACCCACACTTCATAACACTCCTCACATTTACACCTCAGTTTGTGTTCAAATGTTTTAAAACTTTTGTAGAACACAATAGCATTTCTATGATCTTGTACCCTCAGATTTTGATATCAAACACCATCCCTCAGACCTATGATGTTTAGAAATACTACTTTGATATTATCAAGTTATTTAAAACAAACTATTATTTGAGCTGAAATTTTCACTATTTATTACAAGAGGGTCACAGTAGCACAATATTAAAAGTATTAAAATGCTTTAAATGAAAGTAAAGGTCATGTTGCAATCTGGAAAGCATTCCCAACACCTTAATTTACTTGGACTAACACTGAGTGAGAGACTTACTAAAGCAAGGGTTAAGAAGAAGAAGCATCAAACAGCATTACCTCAAAACAACTCTTCAAATGGTCAAGTTCCTTGTCAAGATCATTAATAGCCTGGTTATATGCCTGCATTGGTGAAGACTGGCTGGTGGTGTGAATCTACAAAAAGACCAATGTACCACCAAAACACAAGTTAAGCTAAAAACGACAATATCATAAGAGTACTTGTGCTTCTAACTTAAGGGTTTGCTCTTCGCTCTAGGTCATTTGAAAAATAGAACAGAAAATTAAATTTGGAGAACTAACCCGGACAATAATCTTGTACTGAAGGGGGTGAGGAAGCTTGTAACCGGCAAATAGAACACTCTCATCCCTGTGCAACTGCCTGATTGTCACAATATTTCAATCAATTATGCTTTAATTAGAATTATACAAGCAATCTCGGAATGAAAAAAAGTTATGACAGAACATAAAACTTGAATTAAAAAAGAATGACATGCATACATGCGGAGGATGTTTCCAATGGTGTGGTCCTCTCTCTCAATTGTAAAGGATGCTGCGTTTATGATCTTTGTGTCCCTCTCATATGACACCCTGCAAAAGAGTAAACAAAATCAGGCTTAGGCTTTACACCTTAGAGAGGAGCAGAAAGTCTTCCCACATGGATTAAAATTACTTTTTGGTGCCTTCAGGGACAACAAATCTTTCGTATCGATCTGGGGCATTCATGGTGCTGGTTTCCTTATCTCTCTCTCACGGACTGAGGGAAATGCTTCTTCTCTTTTGTGGGGCGTAAATGACTGAATACAGTACCCCAGCAATGTAAACCCTCTTTCGTGGGGATCTGAAAGTGGATACCAAACAAGAGTTAGTTGAGATAGTTGTATACGGTATAGACACCACACGACATTACAGTGTTCTATATAACAAAGTGGGGGAAACATTATAGTCTGATAGTGAAAAAAAAAATTATATACAAAGGAAAGGACCAACACAGAAATCAACATACAAAAGACAAAAGCCAGATGCAAAAAAGTGATAATCGCCCAGAAGCGAAATTTCTGCACACCCAGACCAAGGGCTTGGCAGAATATAATGTATCAAGTATTACAGATTTGCTTATAACCAGAAAGCCCCAATCAAATTCAGTTAAAAATCAGAAATTTGTTGAAATTACGCAGGAAAACCCACAGCTTGACTCGCAGACATCACAGAGAGAGAGAGAGAGAGAGAGAGAGAGAGAGAGAGAGAGAGAGAGAGTTCACTTATGACCAGAAAGCCCCAATCAAATTCAGTTAAAAATCGGAAATTTGTTGAAATTATGCAGGAAAACCCACAGCTTGACTCACAGAAATCAGAGAGAGAGAGAGAGAGAGAGAGAGAGCACTTACGGGGACAATGGCGTATACGGACTTGTCCTGTGCTTGCGACGGTGACCAGTGACGAAGAAGACGGATAGACGGAGCGTGGGAGAGAGATATAATCTATATTAAGGTGGGTACGGTTTGGTTTGGTCCGGTTTTCATCTAAAATTGGAATTAGAATCAGTACTATTTAATTGGTCTAGTTGGTTCGGTTTAAGCAAATTTTTTTTAAAAACTGGCTGGTTTGGTTATGTTTCGATTTTGAACAGGATTATTAATTTATTATTAATTTTTAATTTATTAAAAAAAATACTTTTTTTGACTTAAAAATTAACAAATGACCCAATTCATACAATGAGACATTTTTTGAAGTTGAATTTGGAAAAATATTAATTACAAAATTTAAAATATAGCATTGGATTTTAAAATTTTGTATTAAAATAAAATAAAATAATGCAACCGATCCGGTTTGGTGCAGTGTAAAATCGGAATCGAAACCGGTTCGGTCCAATTTGTTGACTTTTTTGGTCAACTAGTTTTTTTCTTGATTTTTTTCACCGGTCAGGTTCGGTGTTCCGATTTTCCGGTCTCGATGTCCACCCATAATCTAAATATATAAAGCAAAAGTAGAGAATAGTGAAACATTCAAAATACCAGAAAATAACATTAAGAATTAAAATTATTAATTAAATAAGGATGATATGGTAAATTCACATTTTTTTCATATTAAAAACAAATCAGATAATAGGTTCTACTTTTATGAAACATAACTACCTATGTTATCTTTTCTTAATTCTAAGAATAAAACCAATTAGCACATACGTAAGCATGTATCAAGGGACTAGTAGGTTTATATATATTCTTGTTCAATATAAAAAAGGCAGAAAGATGTGTCTGTTAATTTAAATAAAATAGAAAATAAATTTAAATTATAATATAATTAAATAAATAAGAAATAAGGACTCGCTAACAAATTTGTGCCTTGAGGTATCATTGCAGTCTGATTGCCCTCATCTTGTATCACGGACTTGGCCCATTTGGTTCGAAATTCAGATATTATTTTTTGGATTTGTTTTTTTTGTTACAAAACAAAATGAGGCAAACAAAGAGAGAGCTGGCTGTCTATTTTCTTATGTGTTTATGTGATATGTGGGATGTTCGGAATAGTTGGTTGGATCTATGGATTGTGCATATTTTGCTTTGTGTTCCTGTTCCTGGGTGGTGGTAGCTTCTCCCATCATCATTGGTCACGGCGATGTTATCTCCGGCGTCATGGTGGAGATCGCGTCGGCAGCTCTGATGAGTTTTAGTTAGGATTTTACTTTTACCATAACTTAGGTTTGGGATTATGTTGGATTTATGCGCGTTGTGGGTTTTTTCCTTGTTGCGGGATTTATGGAAAGGCTGTAATGAGGAGTTTAAAGTGAGGAGGCTATTTGAGGATGTCAATCTTACCATCAACAAATGTAAAGAAATCATGGGATCTAAACATTTTAAAAGTTTTGATGGTGGAATTGGTCTCCTCAAATACCCTCCTCGTTATATAGTCTCTTCCCAGAATTTATGCATGTTATGGGCCTTTTGCTTGTAGTAGGTTTATGTCTAATTAGCTTTTGTTGCCTTTTTGTATTATTGCTAAGATCATTTTTCTTTTAGTCTCACTTTTGTATTTCTTCATAAAACTGGTTTATGACAACAACAAAAAAATCCTATAGCGTTTGTACAATGTTTCTGAAAACATAGATACTAATTTTTCGAATACAATCATGAAAAACAAAAGATTTTGTAAACAATCTATAAGCATTAATTTGAACCCTTAGTCCAACCTGGATCCCAATCCTTATATTAGACCCCAAGCCATAAGACATGCACCATAGATCACTTTAATCTATACATACAATTTGATAAGCGGGGATTGTAACTCTAGCGGTTAGGAGCATAAAATTGAATGCCGAATGCCCTCTTTCTAATTATCATCTGACAAATAAAGAAAAAAACATAGCACACTCCAATTTTTAATGTGTCAAGTCTTCATAGTTTTCTAAATTCGAAAAGAATGCGTTGTGTTCTACTTGAGGGTAATCTGAAATGCTACTTGGGTTCGTAGATTTTCTGAGAACTCAAACTCTAGCTTCTTTTCACCTTTAAAATCCATTGATTTTATTTTCACTGTCGTTTTGGAGCTTCTACACACAATTTTGGTACACACTAATTCTTGTCCACGTCATGCAGATATAAACGCCTGCGGTTTGTCAAAATTTCTACATATTTAACCTCTGAAGCCCGCATAAAACTCATCCATGCTTGTCCATATTAGTTCTTCAAGTTTCTTGGATTGCCCAGATTATAGAATCTAAAATGGGTATGAGTTTAAAGAAGATGAGAATTAAAATCTGAAAACTTACTACACAACATATAAGCAAATCCAATATAAGCTTGAACTACACGCAAGTAATGGTTACACATTGGTAACTGAATCTTGTCTAATCTTGCGTTTGCCGGACCTTTAAAAGTGCTTATCCAAGTTAATCCAAAGTGCAAATTGGATTTGAGTTGGTTGGTTTGTCCAACACAAATGTCTCACCACTGGCACAAAGGATAGTAGAGCAACTCCAAGAGATTATGCCAAACCCAGCCTACCATAATAGGCCTGAAGTCCAACAACTTGAATTAGCAATTGGTTGCCACTAACTACAAATATGTGTGTGCTTTTAGTTCAGTTACATAATGTAGAATTCATTCCAGAAATAAAACTGATTGAATTGTGACTATTTGGACAGCACAAAAAGGCAAACGAAGAAAAACAAGAAACCAACTTCCTAGGAGAGGCACAAAACGATAAAGTCAGCTTATTTCCAGTCTCCAAAAATTTTGAATATATCCCAAAATACTATTTAAGAATAGCTCAAGTTTCAGTCGGACAATTTACAAATTTAGCTCCCCCAAAAAGACCCCAATAAACGTTTATCTACAAAGTATGTATTTTCCAAGAGAGAACTCCAAATTTCTCTTCACATAGAGACCAATGGCAACAAAAAGGATAAGAATGGGGAAGACGCATAATACTCGGGAGCTATAAATGTTAAACACTTGGGAGTTTAATAATGACGATACCGTCATAGAAAAATAGAGTCTTACGTTAGAGACTGTACACCTTTTCTGCACGAAGCCTGCAGCTTTCATGAATCAGATTTGTCAATAACCTCTGCTGGCAAGTTCAGATCAAAAAAACCACCTCCAAGAGCCCCCTTCCTAGCACGCTTTCGAGAAGAGCATCCGCTCTCATCTGAACTTCCAGAACCTGAAGGTTGTTCTGGTTCTGTTGATCCTCCTACATTAGAAGCGTATTAGCAAAACCTTACACATGTTAGCCTGAGTTATCTTCTATCTTGCATCCATCATATTCTATACATGAGAGAATATACTAAGAAATTCTTTTTTCAACTTAAAAGTGGAAGAAAAAAGAACTCTGATGGTTTGCAACCCCAAGAAATTTCTTTCAGCAAGTAATTTGCACCCCAAGAAAACATAATATTAACTACATTACATTGCTTTTATTCATTTAAAGAAAAACTCACGGTGACTACTATGGATCAAGGTTTTATAAGTAAATAAGTTTTTTTGGGTCATAAAAGTAAAGAAGTTAATCCAAAAGAAAATTACCAAATTTCAATGTCAAGAAGATGTGATGCAATGTTGGAAGTGCTACCAGAACAAGAACAAAGTCAAGGGGATACATGATGGGATGGATAAAAGACAGGAAAAATGTAATAACCACTGTGAGTGGGTCCTGCGGGGCCCATACGAATTAAAAGATAAAAAAGGTCCAATTATCTTATCTTTCTACTGGATTCCAATCAGATATCAGTTCCACGATAATCTATTCAACTAAAAGAAAAGGCGGAAGAAGCTGACCACAATAGAAGCAAAAAAGCCTTCAATTTTCGATATCAACTGGTCAGATTAAAACATTCCCTAAGCAGCAAAAATACTGAACATAAGCTAACAAATAATCACTTTAAATAAGGGGAGACCATTATGTTTAAGCTATGGCTACATATACTAAAGCTTTTATTGGCTAACGGAGATGCATGCTAAACTTGAATTGTAATAACTATAAGCCAGAAGAGGCATATTCAAATATATAATATAAGATTGCTTGAAGACCATAAAAACTATAACAGAATTTAAGTGGGTATGCAATCAGGCTCCGTAGTATACCATCATAGCGACTTATAAAAAGTGAACTGGTTCAACTACTACTCTTAAGAATGCTTATACGTATATGCCCTATTTCTTTCACAATTGACGCCATACTTGAATTCTTTTCTGTTAATTCAGAGGATATGGGAGGTAGAAGAATTCATGGAATCAACTTTACCACTTGTGCCACAATGCAATCGTGGATCTTTATCAGCATTATTAGCTTTATTGACCCAACAAACAGTAAGTTCTGATGCCTTCTCAATGCCCTTTGACTTGTAAGGAGCTATATTGTGGATACCAAGTTGTAGAGAACCCAATAGATCACTCTCAATGCAGTCATACCTGCATGCAGTTGAAAATAAAAAATAAAAAATCATGTTTTGATGAGAATCACATATGTACACAGATACATTTATAACAGCAAGTTCAATTAAGATATTTTTCTGACTGCCATACTCACATTTTCTGACAGAGGGTATCAGTGATTGCTGACAGATTGATCACTTGCATCCTTATGTCCATAACTTCATTCTCCTTATAATCATCAAAAGGTGCCTCCAAGAACTTGGATAATTTCTCAACATTTTCCTCAAGTTGCTGCTGCTGGTCCTCAAACAAATGCTGTTTTATTTCCCTTTCCTCCTTTGTCATCTCATCCTTAAACAGCTCTTCTCCAAACATGTAAAAAGCAAATGGGTATGAATATGAAAGAACTCTCCTTGACCTGAAAAGTCTGGAGAGTCCATTATTTACCCAGCTGAAATCTCTGAGCCTCGAGTCCTTCTCCTCTGAAACTGCCACCTTCTTTTGTATACTCTCCTTTAAGTTACTTTCAAGCTTAAAGGAATCAGTATGAGCTTTGTAACGGTTATGATAGTGCATATATCGGTAAAGATCCCGCTTCGCACGCTCAGCGTTTTGCTCTTTATCTTCTTTGTACCGACCACAACTATGACCTGCAATACTTGACCATGTATGGTCTCGACCAGTGGCTCCACCACACAGCCAACTGCACCAAGACGAAAGAAAGTATAAATCAGTTTTGACCCCCAAAAAAGAAACAGTCAATAAATATCAAAACCATAATGCAAGTCTTCGTTTATTTTTTAAGTTTGTCAAGCACAGATGACAAGAACATACATGCATCAAGTTATAAAGAAAGTTAAAAACCAAGAAAAATAACATAATAAAATTGCAATAACAGTAGGGAGGATGAGAGGAAAAAAGAAAGAAAGAACCTCACCAAAATGCTTGTCCACAGATACAGCTTACAAGGTTGCAGCCACCATTCTTCTCCACAGGTTTGTGACACTTGGGACAAGGTTTTGTATGGACAGTGATCCAATTAACTGTCTCCGATTCATCTCGGCACTTCTTGGCCCAAAGCTCCCACATCAAACATGAACAAGGTGAATGAGCTTGTGATAAACAACTGAAACAAAACTGCAGACCACAAGTACATTCTATCTCGCAAAACTCATCATCCTCCACGCGTATTGCATTCCCGCAATGAGGAGTACTTGGGCACCACTTGACCCTTTTATTGTCCTCAATGTATGACTCAAGAAGAAAACGATCAAATTTCTCAGCAAGATGAGGATGCCTCTTACTGACTAGATTTCTGACCACAGATTCGTCACAAATAGCATTGCATTTGTGAGCCATGCACCTAATGCGCTTACTTTGACCCTCATTTATCTTTACAACAAAATGTTCTGTCCAACCTTTATATGACAGAGAATACACAGTAGTTACTAAACGATAGAAAAGATGGAACACAGACAAAAAGGGACTTCACATATATATGCATAAATACACAATGAAAGATAAATCTAAAAATACAATTTGATGAGATAAAAGCACATAGTAATAATCGTATGAGTCCACCAAATGAATAAAGCGAAAGTGCAAAAAATGGGTGGGGTACTTACAACTGTTGCAAAAGCAATGTCCACAGTCCATTTTTGTTGTGTCAACACTGGGTACATCTTCTATACAAATAGCACACATTACTGGAGAATTAGGCAGTGGTGGGTCAAGATCTTCATGCTCAACAAGAGTTACACCTGCTTCAGAAAACAAGCAAGGTTTTCCTTTCTCTACAAGGACTGCAAAAAGCTTCTCAACATCCCAGCGGTAATGAATAAGCAAAGTCCTGGCATGGTGCTCCCTCAGGAAAAGTAAGTCCATCACCCTACGCAAATCCTCCTTCTGCAAAAAATAAAATTATATATATATATATATATGCAACCCAATTGAAACATTAACCTTAATGTTTTGATGATAAATTCGTGAGGATTAAAACAGAATAGTAAGGACAATTATTCCTACCTGTGCCGACAACAGAGATTCTTTGGTAATTACCTGGAAGGGTTAAAAAACATAGTCAATTTCTAACTAAGTATTGAAGTGGGAAAATAATAAAGCACCTTAATCCAAATATACTCCAGCGATATACACATTTACATTATGTTAGAAAAAATACTACGATCATTTTGCTTCTGATGGATTGTGCCCAAATACAACTCTGCGTTCTCTCTTACCACCCATTAAAGTTCATAACTTTACCATACACATACAGAGCTAGAACTTATATAAAAGAAATACCCAACAATAAAGATTATCTTTGATAAAATGAAAGTAACCCTAATTCCAATGCACCCCACATAAAATTTAGTCTATTCAAATTGAAACGAACAGCTTAGAATGACCATCAACCCTTTCATGAAAATAAAATTATCCCAATATATTCATGGATGATGTACTCAAATCAAACAAACAAAACATACACATATTGCCATGCAGACCCATCAAAACTTATGATAAAATAATTGAAATCAACTCTTATTGATTGCTAGACGAGCTGAAAATCCAGGAAAAAAAAAATCGAAGACCTTAGTTGTGGTGCCCTTCGGCGGAATCCACTGAGGATCAGAGTCTTCGTTCTCGATGCCATCAAGAGAGTCCTGATCGGAGTAGTAGTACTCATCGTCGCTGCCCAAACAATCCTCCATCGATTATCAACCCCCCAAAAAGATCGAAAATTTATTAAAAAATTCTCAGGAAAACGAAACCTTTTGATCAAAATATAAACAAAAAGGTGCTATACGCATGCATGATATGTGTGTATAGGCGAATTGGGGATTATTCTCAATTGGGTTTTCAGCCGAAGAGAGAGAGAGAGAGCGAGAAAGAGAGAGATGAAAAGATTGAATTGGGTAGGTTTTGGAAGCCAAGGGCTTCGCGTGGATTATGTAGGAGGAGTTGGACGACGGCGTTTTAGCTGGCAGGGAAGCGGAGAGATCGATCTAGTCGTAGTTGTGGATTTGGGGTCTCACTCTGGGGAGAGGTTGGGAAGAAACTGAACTGGAAAGTCTGAATGGGAGATTATGGGACGAGGCCTTGCTTTATGCTACTCTCTCTCTCTGTCTCTCTCTCTCTCTCTCTTTTTCTCAGCTGAGTTTGTGTCACAAATTAAAAACCATTTGAAATACTACTAGCAAACAATTACCACACAAAAAAAAACACTAAAAAATAATTTCTTTTTTAATTTTTTTAATTTTCACTAGTCTCTTTGCACGCATTTTTGCAACTACGAGATTTTTTTTTAAAAAAAATTTTAAAATTTATTTAAGAATTAAAAAATATAATGGGTAATTGTATTTCATAAAAATATGATTTATTATCTGATTTTTCTTTTAATTTTAATTTTTTTAATATAAAAAATCATGAATTTACCATATTATTCTCATTTAATTAATTATTTTAATTCTTAATGTTTGGATTAACCAATATCATTTTTTGGTATTTTGAATGTTTCACCATTATCTGCCTTTTGCTTTATATATATAGATAATAAAAAATTTATTTATGTATTTTTATTTTACCAAGTTTCCTTGAAGAAAAAATGTATAATGCTAAGTGGGTATGGACCGTAATTACATGTGGTTATTATTATCCCCTTTACTTTTGCTTTAACAGATTAAATTGGTCATCAGTATGAGTATCAATGCGTTACTAATTCATTTGTTATCATATTTACAATATGTAGATTAGTAACTTTGTCAAGATGTCATGTTATTATGGCCTTAAGTTTAGGGTCACACAAAAAAATTTATTGTAATTGGCCCTATGTTTTTATTGTAAAAAAAATGTTGTTAAAGATTTTTAGCCTTACTATAAATACATAAAGATAAACACAAGTAAATAAATTCTCAATGATCGTGTTCTAGTAAGACGAAATAAAACAAATAGCACCATTAAATTAAAGAATTATAATATACCTATTTAAATTTAAAAATTACTTGGGTAAGGTAAAAAGGGTATATTAGGGTCGGGAAAGTGGGTGTGTTACACTTGTTCGTTCCCGCCCTATTAGGGTCGGGGCTCCGAATTGGCGGGCATACTTACCGTTTATAATTATGGAAGGAGAAAAACAATTACAAATTAGGAATATGAGAGAGAAAAAGTACATTGGATAAAAACTTATTATTTGGTTCTGACAATCAACAGCTGGAGTAGCTCAGTTGGTTAGAGCGTGTGGCTGTTAACCACAAGGTCGAAGGTTCGAACCCTTCTTCTAGCGTACTCTTTCTTTTTCTTCCAATTTTTGTTTTTGACATTTTGTGAAAGTCAAGGAAACCCTCATTGAGTCGTTGTTCCTCATTACTGAGTTTGCACGTTGGCGGCTTCTGATTTAAAAAAACAAGAACCTAACTTGTATGAAAGAAGAAATTGATGCCTTTCTTACAATCCCAGACTCCACCTTGTTTGGTTCTCAGGAAATTTCACCTTGCAAAAGCTTATTAGCGGATTTTCTTCTCTTCTGAATTGATTAGCTTAAACATATCATATTGTAGCAGAATGTAAACCATCATTTAACTCGTTTCTTCCGCCGCCTCCCTAGGGGGGGCTCCTCCGCTCTAGTTCTTTTCGGTTCTTTTGGTTGTTATCGACGTATCGGCACAATCCAAGAGTGAAGCAAGCGGAGGTGTTGCTTGGCACACACTGTTGGGAGAATGCTTTAAATGGTCTTAAGAGTAGAGAGTCGTACTAGTATTTCCCAAGCTACCAATCATGGAACCACGGCCAATTTACAAAGAGTGTTTGTTTTTAGTCAATGCAATTTGCAACGAAAAGAAATGCAACTTTCATTCAAATATTTCTGGGTATTACAGGTTAAAAATGTTAAATAAAAATTTTTGAACTCTGCTTCAATACAACCAAATGAACATTACACCAGGAAAATGATGAATACAAGGTACAATCAGTTCTAAGTTTTAACAATTGAGCTCATCAATGTTGGTTCGAAAAAGATAATCCTCACCCTCTAATTCATCTTGAAAAAGACAAATAGACGGGATCTCTAACTTCTCTTTACTAGATCCTTTATCATCCAATGATCTTCTTCCCTGAAACATTAGTGATATCATTAATCACACAACATAGGATTCGGCGGGGCAAATGTCGATATATAAGCCTCAACAAGTACACCAACAATTATCTGGACTAACCTTCTTCAATGTATAGAAAAAATAGTGAAATCCATCACCAAAGGTACTCCACTCCACAGACCAGGTAAATTGTGGAGCCTCAAAGAAAGGGCGCCTGAAATGTGGCTGTGGGATAACAATCCAAGTTAGAATACTAGCTTTAGTAATTGAGAAAAGATTTTGAATTTATTTGTATAACCTGGCCAAAGGAAATTGAGATGTAAACGCCATCTGGTTTTAAAACCCTATGTACACCCTCAAGCATCTTCATGACCTTGGTTACGGTTGCAGGCCGTGGATTCCATGGGTCACCACTATCAACGAACAGTACCTCCTTCATAATGAAAAATAGATTATATATACCCTTCTCATTGAAGGTTTAGGTGGTGAGAATGTTACAACAATATTGACGATAGTAATAACTGATGACAAGACTTGAAACTAGACCACATATAAGGAAAGCCATCTTAAATAGTATGTTTACCATGGTTCCTTTCTCAATAACAACATCAAAACACTCGTTGCTAAAAGGCAGGTCTAGCATGTCAGCTTCCAGAACTTTTATTTCTGATAATAAAGAATATTGGAAAACATAAATAAGATTTTCTATCTGTTGCAAATAAACTATGTTTCGACAATTTCGACCCAAAAAAAGCTATGTTCAGACAATCAGTTCAAACAGAAGAAAAAAAGAGTAAGGAAATTCCAGGGGGACAAGAAAAACTGTGGTGGGATCCCAAAGAAGTCCATTGCTCATTTTGCTCTAGAATATAAAAGGTTTCCTAATTTAGGAATAGGAACACCAAAATATTAAGCAGACGGCCTAGGTAGGTCCCAATAAGTCATGTCCCTCCCAAGATTAGGCAGTTCAAAGTTAGCAGTGAACAACCCTGGATTCTGCTCTTTTCAGTTCCTCAAAAAACAAAACACACATAATTGATAGATTTCCACTTTTCCTCATAAATAATTTATAAGTAACAACTAGTGATTATTCTTATTATTCACCCCTTATCAAATGCAGATTATCAGAAATCTGACTATGAATACATAATACATAAACATCATATATATCTATATACAAGGCAGAAATACATTCACTAATTTTACTACCAGTTTTTAAGTTTGGTGCTCCATATACAAAGGCAAAATTACACTTATCATTAACTACTTACTTAGACCAAAGAAATTTCAAGTTGTCAAAAACATTAAAACCCAAATTGCTTTAGCATAAAAAAAATAAAGGGAAAAGAAATAGGATCTTAGAATAAGTAGATAAGCAAACACTCCTAGTGTAGACATTTTGCAGAACATCAAACAGCACACCTTTAAAACCTTTAGACAGTAACTTCTTCTGCATGTTCTCCACTGCAACAGCGGACAGATCAATGCACGTTATTTCAGTAACCCCATCTTTATACAATTCTTCACACAACTGTGAATTTCCACACCCCAGCTCCAAGACCTGTGTCATAATCATTACTCATCACTACTGCTTTATCCAACCCTTCTAAGTATTTCGTTAATGCAAAATCAATAAATTCGACACTAATTCTTATAAAAGCAAATAATAATTAAATTCGATGTGAATGAACCAACATCTCAGCATGTTGTTGCAGATAACAGAGTTGAAATTTTGCAAAGCAGGAGCTCAGGATGATCAAGGCAACAAAAAGAGTGATAATTTGCTAGACATAGGAGACTTTGCAATTCTACATAAAGTGTTGAATTTCATTTATATCATGATCTTTACTCAACCAGTTTGCATAATTAATTAATCAAACCCATTAGTAAAATACCATTCTCTTTATGCATCTTCCTAGCACTGACTAATATACCCCAAACCCAGATATAATTTCTGGTTAGAAAGATAGAAAACATACATTTCCTATACATCACAAACACACAACATAATATGCGTGTGATTGATGAAACCCAGAATAAATATATATAACGTGAAACTACACGATGTTCTGTGAGAATTATTACTAACAACTAAGAGAGAGAGAGAGAGAGAGAGTAGAGAGTAAAAATCTTTTACAGAAGAATTGGGAGTGATAGAGGATGAATGAGGTGCCGGAAATGAGAGTAGTCCTTGAGCCACTCGTAATGCTCCTCAGTAGAAAATCGTTCATCCCTGAAACAACAAGAGCAACATTAATGGAATTATCCAATAAAGATAGGGGTAAATGTGGGAAGAGAAAAATACAATTACCAGTATTTAGGGTCGAGGTAAGCTAGAGCAGTGGATGGGCCACCGCCATTTTTGTGAGTTCCGTTCGGGTCCTGTCTTGTACCCATTTCACTGTTTTCGGGTTTTCTTCTTCTCCTCTACTCTGGTTGTTGGCTTCACCAGCCAAAATCCTAAAACCCCTTTTCTTTCTTCACGTTTTGGGTTATTCATTTTATTAACTTTGACCCGATTTGTATTTAAGTCACTCAATTTCTAAAATCTTTTCCGTGGTCCTTTAACTTCAATTTTATTAGGACAAATGGTCATATCGTCAATTTTGTTCACTTTTTCTGTTAAATGCATAGGTAAAATAGTATTTTAGTATTATATTTAGTTTCCAATTTCTGAATATTCCTTTTACCTAAAAAATAAAACTAAAATTAGAAACTAAAAATTAAAAAATCTTATTCCTATCCTCAATCAAACTAAAATTAAAAATTAGTTCTTATTCCTAAAAAATTGAATTTTTTAAATATTTTATTCATATTTTAATAAATTTAAAATTTAAAAATATATAAAAATACCATTCTACCCCTGCATTAATAGAAAAAGTTAACAAAATTGACGGCTGGACTATTTGTCCTAACGAAACTGAAGATGAAGGACCAAGGGAACGATTTTGGAAATTGAGGGACTAAAATGCAAATTTGGTCTAAATTCAGGGACTAATAAAAAGAATAACCCTAACTTTTTTTTTCTCTCTCTTTTCTGATGTTTCCAATTTTGGACCGACACCTAAACCCAACTAAACACTTAGGTACAAAGGGGTCAAGTTGAAAGCCCATAGTTTTTTTTTTTGGAAAGATTTTTTTTTAATACAAGCAATGGGGAGGGGAAATCGAATATAGGACCTCGAGTGAGAGGTAAATACTCTTAACCACCTGACCTATAAGTCCCTTGCTTGTAAGAAAAAAATTTTAAACCTAAATCTTTACCCTATTCTTCTTTCTAAGGATGATAATAATCCCTGCGAACCCCCCTCTCCTAAACACTTGTGTTGTACTAAAAAATAGAGTATAATAGTATGGATATAGATCGTGTCTTATAAGATTTTGATTTTTTCACCTCTTAAACGCGCAAATACAACTAAAAAATGGCTAATATTTGGGACGTTTGGCAAATACAACCAAAAACGGCTAAGTTGACCCCAGAGGGTAGTAACATATTAACATAAAATTTAACTTTTGATCCCCTCTCCGTTTGATCAATTTTTTTCTTTATATAAAATGCACTGAATCTTAAATTTTTATATTGCATTTGCGTTTATTAAATTTGTTAAGCCAAATCACAAATGTTGTGCTGTGTCTCAAGTTCTTGGAAACTTAAGATAGGACTCATTTATTCGAGCCAAATTATCTTCTGGGGGTTTGCATATCGAGTACATACTATGAAAGAAGAAGAAATTTTTGAAAGATAAAAACTGTAACATATACAATGTTGGTATTATATTAGAACATCCATGAATAATACTCCCGCAATTTCAGTTGCTTCCTCTTCATGAATATGTAAACTTGCCAACCCTTGCATGCAAAGTCCAAATTTACTCCAACGGCTCTGTTGCAGTGAAGAGCATATGGTTATTCCTGCACAAAAAAAGGTTTAGGCTCAATGTAAAGAGAGAGACTGATTTGCATTCGGAGATGAAAAGTACGAAGAGCTTCGAATCACTACCTTGTAAAAATTGATGGGCATCAATACTTCTAGGATTTCTTTAGGGATGGTATTGGTGATGCTGGAGGCTTCAAATCCTCATACCTGTTCATTTATAATCCTCATATGTTCAATAGGTTTTCATAAACACAAAAACTGTCCTAATGTATCTGAGTGGAAAGTTAATTTACTTCATTAAATAAACTTCTTTGTGATGTGCATAATATGGTAAAAAGGATCTTACATGAAAAAAGGTGATAGTGGTCTTGGCTTCGGTTTGGTATGTTGCTCGCTGTTGCTTTGTGCATCTTCTGTTGGAGGTTGCACCGTGCTGTTCAAGGTATCAATCGGAGACCCATTATTTGCAACAGGTTCTGAGAGGACTGATAAGATTGGAGGAGTAGGAGTAGGAGTAGGAGTAGGAGATGATAGGATTGGAGGAGTAGAAGATGGTGATGAAGGGGGCTTGAAGTTGTCATATCTAAAAACATGCATGCCCACAATAATTTTGATACCTCTAATGTCAGAACAATATAACTATAGCAAAAGGCACGTAATATTGTAGTAAGCTAAGGGGCAAGGACAAATAACACTTATATTATGATAGAAGTGCTCACGCAAGGGACTTAAGTTGAGGGACAAGGGAGGGAGGACACATGTAAACGTTCAATTTGAGACAATTGTTGAAATCAATAATTCATTGAAGTGAACCCAGCCCTTGCCCTCAATTTAAGTCCCTTAGGTAAGCACTTCTCCATATTATGAAGGAAAACATCTGTATTACTAACAGACTCTTGTAGTTATTTCCTAGAAAAAGCCATTGCATTACTGGTTGATTGTACATTTACTGAATTTAAGAGCACAAGTGAACAAAGTAACAAGAAGGAAACTATACTTCGTTGGAAGACACTCTACATTAGATCACAAAAAACTTACACATAGTAGGGTGAATGATAATGAGTTGAATTTTGTGGAGAAACCTCTTCAGCAACACTGCTTATCACAGCCTCTGTGGAATCGTTAACTCCACTTGATTGCGAGACAGCTTCTACCGGAGTTGAGGCATCCAAGGGTGTTTGCTTGGGACCACTTGGTATTGGGCTTGGAGAGCTTGGTGGCTTCAAATCCTCATAACTATCAAAATCATATCAGCTCATATGGAGATTGTCCCATATTTATGATGTGACAGGAAAACATTAGAAAAAGCTTACGCAACATAAGGCGAAAGAGGCCTTGTTATTAGCACTTCTTGTGAGGTTGTTTTTATCTCATCCACGGCGGTTGTTGTATCCACTGTGCTGGTTTGAGCATCTGAAATGGTCAGTGACACTGCATCAACAACATTATCTTTTTGAACACTAGGTGGACTGGGTGAAGGGGATGAAGGTGGTTTAAAATCCTCATATCTGCAAAATAGCCAGAACAATAAGAATCAAACATGATTGACATCAACAGAAGTAATGATATTTGAAGAAAAGTTCGTTTTGAATTTTGGCCCATTTTTCGTAGGCATTTCAATTTGTAACATGACTCATGACCTGACTTGACAGAACCAAACACAAATTACCACCCCTAAATTCTTTGGATTCTAGACCCTTAGGCCCATTATATACCTAAGTTTAACACCAGTGTCAATGATGTTCTTAATAAAAGAAAGTTAGATAATGTAATTTTCAATATCTAGTATACAACTTACGAAGCATAAGGCGAGAGCGGCCTTGTATCTTTCACTTTTGTCCCAATGTCTTCTTTCTCTACAATGGTTTCTGAAGCTTCTTGAAGAGTGGTGGCTGCGGGTGCTGCAGGCCTAGCATCTGCATCACTTGCTTTGGTGGCAACATCAGTAGTGCTTGGGGATAGAGTAGGAGATGTTGGTGGTTTGGTACTCCTAGAAGGTTCTGGACTAGTAGCAGGTGCAGTACCTAATCCCTGATGACACCAAAAAGAAATTCAATTTGGCTCTGACAGTCTTTTCAATTTGCTTTAGTGATATTTCCTGACACCAACATTTCCCTTGCCATCAGTCATTGGTTAGAGGATGAAAGCCAGAACACAAACCCACCTATCCATATAGATGCCCGCCCACCCTCATGTATAGAATTAATTATTTTCTTAGAGGATAAGGGCTGCACAGAGGGAATCAATTTCTGCTTCAATACACCACATACTTTCCCTTGTCAAATTGAATAAGAAAAGTTTCATAAACAGGAAAGTTCAATAAAAGAACAGAGATATTTATCTTCAGGCTCAATGGTAATTGATTTTAGAGAACTCATGAAGTGATAACAAGAAAGGTGAAAGCTAGATAACACAAGAAGTAATAAGGGAGATCCAGGATTCACTCAGCAGCTAAGGATCGCACATCAAATTTTCTTAAAGAGCTTGAACTCTTTTCTGCCCTACTAGGAAAAAAGGGGCCAAAAGAACAAGCAAACCTTTGGTGGGTAAGTGTCAGCACGTTGAGATGGTATCTTTGCAAGAAGGTCCTCCAAGGGAGTCAATGGAGCAGTTGTTTCTGCAATTACTTCCACTACTTTGAAGTAAGAAACAGCACGATTTTTGGCCGCGGATGCCAGGAGCTCTGCCACCTGAATTGATTAATAAAACTTACTTTTACAGTTGATCGATAAATTCCAAGTTACTCTAACCAAATTCATATATAGAAGTCTATATATAGTTCCAAAGAACTTAAAGAGGAACAAAAAGTGGACAAGTCAGAGTGATCAAAGTAGAAAGGTATTGAAATGAACTTCCAGCAGAAACTATTGTTTTGCATAAAAACAATGAGGTGTCATTGTGAGGAAAAACCATACTATATAAAAGTCATCCAGACTAGACTAATGCCGGAAATTTTTATGACTCTAGCATTTGATCTTTTCGTGTTTTATCATCTTCTTTCCCATGTGTGGATACATTAGATATGACATGAGTCAATATTTTCATTTCCGAAAAGAGGAAAACCAGAAGCAACATGATCAGAACAATCTTTGACTTATCTCCACTATTGTAATAATTCAATAACAGAAAGATTGAGTTTTAACAGAATAACACAAAACACAATGCCTGTTCTACATAGGAATACAGTAATAAAATCACAAAGACACAACAGAATTGCAAGATAGATGTGCATTTTTGTAATTTCCAATGAATTAATCAAGTGATGTTTTTTCATTGGTACGAAAAAATGTATTTATGATGCAAATTTACTATTGTTAACGTTTACTAAGTCTCTCGTAAAAAACTGTTGCATTTGACCTCAATTCTGGAAATTTTATATAGGTTGCCAAATTATTATTCTCATAGCCCTAGAGAAGAAAGAAAAAGCAGGAGTTATCAAAAAATAAATATGCTCTGTAATATGTTGGATTCAGATAGAGGTGAAAAATAATAATGTTGTTAGCTAACAATCAAAAAGGGTTTCATTTTGCATAAGCAGACTATATGTTTGAAAATTTTATGTGCTACTTGTGGTTTCTGAAAAAAAAATGTTTTAACAGGTTAGTGCTGAAAACAGAAACATCACTGCATACTTAAGTAAACTTTACAGAAAGAATACCTGGAGGTTTGAAACTTGGCCACCAAATAAAGTATCTTCCTTTGAGAGGGTAGTATTATGAGTTTCCTTGTAAGCGTCAGTGGGCCGTTCCATTCCACCAGGTCTCACTATCTGAAGAAAACCACACATAAGTACTAAAAGCACCTACAAGTTACAACTTCTCTGTTTCATTAATTTATCTGCAGCTAAATACTCACAGTGTAGGGAAGTCCACTGGCTATCAGTGCTTCTTCTGCCTTTCTTTTCCAAATCAGGACTCCCCAAAATAAACTTTGTAAAAGAAAAGAGAACACAGTAAATTCAGTAAAATAAGAAACAAAGGAAGCTTAATTCTCTCAAGTTCTTAGGTCAGCTATAGCTGATTTATCCGAAATGTTTACCAAAAGTGTAAGTAGAGATAAAAGCTTGAAGACTTACTTTAGAATAGCTGCAGGGAAATCCAATCTTGTTTGTTCCCAGAGAGGTAAGCAATATGAAGTGGTTAACTTTTGCAACCGTTGCTGTACATCATTGAATACTCAAGATTTTCACATTTTTCAGCATACAAAAAAATACATAATTGGTTAGATTGAGTAAAATATTAATAAAATTATTATCAGTAGGAATATCAGTTGCCATCAATGCATTACACTCCCTCCTATCTTCCCTAAGCAGAAAAAGAATATTGGGTTCTTGGTAGGTCGCAACTTGAGGAATACTTTCCAAGTATAAGTACAAGGCAAACCAGAGCATGTGTGTGTTTGTGATTGAACGGCAAAGTACACCAGAATATGGTTTCAGTGAAATTTAAAGTTTATACCAAAATGCTTCAGGAGCTTGGCTAGTCCCCCCAAAATTGTATTTTTTCTAGGTCTTAGGTGTAAGAAGAGTTCTACCTAGAGGTAAGGAAACTAATAATATCAACAAAACTATCAAAAAGGGGGTGGACTGGAGGGTAGTGAAGTTAGTCATATTGTTTGCATTTAAACTTCTTCTAGGGCTGCAAAGAAAAGCACCATGGATAAGACCAAAGCCCCAATATGGTGACATCATGTAAAACTATCATTAGCATAGTACAGGCTGATTTGACAAAATGAAAAATAGTATAGGCCGCCAGTGAAAACCTTGCTTACCTGCCTCAATAAGGTTTTTGGTAGCCAGATAGTCAATTCGATATGGTCCAGTAACATCAAAAACTTCCTTCTCGCTCGCACCAATGCAGCACAACACAACTGAGGCATTGCCCAATGCTGGTCCAATCTGATCTGGTTTCTCTAAGTCACACTCCACAATTTTTAGCTTCTCTACAGCTGGGCTAAAGATCAAAAGCTACCTGTTATTTGCTATAAGCATATACTGTTAAAGATAACATCTCTTCTCCAAAACTACAGCACTTTCATTTTTCACTTTTCTTGTCTATTTTCCTCAAAGCTTTACAAAAACCAAATGCAAAGAAATTGACAGTTCTAAAGTTTTTAATCTTACGTTGAGTTCCTTCACCATCAAGCTTCATTTGTTTAACACTCTGCAGATGAGTTAATTTCTCATTATAAATCTGATTTAAGGAAAAGTAGTACAAAACTAATAACTTCACCAATCAAATTTGTACTTGCACAAGAGTTTCTGCTCTCTGAGCACTTCTGACACCAGCTCTGACCTCGAACCCAAGTTTCAAAAGCTCCCTGAATAGGACTACGAAAGCTTAGCAATTCTAATAAACCAAGTCTCATGTTGAAAAAGTATTTTCACCTAAAAGGGGAGTGAGAAGTAAAGTATAACCTTACTGTTCGTGAGCCAACTTTACCAGTAGCACCAGCAACAAATGCAAGATTCTCATCCTTTAGATCTACTTCTTTTGAAGTTAGCTCAACTATCTCTGAGCTGAACTTTGTGGTGCCTTGTAAAAACAACAAACATCAGTTACATAGAGGTGAGGAAAGAAATACACTGATTACCAATTTACCGTTTTCAGCACAGCACAAACAGAACAAAAGCTCCTTAACTTTCTTTCACATAATGGTAAGAAAATATTGTGACATGAAGTAGGAAGACTACATTTTAAGTCACTTCCTTATGCTTCCTACAAATTCTTTATGCCAAATCATTCCGGCATGTAGTCAGGTTATGCAGCTATAGCATATTTACTTAAAAGCACTAATTCATAATTCACATCTTCAAGAGTACCTAATTTAACTAGGTCCCACTTCCTAAATGGGAAGCTAGTCTAATAGAGAAACTAGTTGACATCGGTGCCCAAAAGAATTTGAGGCCTGTGCAAATATCTCTAAAGGTTAAAGATCTTGATATAATTGTGGAGTTTCTAGACCACTGACTCTGGAGAGTTAGTTTTGCAGCTCCGAAAATGTTCATGTTACCTGAAGTATCTCTGGTAAATATTTCAAATTTTAGTGCAAATAGATCATAACTATGTGAGGGTTCCTACATTGCAACCCATTCCAACCATTAACTAACGCAAACTAAATTGCCTTTATCCATTCTTTTAATGTAGCCTGATTATTCGTTCTAGAATGTTGTCTGGAGAACTTGGAAACAAGATACAGCTGCTTAAGTAGGTAAAATCCTAGTACATTTTGAGGGTTGGATCATATCATTGCTACATTTCTACAAATGCATAGGGAAATGGAAATAAAAACATAATGAAATCAGAAAGTCCAGAAAGAAAGAGCATCATATGGTAGAAAGAGAAAAAAAAACCATCATATTATGTATTAATCTTCAAACCACAAAAAGCCCATTTCAGGAAACATTAAAAAAATAATAATTACATACCTGAAGCTTGAGCTTTGATATGAAGAAATCCAAGCTTCCTGGCATGTGGGTACCTCTTGGAATTGGAAAATTTGAGGACCTGACCGCGCAGAAGAGGTTTTTCTGTAAACCCACTTTGGGATAAAGAGGGTATTGTGGTTACAGTTGGTGAGTTCAAGGAGCAAGCCTCCATTGCAATGGAATTCAAGTGCTCAGTTCAGTGGTCACCAAAAGCCTAGAGCTTTAAACAATTGGAGACAAATAAACGGTTTTATTATCTTCTGATACTTTTTTGAGTTTGGCAGCTGTGGCACCCTCCACAGTCCATGGATATGATGGACCCCGCGCCAAATTTCCTCTATCAGGTTGTGGTTTGGCGGCTGTAAATTGGCTACATTTCTCTTTTTTCTTTTTCTTTTTTAAATAAATTTTTTCCACAACAAAAGGTGCGGAAAGACAAAAAAATTGAACCAAGCCGGTATTTAAAATGGGTGGATTAAAAAAGATATTTTTTAGTAATGTACAAAAATAAATCTATTTTTTATTCATGGTGAATTACAATTTTGATTTTTGTAATTTGGCATTTTCAGTATTAATTTTTTATATCTAAAAAAGTTTAGAGGATGCGTCAAGGCATACCAAGGCTTTTTGATGACTTACAGAGGGGGTCTTAGCCCCCTTTTTTGGTTTCTACAGATTACTCACCAAGAATGATTGTCGGCAGCACGACTTAAACCTAGGCCTGAACAGCAAAGAGAACGATCCTTACCAACTCAACCAACCCTCGGTGGCTTTGGCATTTTCAAGTTAATTCTTGTAGTACTTGTTCTAACAAGTGAACTCGTCTTTCCAATTTCACCAATGCATATCCCAGCTAGCTCGTCTTTCAATTTCACCATAACAGTTAAGAAGAGAACAAAGTGTGAGGACATGATGGAAGGCTCTGAGAGCTTGACTGACAATCTGTTTTCTTGGTCTCTCCAAGACATTCTTAATGAAAATCTTTAAGATAACAGTATTGACCATTGCCCTTTCTTGAGCTTTTTGTTTTCATCTCTACATGGCATGTTATATATCGATTGACTTATGATAACAGTATTGACCGTGAAGTTATATCAGAAAGAACAGCAGCACCATAAGGCAGAAGAGGGATTCTAAGGTGTTGAGAGCAATACATTCAGACATGATAGTCCGAATAATGAAGCTAAGGTGATTTCTGCTCTTTCAACTACTAATGTGACTGCTTTGCGCCAGCTTTTCATGACAGTCAATCCCGAACTCTGTTTTGCTGTCAAGCAACATGTTTCACAATTGAAAAGGTGAGCGGATTATTCGAATAAAGATGTTTGCTCCCTTTTTTTATTTCTTTAAAACTAGTTTGTTTTCTTCTGAAATATTATTTGACAGAAAACTTCCTTCTTACTTTTTCTGCTGAAAGGCTCTGTTATAAAGTAATGGCTTTCTTCTGGGAAGGGTGCTCTGCCTTCTTATTTTCTGGTTTTTAATTTCTTTTAGGTACAAATAAGAAAAATAATAAGGGCCTGTTTGGATGAGGGATTTGGACATTTCATGGGATTTACAATTCCCTATGACCTAATTACCTTGCTTGACAAGCCCATTAAGAATAACTTCATAAATGACTTGGAATTTGAAGGAGGGACTTGTAAAGCCCAAATCCCCTTCTGAAATAACACCCTCCCCAGAGTTACTTTGAAATTTTCTCAACCCTGGAACCAAACCATGACCAACAGAAAAATCAATAGGGATTACTAGAAATTAAGGTTCAGCAGTACCAAGAACAAAAACGACATTGACTTCAATAAGGAAGAGAGAAGAAGGGGTTTAAGGACCTCTGTTTTTCTTTGATGTACATCTAACAATGGTCTCCTCAGAATAGTAAAATGAACCTGCAATTTCTAATGGTAAATCCACTATTTTTCCCTTTTTCTTATTGTGATTACATCTGAAAAATTAAGCGTATAATTTAAATCAAGAGATGAAGAAGATAACTAGTAAGAATTAAAGTGAAGTTTAAATGACACGTGATCTTGATTTTCATCTGCAAGGGTGGAGTCAATGGTAGCTTTGAGCAACTTGATGGCATGGCACAAGAACCTATTCTTGGCTTGAACCCAAGAAAGCTGGGTGGTGGCTATGCTCTTTACCACTACACTAGTGGGCCACTCACAAGCATAACATATATATTGAAAAAGTAAATGTTGATGTGGAAAAATGTTATACAAGCTAGTGAAAAATAATTGCTATGTGGTTGAGATTTGGAAGTATCATATGCTTCTTTCACGTATAAAGCAGATATGCTTTTTACTCATGCATTTACTTCACATAAAAGAATAAAAATGTAAGTGGAGTCCATATGAAATCAGGAATTGAACTCCTGATTTTGAAGGAATGAAACACTTGGGTTGGAGGATTGAAAATGTGCTTCAACACTGAAGTTGAAGAAAATTTGAGCAAGAAGTAGTGTTACATGTAAAGAACAAAAGAACAAAAGAAAAAAAAACTCACATTGCGTCGATCCATGTAAGAACATTTCTATAGTCCTTACCACTACGCTAATGAGCCATTGACAAGCATAACATATATATTGAAAAAGTAAATGTTGATGTGAAAAAAAGTTATACATCCTAGTGAACAAATAAATGCCATGTGGTTGAAATTTGGAAAATATCATATGCTTCTTCCACTTCTTCTCCACGTATAAAGTATAAAGTATAAAGCATAAAGCACAAAGCATACTAATCCGTAATAGGAATCCAACTCTTTATTTTAATTCCGATTACGGATTACTCATGCATTTACTTCACATAAAGGAATGAAATGTAAGTGGAGTCCACACAAAATCAAGAATTGAACTCCTGATTTTGGACGAATGAGACTCTTGGATGAGAGGTGATATTCTAATTAATAGAGAACTAAGAGCATCTTAAGGGAGATGTCAAATGCAAAATGTTAAATTTGAATTTGATTACTTATGTGGCAATTTGACAATTTGGAAAAAAATTAACTCCACCTAAAATGCCAAATATCATATTATTTTATTATATTTTTTAAAAGAAAATAGGGCCTATATGATGCATAAAGTTTTAAAAGAGAGTGAATGATAGTGGGGTCCATGACTAAAAATATATTAAAATAATATTTGACATCAAGCTTTTTTATATGTTATTTTTGACATATCTCTTCTAGCTTTCAAATCCATGTAGGAATTGACTACTGGGTTGGAGCAATTTTAACATTCAATTTTTGTCATTTCATGTCCATATGGCAATTTGATACATCGGTTGGAGATGCTTTAACTCATCATGAATTTACCTATTATATCCCCCACATAATTTTTAAAATTCCAAATTTCTCATCCACTACCCAACAAAAATTTGCATATAAAATAATTTATTAGAAGCATTTTAATAATCAAACTTATTTCAATTTTGATTCAAGGGAATTTAGTAAAGAATATAGGGAATCAATACCATTGCTACCCCAATTTGTGAGAGTTTAGTAAACAACTTTAATGGAAATCCAAATTCTAATTTCTCATCAATTCAGTTCCTCCTCGCCTAATTACGAATTAGTAAATATGCCAATAAAGCAGAAAGTAGAAACCATACAAAGCAGAAAGCAAAGCAGAGAACATAAAGCAGAAATATTTGGGACAGCAGTCGCATGACATGGCTAAGTAATCTCGTACCAAAACCCAACCCCTTCACCATCTCCACGTATATTTGCCTTTCCCACTTCTTCACGTACTTCAACACTCAAGTCGAACAAAAACTCGAGCAAGAAGTAGTGTCACAGGCAAAGAACAAAAGAACAAAATAAAAAAAAGGAAGCTCCACAGCGTCGATCCATGTAAGAACATTTCTTTGATTTTTATCAGTACTCTTTCGGAACAAGTTTAAAAAGAGGTCGTTTAAAAAAAGAAATTTGGTTAAGAGGTCTCTGTTTAATTACCATTTTGATTAGTGAAAATGGAATTGCCTTCTTAATCTTCTTAGATTAATTCATGCAGAAATAATTGTGTTTCAACTTCACCATATCAGTTAAGAAGAGAACAAAGTGTGAGGACATGATGGAAGGCTCTGAGAGCTTGACTGACATTCTGTTTTCTTGGTCTCTCCAAGACATTCTTAATGAAAATCTTTACCAGCACAAGGTATTTAATTAGTCCCCATACATCTTCCATTGTCATCTTTCTCTTTGTTTTTTTTTCGTTGCAATGGAAGCAAATCGAACTTTTGCCCCATCCTTATTGTAACCTGTTCTCTGTCTTGTTTCTTAAAATTTGATGAGATTTTTATGCTTCGTATTATGCATGCATGTCCTTAAAAATGAAGTCCGAAACCAATTATTTGATTGATTATATTTAATTGATGAATTAATATATTTGACAGAAAATCAAGTTGTGTCACTATACTAGCTAGGCTTCTCAATTCCATTGTTCTGGCCATTATTCAGCATGGATTGATTAGAGCCTTTAGTTTGTACCATGATAAGTACAATTTTGTGAACTCCATTGATCAAACAAGTGATGCTAATTGCCTTTTTTATCTTAAAAAAAGTAATGTTAATGGTTGATGACCTTGTAATCTTTAGGTGGAAAAGATTCCTGAATCATTTCAGTCGGTTCAGGATCATTTCGGGTCTTATTCATATCCTTTGTTGGACGAAACTCGGACTCAACTGCGTTCGAGTATGGAAACTATGGACAGAGCGCCATATAGTAAGATAATTTCTGTTGAAGAGTTGAATCCATATGGAACAAAGCTATATGATATCAAGGTTGATTGCTGGAGAAACCTGTCCACCGATTGCAGCAAAGGACCATACAAAATTCTGCCTGGAGATGTTTTTGTTTTAGCAGATACTAGACCCGAAACTGTTTCTGATTTACAGAAGTTAGGGGGCTCTTGGGCCTTACTAGTAGTCACTGAGGTCTCCAAAAATAAGAACGAGGATGATAGAACTGCTCTTCATTTTAAAGTCAAAGCGTCGAAAGAGTTTGAAGTCAACCATAGCATTCATACATCACTCTTTATGGTTTTCTTATTAAACATAGCTCCTTACATACGAATATGGAAGGCGATGCACATGTCTGGAAGTGCAACATGGAAGGTACAATTTTTGGTTTATCAGCATGACAGTTTTTTCTTTTCCCCCTCTATTTCACTAAAA